TTGTACGCCGTTGAAATTGTTCTAAGAGCATTAAACATTATAATTTTTAACAATTAAAAACGTCTCAAAATAGTGGAAATATTTATTTTTTCAACAAAAAAGGAATCATCAAACAAAATATAAGTGTATTGCTAGTAATCTACGGGTGGAGCGTTCGACCCATGCTGGGTTTAACATTTTTGTTATCAAATTATAATTTTTCTGACACATGTCGGGACTTCGCCTCGAAATCTGGATAATGAAAGGGTGGATTGTCGAAATTGCGTACAGGTGACGAACCATCAGATCACAGATGAAAAATTTCAAATAGCCAAAGCCAAAATATATCGACATCTTGTTTACATATATAAATAAAACACTTTAACGGTTTCAAACGCGATATATTTTAGTTGAACTAGTTTGAGAATTGGTGGATACGGGGAGACTCCCCGTGACCACGGCTGCTGCGAAGCATCCGAAACGTCGGGCCGTAGTTAAAAATTATTCTCAAACAGGTTTAAATTAAATATATCGCGTTTTAAACCGTTAAAGTGTTTCGTTAAATGTGGACTACTCGCGTAAACAGACAATCTTGTTTACGTGTTATACGAGTGAAGTATAGCTTCCACCAAGTCGCATGCTCGCCTGTTCTCAATTAAAATAAGAAATAACTGTTTGCTAGTAGACAAACAACGTTTTAAACTTAATTGAGCAAGCGATACAGGAAAACATTAAAAAATATTGGTTGTTACGAAATATCTTGTTTTACCTTATCGTTTCCAATTCATGGAACGATGTGTTTTGGGTAATTTATATTCCCAGGCACAGTCTAAAGTATAATAACAAATCAAATTTCAGAAACATGTTTAGACTCGGTGGGAATCGAACCCACTGTTGTAAACTTTATTAATTTTGTTATTGCACATGATGGCACAATATAGATTAAAAATAAATTCGACTCGTGGGAATCGAACCGGCATCGTCAGCGTCCCGTGCTGTTGCTCTATCCAATTGAGCTACCGAGTTAGAGCTGTTGCTGGTTAGAGCACGTTCAAGTCCTATCCGAGGCGAAATTTTTTTCATTTTTTTTAAATCATATTACTATTCGTGTATTAAGCTTATTATTAGCTTAAATAATAAAGGACTTCTAATAGACTAACGAGAATGGTGAAAATGAAAAAAAAACTCCATCTCTAAAACATGTTGCTTAGCATTGCTTTAGTCCTAAGTTTGAATCTCAGGGATAAAAAGTATTGAGTATCCTGTCGCTCCTGCTAATAACATTGAATAAGCACTTATAACTGTTTAAAACGCGTAATACTTTAGCCTTCTCATTTTTTAGTACAATTCTAATTTCAAATGCTTTATAGCCATGTTCACGGAGTTAGAACGATACAGAACGTCGGGTTTAATACAGTTAAAATTGGTTTACGTATTACATTGTAAATAACAAGATATTCAACATTCGTCTTTTATTATTTATGAAATAATTGCCTGGTCAATACAATTATTCACACCTGGATTGAGTTTTTGTTTTCCTTATTACCTCTCTACATTTATTAAATTGGCTGTAACTGTCCGTCCATCCTACATAGGCTTATATGTTAATAAAAATTGGTAAAAAACCTTAATAATAATAAAACACTTTATTGCACAAACACATAAAATACAAATATAGTAATGGTAAATTAATTACCTTTTAACTCAATTGGTTTTATTTTTTGTGCACTACGAAACATTTAATTTTTTACATAATCATCGCGTTTTACTTGTGTAGCTCTTTCATTTGATACCCATATTGAGAGGGTTAAGGGATCGTTCAAGTATTACGTAAGCACTAAGGGGGTGGGGGTCTGTGGTATTGAGAAGGGGGAGGGGAGTCAGATGATATAGTCATGAATTATTCTTTTTAAAAGTGTTTACGTAAGCACGGGGAGGGGGTAAAAGCTTTGCTTACTTTTGTGAAGGGGGATGGGGGTAAATAATTGAATAAATCGCTCGAAAACTTGGGAAAGGCCCCTAAGGAAAAATATGCAAACCGCCATTTTATATCGGCGGACGGCGGCCATCTTGGATTTATAATTTTATTATATTGTATTGTTAAATTAAACGTGTGTACCGAATTTCAGATCAATCTGACAACGGGAAGGTGCTTAAATTATATTTTCTAATTTTGCCCCAAATAAATTCCGTACGGGTCAAGCTAAATAAAACCGTTTAATAAAATCAAAGCGAATCTACGCGGACGGATTCTAGAGCGGTTTTAGCGGATTCAAACGCGAATTATATTGGTTAACTTTTTTATAGTAGTCACGGCTACTGAAAAGTATCCGAAACGTCTTGGGCGTTTGTTAAATTGAAAAATAAGTTCACTAGTATATTTTACCATTTCAAACAGTTAAGTGTTGTATTTAAATTTAAAATGGTGCTTCAATTGTTAATTATATCAAAACTAGCTACGTCAGCGACTTTGTCCGCGTAGAATAGTAATTTTGGGCATCAACATGTGTTTTGTCAAACCTCCTCGTCATCTATAAAATTATATTATAGTGTCACCACGGCGTTGGCCGCGTCCCGTTTTTGCAATTGAATATTAAAAGATGGACATTTTCCTAGACATTTTTTTTAGATAATTTAAAGAGAAGAAATCATTCTTTCATACATATATTTTGGGCATCTGTGCAATCCATTTTCGGATTGTTTTCGCAGCGCACGACAATAGAAGGACAAAAAACAAATTTCAATTCGAAAAAGTAATCGCTAAGATTAGCGCGTTCAAACAAACAAACACGCTCTATAATATTAGTGTAGATAGTAAAAGTAATTATGTTCTCATACACAACACTATTATTACAAATAACAATACATAATTACCATAAGAATAAGTTATTACAATAATTATATGCAAATAAATTATTTATTATATTTATACTTTATACTAATATATATAAAGCGGAAGAGTTTGTTTGTTTGAACGCGCTTATCTCAGGAACTACGGGGTCGAATTGAAAAATATGTTTTGTTGATTAGAGCACTTTGATAAATCCATCGCCTTGTGACTAATGCAACCGAAGATACAGCGAGGAGTGTGAACAAAATCGTGAAATTTATTCATCATTATGGATTTCCACAAAAAATATATATGAAAGAATGATTCCTCCTTGAATTTCAATGATCTAAAAAAAATCCGCGACGCTATATATGCAAGGTAATCATACAGATACACATATGTGTATCTGTATGATTACCTTGCAAGAAGGACGGGACGCGAGCGACGTTGTGGGTTGTGGGCAAAGTTGATGCTCAAAATAACTATTCTACAGCTAGCACTCCTTACTAATAAATGCGAAAGTAACTCTGATACTGTCTATAGTTTACGCGAGTAGTACACATTTAAATAAAACACTTTAACGGTTTAAAACGCGATATATTAGTAAAACTTCACGGCTACTGCAAAGCATCCGAAACGTCGGGCCGAAGTTAAAATTCATTTTCAAATATGTTTAACTAATATATCGCGTTTTAAACCGTTAAAGTGTTTTATTTAAATAACTCTGTCTGTCTGTCTGTCTTTCTGTCTGTCTGTCTGTTACTCTTTCACGCCAAAACTACTGAACGGATTTGAATGAAATTTGCTATACAGATGGTCTAGACCCTGAGAAAGAACATAGGCTATTTTATTGCGAAAAAAGGTGTTGTACGTAGTTAAAAGGGGGGTGAATGTTTGTATGGAAATTCGTGGTTTTTGAAGCTAGAACAATGAAACTTTCTTCCTTGGCTTTTTCGGAATAGGAGTAGGAGTGGGAGTGGGAGTTAGAGTAGGAGTGATGTGAGGTGAGAGTGTTGCGGCAAAGTAGCACTTACAACATACACTGCGATAAATGCGCAATTACATAAATGAATAAACAGCCTTAATAATTAAAAATTCTTCCCCAAGTCACTATTTCACGCGAACGAAGTCGCGGGCACAGCTAGTTTTAATATAACGGTAAATTGAGACAAACTGGTTTTTTAACTGGCCTTGAACAGCGCTCAACCCAAAGAAATATATATTTTAAATATAATACCTTTAAAAAGTGATTATTTTCACATGGACTTATAGAAATGAAATAACTATTTAGATTTAAATACAACACTCTAACGGTTTAATACGCGATATATTAGTTAAACTTATTTGAAAATGATTTTTAACTACGGCCCGACGTTTCGGATGCTTTACAGTAGCCGTGAACTTTTACTAATATATCGCGTTTTAAACCGTTAGTGTTTTATTTAAATGTGCACTACTCGCGTAAACTATAGACAGTATCTACTTAGATTACAAAAAATTACACGGGCGGGTCTCGAACCGGTATCCACATCGCGCTGCTGGTCTAACCAATTGAGCTACCGTGTATTGTTTGTATATAAATATAGTTTTATTTATAATATACCTTATCGGTTTGAAACGTGAAATATATAAGATTTTTTGTGTCAGAGGACGATAAGGATATAGTTCAAGTGATGGAAGGTGAAATCATCTAGCCATATTAAATCTGACCACGATGCGCTGTCGATCTATTTTGGCTTGGATATTCGGAAATCCAAGTTTAAAACAATATGAAATTACGACTATTCCACCCGTAGACGGTGGTTCGTTCCACCCGGACGAATTTTCGTGTTTCGTGTTTCAGAAAGGTTATAAACAGTGTTTCGAAATATGTTAGGGACTTGGTAGGCGAAGCTACAATCTCTCTTTATAAATAGCTACCATTAGACCGACATTAGCTCGCTACAAGGAAAAGATAACTTATGGAAGTGCTAAATTTAATGAGATTATGCTTATTATGTTTTGGAAACTTTTAATATTTTTCACACTTAAAAATTTTAGACATCCACAGTGCTCCGTTGCTTTAACCAATTACCTAAAGCTACCATGTCCTACACGTCGACGTTATTTGAAATCTATTGATACAACACCACGTAACAAAATGTTTTCAATCTCGAATCCATTTTGATTTTTTTTTATACGTTTGTTTCAGTGCGACTGTGTATAGTGGAAGGTCGCGGGTCATATAAGCGAGGTACCAAGTTCTGTCCCGTTTTGGACGAAGAGAATTCTGGTGTTGAGTGCGTTATAGGTACAGACAGGTGAGTTATTTTTTTATAACTGCCATGACATTTGCTTCTGATACTAATATATCGTGGTTTAAACCGTTAAAGTGTTTTATTTTAATGTGTACTACTCGCGTAAACTATAGATAGTATTAGAGGATTGTTTCTTTTGTCACAGATTGGACTGCCTCCGCCGCATCAGCAAAGGCACGGTGGACTTCGGAGCCTTCAGTCCAGAAGACCTGATAGCCGCGCAATGGGCAGATATCGACGTGCTTGTCACCCATGAACTAAGACACAGAGTCCGTAAGTACCATCTACCGCATAACACGAGATTTACACTTTTAACGGTTTAAAACTCGAAATATATTTGATCGCGGCTGCAACGGGTCGTCGTTTTGTAGTTCAAAATAAGTTAAGTATTTCGCGTTTCAAACGGTTAAATCTTTTGATTACAACTAGAGACAAGTCTATGTTTACAATTAAAACTAATTATAACAAAAACATATAAAAGCTAGAAGAACACAATAATAATTATTATATGTTTGACTACCCTCCCTAATTTATGCGATTTACTTAATTTAGAAAAAATTAAAGAACAATAGTTAAAAACATTAATTTTTTTCACATGTTATTGCACATGAAGGCACTATATAATTTAAAAATCGAAAATGAATTGAAAAAATTTTCGACTCGGGCAGTGTGCCTTCATGTGCAATAACATGTGAAAAATATTAATGTTTTTAAACGTTATAACTTTGTAATTTCATCTTCAATGATGTCTTAAGCTGCAAAGCATAAGACATTGAACCTTAGTACGCAAGTGCTAAGGTTGAAATTACACTACGCGAGAGGTGCATGTATCAATAAATTGAAAAAATTTTCGACTCGGGCAGTGTGCCTTCATGTGCAATAACATGTGAAAAATATTAATGTTTTTAAACGTTATAACTTTGTAATTTCATCTTCAATGATGTCTTAAGCTGCAAAGCATAAGACATTGAACCTTAGTACGCAAGTGCTAAGGTTGAAATTACACTACGCGAGAGGTGCATGTATCAATAAATTGAAAAAATTTTCGACTCGGGCAGTGTGCCTTCATGTGCAATAACATGTGAAAAATATTAATGTTTTTAAACGTTATAACTTTGTAATTTCATCTTCAATGATGTCTTAAGCTGCAAAGCATAAGACATTGAACCTTAGTACGCAAGTGCTAAGGTTGAAATTACACTACGCGAGAGGTGCATGTATCAATAAATTGAAAAAATTTTCGACTCGGGCAGTGTGCCTTCATGTGCAATAACATGTGAAAAATATTAATGTTTTTAAACGTTATAACTTTGTAATTTCATCTTCAATGATGTCTTAAGCTGCAAAGCATAAGACATTGAACCTTAGTACGCAAGTGCTAAGGTTGAAATTACACTACGCGAGAGGTGCATGTATCAATAAATTGAAAAAATTTTCGACTCGGGCAGTGTGCCTTCATGTGCAATAACATGTGAAAAATATTAATGTTTTTAAACGTTATAACTTTGTAATTTCATCTTCAATGATGTCTTAAGCTGCAAAGCATAAGACATTGAACCTTAGTACGCAAGTGCTAAGGTTGAAATTACACTACGCGAGAGGTGCATGTATCAATAAATTGAAAAAATTTTCGACTCGGGCAGTGTGCCTTCATGTGCAATAACATGTGAAAAATATTAATGTTTTTAAACGTTATAACTTTGTAATTTCATCTTCAATGATGTCTTAAGCTGCAAAGCATAAGACATTGAACCTTAGTACGCAAGTGCTAAGGTTGAAATTACACTACGCGAGAGGTGCATGTATCAATAAATTGAAAAAATTTTCGACTCGGGCAGTGTGCCTTCATGTGCAATAACATGTGAAAAATATTAATGTTTTTAAACGTTATAACTTTGTAATTTCATCTTCAATGATGTCTTAAGCTGCAAAGCATAAGACATTGAACCTTAGTACGCAAGTGCTAAGGTTGAAATTACACTACGCGAGAGGTGCATGTATCAATAAATTGAAAAAATTTTCGACTCGGGCAGTGTGCCTTCATGTGCAATAACATGTGAAAAATATTAATGTTTTTAAACGTTATAACTTTGTAATTTCATCTTCAATGATGTCTTAAGCTGCAAAGCATAAGACATTGAACCTTAGTACGCAAGTGCTAAGGTTGAAATTACACTACGCGAGAGGTGCATGTATCAATAAATTGAAAAAATTTTCGACTCGGGCAGTGTGCCTTCATGTGCAATAACATGTGAAAAATATTAATGTTTTTAAACGTTATAACTTTGTAATTTCATCTTCAATGATGTCTTAAGCTGCAAAGCATAAGACATTGAACCTTAGTACGCAAGTGCTAAGGTTGAAATTACACTACGCGAGAGGTGCATGTATCAATAAATTGAAAAAATTTTCGACTCGGGCAGTGTGCCTTCATGTGCAATAACATGTGAAAAATATTAATGTTTTTAAACGTTATAACTTTGTAATTTCATCTTCAATGATGTCTTAAGCTGCAAAGCATAAGACATTGAACCTTAGTACGCAAGTGCTAAGGTTGAAATTACACTACGCGAGAGGTGCATGTATCAATAAATTGAAAAAATTTTCGACTCGGGCAGTGTGCCTTCATGTGCAATAACATGTGAAAAATATTAATGTTTTTAAACGTTATAACTTTGTAATTTCATCTTCAATGATGTCTTAAGCTGCAAAGCATAAGACATTGAACCTTAGTACGCAAGTGTTAAGGTTGAAATTACACTGCGCGAGAGGTGCATGTATCAATAAGTTGAAAAAATTCGACGATGAGGTGTAGGACTCGGTAGCTCTATTGGTAGAGCAACAGCACGGAAAGCTGACGATGCCGGTTCAAGTCCTGCCCGAGTCGAAAATTTTTTCAATTTATTTTCGATTTTTAAACAATAGTTAACACAATAAAAATAAATATATAATTTGATTCACATAAAAACGGTTTTCGCAAGTCAATCTTATAATATAAAGATTTAATATACTGTTGGTCATTTTGTTAATTTTCCAATTAAGAAGTTTCTGCGTTTAAACCAACAAACGAACTTTATATATTAGTATAGATAATAGAAAATATATTTGGCTTCTCCCTGTCCTAATGACTTCGCCCCAAACCCCCTTGAGCATCTACCCTCTAATTTGAATCCTATGAATTTCAGGAGATTACGAACGCACAGTCGTTGCTGTCGTCAATCGGAGAATTCTCGGCGAGACCACGTGGTCCCTTGATTCAGTGCTGCGGAACACTACGCTGTGCCATCCGGGGAACGGGGTCGATGACCTTAAACCCCTGTCAGATACTTTAGCCGGGGTAAGATACTGTCTATAGTTTACGCGAGTAGTACACATTTAAATAAAACACTTTAACGGTTTAAAACGCGATATATTAGTTAAACTTATTTGAAAATGATTTTTAACTTCGGCCCGACGACGGGGTAGGATTTCAATCAAGAGCTCACCCGGGTGAGCTCCGTTCAGCTCTTCAAGCTCCCACCCGCGTTGCGGTGGTCCAAGCCGAGGCCGATGCCCCTGTCGGGGCACCCGTGGTCTAGCCGCAAACACGACGAGCGCTAGCGCCAAACGTCCAGTTAGTATTCGAAGCCACGGGCTCAATACGTAAAATCAAATTAAAAAAAAATCAATCAAGATCAACTTTGCCCTTCATTATAATATAAAGAATTACTTGATTTAATTTACTTCGCACAAATATGATAAAACTAGCAATAGATGGATTGGAATAGTAATTTTGGGCTTCGTTTGCGCTGCTAGAGGCAGAGTGGCCTAATCACAAAATACATGAATTTCAATAGGGAAGAAAATAAAAATGCGCAATTAAGTTAGGCGAAAATTAATTTGTACTATTTGTGTTAGAATTATGTTAACGATTTTCGTTCGATGTGCTCTTGTACATTTGTAAAGTATGAAAATATAAAGTTCAGTTCATACAGTTAGGCTACTCTGCCTCTAGCGGCTTCATATTGTATGATGGCCAAAATTACTATTCCACATATGAAATGAAAAGGCCGTCAAGTGTAATCGTATTTCGATTTCAGTCTGCGGAATCCAAATATCCCTCTTAGTAGAAAACTAAATTGACTAACACTTAAAAGGTACCAGATGAACGTCCTGGGATCTAACCCCGAACTGCGAACGCTGGTTGAACTGAATCATTCGCTGTTGTATTTAAGGATATCCAAATACTGTTTGTGGTTTACGTGACACATGAAAATTAGACAAATTACCGGTTTAAAACGCGAAATATATTATATAATCGACGTTCCGGATGCTTCGTAGCACACGATCACGGGGAGAGCAAATAGATTAACTAATATATATCGCAGTTTAAACCGTTAAAGTGTGTTTATTTAAAGCATACCTAATTCATTTTTTAATTTCGTCGTAATCGAGAATTAATGATTCTCATTTACGACGGCAAAATAGCGCGAATCAGAATAAACGTATTTCTATTCTATTCTATTCTAAAAGATGCTTTTTTTTTTCAGTACTTAGAATCCCTGGTGATAACGAGATCGTGTGATCCCAACTTATCTCTCACCGAGAACAGGATCAAATCTGTCGCTGAGTTTTTCGGGAAGGCTTGCAAGGCGGGCCACTGGCTACCAGACGTCGTACGGGACGGCGAACTCAGTAAGTAGTTATGACGGCGGCGTTGGTCGTATTGTAGTTATGTACGGCTAATAATCAATGTGCCGTGGGTTCGGTTTCACCACGGCTAAACATCTTAAAAAAAGTATTGTTCTTTAACATGTCTGGCATTTACGTCTGAAAATCTAGACATTAAATGGAACGTAAGAATGTCTGAATTTTGTCAGAGTTATTTTTTTATTAAATGGATGTAGAAAAAACATTAAATTATATGCAACTTTTAAATAAAACACTTTAACGGTTTAAAACGCGATATACTAGTTAAACTTATTTGAAAATGATTTTTAACTTCGACCCGACGTTTCGGATGCTTTGCAGCAGCCAGGGTCACGGGGAGACTAAAGATGGAGGATGTCTCTGACGTCATAGTAAAAAAAGAAACGTCGGGCCGAAGTTAAAAATCATTTTCAAATAAGTTTAACTAGTATATCGCGTTTTAAACCGTTAAAGTGTTTTATTTATATGTGTACTACTCGCGTAAACTACAGACAGTATATGCAACTTGTTTAAAAACTGTCTGTAGCTACCCTAAATAGACTTGATTAAAACATTTTAACCGTTTTAAATGCGATATAAAATTATTTTCAACTACGACCCGACGTTTTTCAAGTACCAATTACGAATGGCTTTGACAATAGGTCCTTATTTTAGTCCCTGTTCACGGTTGCTGCAAAGCCTCTAAAACGTCGCGTCATAATTAAATAATATAATTCGCGTTTTAAACAACCCAACAAAAATGCTACATATATAGGCTTACAAGGTTATCGTGTGCTTTATTTCTGACTAATTGATGTATGAAGAACCCTATCCCAAACTAAGGCATTTTGAAGTTATAGCACATTTAAAATTTAAAAAAATCCGACTGTTTGTATATTATTGATTTTTTAGTTTTCTATAGAAGGCGATTGACGTTTACAAAAAGGGAGCCAATTAGTTGATTATATTTGTTTGTTCTATAAATACTCAAAAATTATTAACGGCAGTTCTACTGCAGGTATACTAAACTAACTGTGTCAGCGACTTCGTCCGTGTTTGGGCGCCAAAATTTATTTTTGCTAACTTTTATTGAAGACTGAATTTATTTTTGACTAGATTTTTTTTTGAGACTGTTGCGTATTTTTTTGTAGATCATTTAAAGACGAATCATTCTTTCGTGCATATTTTTTGAGTATATTGATTACCGTTTTCGAATAGCGTATGCGTCGGAACCCCACAGATTTGAATTTCTCCCGCTCTCCGCTGTTTCTTCGCTCCTAATAGTCACAGTGCAATGTTTTAATCAACACAAAAAAACAATCTATTCGAACCAGCAATTCCTGAGATTAGCGCGTTCAAACATACATATAAACAAACTCTTCAGCTTTATACATTTATAAAGATAATTTATACACAATTTACATATATTTCAAAACCTTCTTTAGAATTAGAAAATGTCTATTTTTAGAGCGAAAATATTCATCATTGTGCGCGGCCTGCGAGTCCCCTGCGTGCGACACGACCGACCGCTATTGGGGGGTGACTGGGGCACTCTCCTGTCTTGTGGAGGGGGCTGGTGACGTCATGTGGGGGGAACTGTTGGATATCACTGCGTACTTTGGGGTGAGTGCCTTTTATACTTACGATGTAATCTGGGTCTTTTGGATATTAAGATATAGAAAATTGCTTCTAGAAGTATATTTTACCATAAAAAAACTGTAAGTATGTAAGCTTTGTGACAGACTTAGCTAGCCTAGTCTATTTAAATAAAACACTTTAACGGTTTAAAACGCGATATATTAGTTAAACTTATTTGAAAATGATTTTTAACTTCGGTCCGTCGTTTTGGATGCTTTGCAGCAGCCGTGGTCACGGGGAGGCGGGCCGAAGTTAAAAATCGTTTCCTACTACGTTTATTTCAATGTACTACTCGCGTAAACTATAGACAGTATTTAGCCTAGTCTACTTCAGCTACTTCCACAGTGTTATGACATATGGCATACTACTGTGGGGTAACGCTACCGACATTGAATGTATCTTAGTGTTGCAAAAAAGGGCGGTCGGGGCTGATTTATGGTATGGGATCTCGGGAGTCATTAAGAGATACCTTAAAATATCGGCATACTTACTGTGTACTCGCAGTATATTTATGAACATGTATTGTATGCACATAGTAATGATACAATACATTTTAGCAAGAATAGTGACAGGCATAATTTGAACTTACGAAATAAGAATAACCTAGCTATCCCCAAATATAGGCTCCATAAAATATCTAATTCATTTGCGGGGAATTGTATTCGTGTGTACTATACATTGCCAGTTGAGGTTTCAAATTTATCGATTAATAAAATTGAAAAAAGTTATAAAATTGTAGATAGTTACTCGAAAGGCGCATTAATACCTGAACGACTTTAAACGGTTAGACCGCCTGGCGAGTAATATGAATTGCTCCTTATTTGAAATAGATTTTTAATGTTTAGGCTCTAGACTTGTTCTCTTTTGAACACTCTTTAGAATCACGACAAACAGATAGACAAAAAAAATGGCGAATCTAAATAATTTTTATAATTTTACAGAGAATAAAGTATGATATTAAGACAATATTTTAAAAAGGAAACGGTATGCTTTGATATTGTCGGAAGCTTAAAGCGTGGACATTTAGTTCTCTTATATTACGTAAATAACTTTTTATTTTGAACATTTATCTAATTTATAGAATCTAATAAATAACCTGTAATCCACCATCCATTGTGTTGTGTTATAAGGAACCATCTTATAAGTATTATCTGTAGTTAACACGAGAGATATTAAATTGAACGCAAATGACGGAAACTTAAACAAGCGGCCAATCTTATGGATTCTTTGTTGCAGCCGCTGTAACGCCTGTTTGTTCATTTCCATGTGTATTCGCTGCTACAGACAAAATTTAAATCAATTTATCAAATACTGTCTGTAACATTTAAATAATATGAAACACTTTCGCGGTTTAAAACGCGATATATATAGGTTAACTTATTTTAATATGTCTAACTACGGCCCAACAAAAAAGCTAACGGCAAACTCTAGATTCCGTTAGTCAACGAAAAACGTCGGGGGCGGCAGTTAAAATAATATAAAAATAAATCTTACTTATACATTTCGCGTTTTAAACCGTTAAAGAGTTTCATTTGAAACAATTCATCCACTTTAAACGTCGCTGTGTACATGTTGTATTGAATTTGTGGACTAACATAATGTTGATTTCTCAGTTAAACGAAGCGTCCAGCGACTATCCTTCATCAGATAACTTCGCGTACCTCTGCCGCGATGGGTCCTGGCAGCCTCTAAAGAACAACGAGAGACCGTGCGTCTGGTTGAATAGACCCTGGCCCGTTGTGGTCGCTAAGAGGTGAGACATTATGAACTACAGATTATTGATTGTTACGGGACCTGCCCTTCTATGCTGAGGGTGACAAGCATTCAGCAGCATAGCTGAGACTGGTGCCGATTCTCATCTCTTATATTTATTGCTTATATTATTCCACACATTTTATACGTTTGTAATTATCTTATTATGGTAATAAAAGTTGTGAATTTGAATTTTACATGGCTTCGATCCCCGCACCCCTCGCGAGTCCAAGATGTTTCTGATCGATTTATATATTTTTTGAAAATTGTTGCAGTTCTGGATTTAAATAAAACACTTTAACGGTTTAAAACGGTGTCTCCCCGTGAACACGGCTGCTGCAAAGCATCCGAAACGTCGGAGCTGAAGTTCAAAATCATTTCCAAATAAGTTTAACTCATATATCGCGTTTTAAACCGTAAAAGTGTTTTATTTAAATGTGTATACTCGCGTAAACTTAGACAGAGTTGATATTAAATGGACGTAGAAATATCGAAACTCCGTCCGGGTCACGAACCACTGACATAGAGATGGATGGTTGGACTGAATGGACTACCGCCACTTTACGTTACCTTGATTGTATTTTGCATTTCAGAAAAGTGGCAGCATCTGTGAGCAAGTTGATAAGCTCGTTGACAGACGGGGCCCTCTTCGACGGACATTGGCACGGGGCCCTATCGGCCCTTCTAGAGGTCCGTGAGGCCCCGACTCCGCTGTACCCGCCCAGGTCACCGTTAGACCACCTGGCTACAGCGAGGGGGTTCAGAGAAGCGTACAGTCAGAGTGGGTGCGATCCCCCAAGGTATGTATTTCAAACCAAACCAAATCAAATCAAATCATTTAGTCCACATACAAAAATACAATGACATAAAAACACCACTCAGCTTTTGTTGAACGAATCGCGTTTCAAACGGATTTATTAACGCGTAAACTAAACAAATACAAATTGTAACAGAGACAGCGCTATCCGGTTACACCGAGGCTTGCACGGAAATATTTCGTGGTTTTTTTCGGTTCGGTTATAATTTTAAACACTATTAACGGTTTAAAACGCGATATATATTTGAACTTATTTACAATTTATTTTACAACGATTCCGAAATATATTTCACATATGAGGCTGCTATAGCCGGAGTGGCATAATAACAAAAAACACGATTTTCAACAAGGAGGAAAATAAAAATGCGCAATTAAGATAGGCGAAATTGAATTTGTACTATGTGTGTAAGAATTATGTTAACAATTTTCACTCACTGTCACTGTGCTCTTGTCGATTAACATTTTTAGACTATAAACATATAAATAAGTCAAAGTCAATTTATAAAATTGCAGTTAGGCTACTCTGCCTCTATCGGCCTCATGCTCTATTCAAATGTCTACTCGCGTAAACTACAGACAATACCTTTTTTTTATTATTATGTTAGTAAGCCCTTCCTAAACAAATATTTAAAACATCTCTTTAGGCATGTGACGCTTTGCACCACGTCTCTCCTTGCAAAGAACAAATGTGAGTGGTTAAGCGAAGCGGGCGCAGTCTACGGAATCACACCACCTTTGCAGTGCACGCTGAGAGACAGCGAGGAGGCGTGCCTGGATGCTGTCAAACAGCAAGTCAGTGACGTCGCAGCGGTGGACAGTGACTGGATGCTGACAGCCACAAGGTTTGAAAACTTTAATAATTTTCTAATTCACATTTGTATAAATTATAAATGAAGAACAGCACTGTGATTTTTACCGTTTGTTTTTGTATAGGTTGCCACATATAAATCATACATTTAAATAACACAATTAACGGTTTAAAACGCGAAATATTGTGCGTTTAACTATTTAATTCTTACTGTTTAACGTTTAAACGGTTTTTGATATTTTGCAGCAAGCCTTCTCGTGACTAAGGCTGTACTAAAAGTCTACTAATATACTTCACGTTTTAAACTGTTAATAGTGTTTGATTTAAATGTGTCATACTTGCGTAAACTACAGAGAACTATATTATACATTCATATGTTATGGTTCTCTCTGTTAAACTACTTTTTTTTTTCAGAGATTTCGACTTAAAGCCGATACTTTACGAAGTTACGCCGATAGTAGAGAAGATGAACACAGTTGTCGCATATGTCAAAAAAAGCGCGAATATTAACAAAATGGCGGATTTGCGCGGGAAAAGGGCGGCCTTCCCGCGCTACGATGGCTTCGCTTGGCACTCGGTTATCGAATATTTTACGGAAAGTTGCGATACCATGTTAAATAACTACTTTAGCGAGATTTGCGCTCCTGGGATCCAAAAATACAATTTCAGCCAAGCGGTAATCGAAAAATTCACCAAGTCTTGCTATATGACAGATGGAGACGAGAAAACAACACTATACTCTCTGGTCAACGGCTATAGTGATGTAGCATTCGTGAGCATGGCAACATATAATGAATATATAGGTTTGTCTTTTATTTATTACTAGCTATGCCCGCGACTTTGTCCGTGTAGAATAATAATTTTGGCATCCGACTTTGTTTATTTCAAACCTCCCCTTCATCTTTATAAATTCAAGCTGCTACCTACGACGACGGTCACGTCCCTTCGCTCTTGAAAGTTAATCAGGATAGACATATAGTTTCGCAGAATTTTTTTTAGCTTATTTAATTAGGAATAATTCGATTATTTTTTTCTTAAATCGTTTACGCACGTACACGACGGAAACACCACAAGGATGAATATATTTCCCCCTTTTTTTAATTTCTCTATTTCTTCGCTGCTATCGTTCATAATGTTTTATAGCCTCAAGCCTATCTCGATAAATGGTAATATCAACACAAAAGAATCGATTCGAATTTATAGTTACCACGTTCAAACAAATATTCACACTTCAGTGTTCAGATGTATAAATTCAATTCTCAACATTTTATATAATAATTATTATAGCGATGATAAAATTGTGTCTTTAATACTAATATGTATATCATTTATTTCACCGCGACGCTCTTGAAAGTTAATCTTAATAGAATAATTTAAAGAGGAATTATTCCTAAATACCTGCTTATTGTTTTGATTTTTTGGACCGTATCTTTGTAGCGTACGCAACGGACACTCACTAGGATAAACATTTTCCCCCTTTTTTTTTAATTTCTCTCAGTTTCTTCGCTCCTATTGGTAGAATCTTAATGTTTAGACACAAAAAAAATCAATTCGAACCTATAGTTCCCGAGATTACCGCGTTCAAACAAAAAACCTCTTCATCTTTTCAATTTTCAAAGTCCATACATATTATAGCGTTGGTAGAATTTTTTCTTGAATACTAATGTATAATTTATTTTCAGCCGAAATGTCCGGTTCGGAAATCGCAGTAGATATCGTACCAATATGTCCCGAAGAGAATCCAAAATACTGCTACATAAGTTGGGCTCACCTCGGACACTTATACGCTGCTACGAATCTTACAGACATGAGAAGACACGAGATCATCAACGTTTTCACGAAGCTGGACCAGCTGTTTGGCAAGCACCAGCCCTTCCACAATCCAATGTTTTCGATATACGGCCCATTTAATCATCAAATGAATGTTTTGTTCCATAATAATACGAAAGTGATGGCCACAGAAGGCATTTTGCATATGCATCCCTATGACACAATGCCGTTTAGCTTTGAAAACAAGATTTTGAATTCGACGTTTGACAGATGTCAACTAACGGACGATGTGAATAAAGCATTTACACGAATGCCCAATTCCTTAATTGTGATATTGAGTCTAGTCCTATGTTTATTTAACGTTATAAATGTAAGTTACTCATAAAATTAAATGATATGAACCAAATTATTTTATTTATAACTTTTCAATATTAAATATGCCCTACCAAACGCCTTTTGTACGTCATTATGATACCAAGAGCTGGCACTGCCTCCCGCTCCTCACCCTCGAACACTCTATATGGGCACTCAAAACATAAATTAAACATTTATGATTACTTAAATTTTCCTTTTTCTAATGTGCCTCTTTCATTTTACTGCTTGTTAATGTTTTTTATGTGTATATTTAACTAATTAGTGTAATTTATTAATAAACCGTGATAAGTTAAATAAGTAATAGAATAATTTTTATTTAATATTTCGGTATTCGAAAGAGTCTTATATAAGATAATATAAGGTATATCGAAGAGAGAGTATATCTTTATTATTGTAAAATATTTTTCAAATAAAATTGTAAAAATCTGTAACAGTTATAAAACTATTGATATACATTATTTCCACAGATTCATGATAAATTCCAAAATATCATCTAATGCCAAAGAAGGCAAAGTAAATAAAAAAATTATTACTGTTGTCAATGTCATTAATGACACTTTGAACTTAACATTTGACAGACATTTGCGTTTATTCTTTTGTTGGCTGTAAATATTATAGTCAGAATTTCGCGGTATTGGCTTAAAACTTCAAAGAGTGTTAAGTTAGTTGTTTCAAAACAAATTATTAATGAAAATGAGTACTAAACAGAAGCTTAACCGATTTCTGAAAGCCTTGGACGCTGCCAAACAAGATTACACCTGTGGTTATTGTAAAGAAATGTGTGTAAATCCAGCGGTTCTAAGTTCCTGTTTTCATATTATTTGTTCAGAACACTTTCCAAGTCTAAACCTATGTCCGACTTGCGGAATACCTTTGCTGAACTGTTCTCTATACGTTGACGAACAATTGGAAAACTGCATTCAGTCTACTAAGCAACTTGATAATATGTTTCAAGCTATCAAATCTGGTTCTAGCCAGTCAAATACAAGACAGTCGAAAGAAAATGTGTCGAGAAGCGAAATTTCCGAAGAAAATAACGAAAACAAAACCAACAAGATAGAAGTTCGCAAAAATGTGTCCCGACAAAATTCTAAAACCGATGTCAATATGTCATTATTATCTACGGTTAGTTCTAGTAAAGGAAAGGAAAAAAAGAACACCAAAGGTGAGACCTGCCTCCATGTAGCCTGTAGGCAAGGAAAGATAAGTACAGTTATGGATTTGTTAAACACAGGTGCAAATACAAATACTAAAGATCATGCGGGCTGGACACCGTTACACGAAGTTGTTCAAAGTGGCCGTTTAGATATGGTTAAACTTCTTTTACAGCATAACACATTAATTAATGTACCAGGGCCCAGCAATGAGACACCATTACATGAAGCTGTCCGATACAAGCATAAAGATATAGCAGCGGAACTAGTTAGAAATGGTGCTAACATAGATGCGAGAAATAACAAGAGTGAAACTCCGCTACAGTTAGCTTCAGAAGAAATGAAAATAGTTTTACTTGAGGCTATGGAAGACATACAACAAACACAGGGTAATAATGTAACACATATAGCTGATATGCAGGCTGAACTTGATTTTGAAGATATAAGACTGTACAGTGCATCAAACTGTCGGAGTATTGCAAATAAGTTGAAGTTGTTGGAAAAGAAACATGACAATTTGCATTTAGAAGCAAAATTCACTAAAAAAGTGAACGTCTTAGTAGTAGACACAGAAGAAAACGGTACTTGTGTATCAAGTGTCGACGTTTTGCAGGGAATTGTTTATGAAATATGGATTTTATCAAGCCAGTGGGTGACAAAATCGACACAAGAAAGGCTAGAGCCCTTAAAAGATTACGAAGTTAAAGGTATCGGGCATCATAATTCGAATGGGCCTAAAAACGCTAGATACAATAAATATAAGCAACTTCCCGGTTTATTTGACGGCTGTCACTTTTACCTGCACAATTTTGTAACTAAATATGAGATCTCTAAAACTCTGGTTCTAACTAAGCAGATTTTAACAAAATTAATAACAGATGCTGATGGCGTTGTTCTGCGTCGGGTTCCAAATCCAGAGTTGATTCCGGATGCTGAGAAGGTAGTTCCCAGTCATGCCAAGGAAGGCGGGAAGCTAGAAACTTGCTCCCATTATATAATATTTAAAGATAAGTATGAACCTATGTATAATATGTCACATATTAAGGCTTTGCCCCTCGGTTGGCTTATAGACTGTATCGAGAAGTATGAACTGTGTGATCCGTAATAATGTAGTATTCTTTTAATAAAATTAAAATGCTATTTAAAATAGCTGAATCTCTTAAATACCTTTACAGCTGGTTAATTTAACTACGACTCACCATGTTTTTAACAGCTGACCATCAATTCTTATGTTAAAATGTAGTGTTATCTGTGTTTTAAACTGTGAGAAAGTTTTTATTCAATCTGTAGGCACTACTTATCTTTTGGGGTCCAGGCAAATAGATTAATCTTCTTGGATTTCAAGAAGGAACACCCGAGGGATTCCAAGCTTAGTATATCTAATTGAAACTGTGAAAAGTTTCCAGAATGTCCAGTTGAACTTTTTTAAAATGTTAGTAGAACTAAGGCTAAGATAAGAAGGAAACGTTTTATTATTTATTTATTTATTAATTTCGTGTTAGTTATAATGTACAAATACCCATTATGGATAATGTTTATATCTTATGTTGAAAATAAAAATATAATTTATTGCAAAATTTATGAACAAATTGTTTTTTTTGTTAAGTCTCCCGATGTATGTTTGTATCTACAATGGCTTCTCAAATAAAAACCTTGAGTTCTTTACAAATTAAAAATTTTGTATTGTATTTCGAGTTAGCCTACGTGTATACTTATACTTATTTGTCGATGTAAAGCCTTTGAAAGGATGCTTATGTTATTTTATTTTATTTTTTAGGAGATACATATTTGTTTTTTTTCCGTCCACACCTTTTTGATTTTTAATAATTTCATTGTGTGAATAAATTTGTTAGTTTACACATTGTCTAGTATAATTTAATAAGTTTCATATTTTAAAAAAAATATTTTTTTGCTTCTATAGTGAGGGCTATATATTAATATGTACGTACTTTGTATATAAATAGTAGAACCCGTTTAAGACGATCATGCTTGATACGATTTCCCGCATAATACGCCCCTCAACTTACTAATATTTTCATACATTTCGTGACGCTAATAGATTCGTCATCCCGCTTTATACTCCCGAGCCGAGCCGAGCTGAAATGACCCGAGCGTTCTAACGCGACTCAGAATCGTCGTCCCTCCACCCGCACGTGTGTCAACTGTCATTTGATACCTTGACAGTGGACCTGTTGTGTCGCGTACTCTATTGTTTTTTTGTAATATGGTGCATCATTTGTTTACAATATGACTACTATTAAACGAAAGGCACTGTCACTACAAGAAAAAATTGAGATTTTGAAAGTTTTCGATACGAAATCGCAAACAACAAATCAAACTCAACTAGCTGCCGAACTCAACTTACCAGTCTCTACATTACGCACTATTATAAAGAAAAGAGGAGAAATTAAAGAAAAATATAAATTGGGAAGTGCGCAGAGAAAAAAGCATAAGGTAGGAAAGTTTGATAAATTAGAAAAAGTGCTAGTGGAATGGATTCATCAAACGCGAGCTTTAAAACTTCCCATAAATGGCCCCATAATATGCGAAAAGGCGCGAATAATTGCTAATGGCTTAAAAATCACTGATTTTAACGCGTCAAGTGGTTGGATAGATCGTTTTAAAAATCGCAACGGCATTGTCTATCGTCAAAACAAAAATGGGGAATCACCAGAGGCGCAACAAACGGTTGATACATGGATGTCAACGCTTCCCGAAATGGTCCAAAATTACGAACCGCGAGACATTTTCAACGCGGATGAATTCGGTTTATTCTTCAAACTTATGCCAGATAAATTCCACGATTTCGAGGGGGACACCTGTCATGACGGTAGAGCAAGTAGAGAGAGACTGACCGTGCTGGCCTGCGCCAATTGTGATGGGTCAGAAAAGTTACGTCTGCTAGTCATTGGAAAAGCAAAAAAACCGCCTTCTTTGAACAATGTTAGATCGCTCCCGGTGACATATGACGCACAGTCTCGAGCTTGGATGACCGACGTTCGGTTCAATTACTGGTTGAAAGCTTTAGATGACCAGGTCCAGACTAAAAATAGACAGATAATTCTATTCATAGACAACTGCCCTGCTCATCCTAAAAGTATTGAACTAAAGAACATCAAGCTGGTTCACATACCTCCAAATGCGACAAGCCAATTACAACCGATGAATCTGGGAATCATTAAGGTCCTGAAGCAAGGTTACAGGACAAGATTGATACATCGCTACCTTCAAGAATCGGAAGAGCCTGCCAGCGAACGACCCTTTACCGTGCACGATGCCATTCTTAACCTTGCAGCGTCTTGGGAAGCTGTTAAGCCAGAAACCATTCAAAAATGTTTCGCTACAGCGGGGCTTAGCAATAACGTGGTTGACGAAGTGGAAGAAGAACCCGAGATACTGCATGCGTTTCCTGGCTATTCATCCATTGATGACAATGTGGCACCGTACGAAATTCAATCAATTGAACATCTTATTGAGAATTTTAAGACAAAGAACGAGGATCTAAGTGATGATGATCAAGATGAAGATGTGTCAACTCCCGTTTTGTCAAGCGCCCAGGCTTTATCAGCTATAAATTATTTAAGACGCTATGTATCATCTTTGGATCATAGTGAAGATGCACTTCAAAAGTTGAATTGTGTCGAAAATTTTGTAATCGCTCGTCCAACCAAATCTATAAGCCAAACCAAAATAAGTGACTATTTTAATACCTGCATGTACCTACCAAAAGTAAAATACAGTACATAGTAATATTCTAACGTTTTATTTTGCCTATCCTGCGTAATACGCTTTCTCGGTTAAAACGCGTTTTTGGGATCTTCCCAGGAAGATCGTCTTAAGCGGGTATTAGCTGTGAATAGAGATTTTTTTCTTTAAGTTTAAATTCGAAGCCTAGCTTTAATACAATAGTAACATCTAAAGAAGATTAGGTTTTATGTCAAAACCTAATTGCAACTTGTTTTTTAATCTTTTTTTTAAGAAGAAGAAGAAGGGGACAGACAAGCCTAAGGCTCACTTCATGGAAGGTGAACAACGGGGGTAAAGAGTCGATTCCTCCAAGTAAAAAAAAAAAGAGTTGAACTACCTACTTTATTCATATAACGCTTTATTGTACGCTGTAATCGCAAAATTCACAGTCTGAAACCGAAATCCATAATCTATATATTCTAGAAGTGCACCATACTGACTGACCGAGAATGCGTGAAAAAATACTTATAATTTGCCTCATTACGAAAAAGTAAGTCGAGTACAGTAATCCCCCTCCCCCTCTAAAAGGGGGGTTTTGTGTAGGTTCAATCAAGATAAACAACGTTTACAAGAATAACACTTTTATTATTTTCTTGGAACAGATCACATTTGTATAATACTCACGAATAACAATATTCTAAATACAAGAACACGCCAAGTCGTTTTGGTGGTTGTCAGAACCAAACAAATCGACATACAGTTACGATATGTAATTCGTAGAAAAAATTAAATATTCTCAACTAAAAGGCTGGACCCAGTTTGACAAAATTTTGTATGTTTGAAATATTACTTGACATAAATACTGTCTGTAGTTTACGCGAGTAGTACACATTTAAATAAAACCACTTTAACGGTCTAAAACGCGATATACACAGCTCCCCGTGACCACGGCCCATGCAAAGCATCTCAGAAACGTCGGGCGGAAGTAAAAAAATATTTTTCAAATACTTTAGTTATTATATATCGTGTTTGAAACCGTTAAAATGTTTTGTTTGACTTAAGTAATATAACTATACGCCATATGTATATTTAATATTTGGCACTATACAAGTACTTAACTAAACATAAACTCTTATATTACTTAGTTCTTAGTTAGTTTTGAACTTAGTTCAAGTACAAATAAGAACAGTTAGAATCGTAAACTTATTTGATGGAAGGTGAAATGTCATATAACATCTGAACATGACATATAGACAAACTTGTCTGTAGTTAACTATAAATAAAACACTAACATCCGCCGTTAAAATTGTAAATAACCTTATAGATTTCGCGTTTAAAACCCTTAAAAGTGTTATTATATCTACAGTCATGTTAACCAACAGCGTTTGGTACTCTTAGCGCCGCATGCACATGTGAAAGTTCTATGATACACAATTGGTACTAGTGTTACATTATTAATAAGAAACCGATTGTTAGTTCTAGATCTCTTAGCCATTAATGATTCTTCAGATTATTACTATCGTTAGAGCAATACTGAGAGGCGGGGGAAGGGAGGGGATAAGTAATAAGGACAAGTCTATATGCGCGTGCGCGCCTCGTTTCAACCGAGTTTCAGTGGCCTATATATTACGTAGGGCCAGGTGGTGCAGTGCACCAGGGACCCCGAACTTAGGGGCCCTCTAAGCTTATCTTTGAGATAATATAAGCGTAGAAGAAAATAAAATTTTAACGTTCTTGTAGCTATATTTTCATTCATTCATTTTGGAGGGTGATTTAATGGAAGCTATGCTAAAAGAGGGGACGAGGACCCTAATCTTTCTTGAGCCCTGGGTTTAGGTAGACTGGGGCCCTTATCCACCTTTATAGGCTACTGCGGAGTTTGGTTGTCCGACAACTTTGGGATGACTCTGCCCGACCCAAATAGTCTATCTTTCCTTTAAAACTATGTTTTCGCTTATTTCTTGTTAAAAAAATATTCCAAGATCGGAGTCTTGTATCTTGTATAGCTAACTCACAACAAGTGCCTTAAGTAACATATTCGAATAAAACACTTTAACGGTTTAAAACGCGATATATTATTTTAACTTATTTGGAAATGGTTTTTTTTCTTCGGCCGGACGTTTCGGACGCTTTGCAGCAGCCTTGGTCACGGGAAGATGGGGTCATTTTCAAATAAGTTTAAATAATATGTCGCGTTTTAAACCGTTAAAGTGTTCTATTTCAACATATTCGATATTGCGTAAATCAATTCAGTCTTAACTTTGTAATGTTTAAAATTAAAATTGCTGTCAGGTATCGAAACTCCTGGGCATATACCTGGAACAGAAAATAGTTGACAATAAGCGGCTAAGTGTGAGTCGGGCTCGCGCAACATTCCGGAAAAGGTAAACTACACTGTATTTTTTCTAACTTGGCAAAAACCACGACAAATATGCCCGATTTAAATAAAACACTTCAACGGTTTAAAACGTGAAATATATTAGTTCATACAAAAACGTTAACCATATTAAATCATTGCCGTTACGGCTGTAGTGTGAAACATTTTAATAACTAGTAGATTTCGCGTTTTAAACCGTTAAAGTGTTTTATTACTAGTGTACTAGTCACGTAAACTACAGTTTATTGTTTCTTTGCCAAGTAAGAAAAAATACACCATAAGTTAAGGAATTGTCTTTAGATCACTGACACACACAGTGGGTTCGAGTCCTGCCACCATAATATTATTACTTTTAACCTAAGTTCTATTGAAACATAACAAAACTCACCGCACGCTAACATCGTGAATCCGGAAGACGGAGTAATGGCCATTCTTGAAGAGGGGATAGAAATGCTCCACGGGGGTGGTTAGGAGCGTGTCGCAGAGGCGAGGCTCCTTTCGGAGGGACGGGGCTTCCACGTCCCAAATGTCCGCGAAGGAGCACCCCTTACTGAAATCCATGCAATCAGGTTAAGTAATGACGTCACAACTTGATCTAGAGTATTAAAAGGGTATAAGAGCGATTACGAGATTTGCTTTTAAATTAAGGCTGCTAGAGGCAGAGTGGCCTAATAACAAAAATTTTCGTGATTTTCAATTAGGAGGGCAATAAAAATGTGCAATTAACTTATTTGTGTAAGAATTGTGTTAACAATTTTTAGGTCCCTGCGCTCTTGTGAATTATCATTTTTTTTTTAAAATAAGTCAAGTCATAAAATTGTAATTAGGCCACTCTGCCTCTAGCGGCCTTAATTGAGAAGTTATTAGACTCAGAGATCAGGTAGGATAGACTCGCCATTTAGGGCCACACAGAGGTGAGATTTACGAGAATTTAGTGAATATTTGAGTTGTCTATATTTAACTATCTTACGAGAGAATAAACACTTTCAGCGGTTTCATACGCGAAATTTATTAATTAACTTATTTTTAATCTACTTAAGTAAAACAGTTTAACGGTTTAAACCGCGATATATATTAAGTAAAGTTATTGGAAAATTATTATAACTACGCCCGACTTCTTAAACGGTTAAAGACTTTTTTAAAGGTGTACTACTCACACTAAACTACAGACATTATTTTAAATATATTTTAATTACGACCCGACGTTTTAGGGTTCATTTTTGGCCTGCAGCATTATGACAAGTGGGCGTTCTCAGTTCTACCATCCTGAAATACCATACTGAAATAGTGGAAAACTCACCTGCTGCGTCCGTAGCAGTACTTGTTCTCGACGATAAGATAAGTCGCGCGGAGTTTACTCAGTCCTTGGTACAGTTCGTGCGGCGAGAAGCGCCCGTACATTTTGTACACTGCGTATGCGCGCTCTCTGCGAACAAAAGTAAAAAATCATTTATTTACTGCTCTTGGTGTCGATCCCCACCGGGTCCAACGTTTTTCTAATCAATTTATGATTTGAAAAACGTCGGGCCCAAGTTAAAATCATTAATTTAAAAATCGAAAACGAATTGAAAAACTTTTCGACTCGGGCAGGACTTTCGACCGAGCTGACTCGGTAGCTCAATTGGTAGAGCAACAGCACGGAACGCCGACGATGCCGGTTCAAGTCCTGCCCGAGTCGAAAATTTTTTCAATTTATTTTCGATTTTTAAACTATATAGTGCCTTCAAGTGTTTCTGATGCTTTGCAGTAGTCGTGGTCACGAGGAGACTAAAGATGGAGGAGATCTCTAATGTCAAAGTAAAAATTGCTACGCGCTAGCGTCATCTGTTCGACGAAGTTGGTGTTTGACGAGACTGGCCGGGTCCTTACAGAATTGACTAACGTCTTCGCGTTTGCCGGTATGCTGTTTATTGGGATTCAGAGTTTTCAATATGGGATCCCAGGTGTTTGATATTTTGAGGCCGTATCTCTTTGTGTTGTTTTGTGTTAAAAAGAAACTCAAATTTCCAACTACGATGGAACAGATGGCGCTAGCGTAGCAATTTTTTGCTTTGACTTCAGAGACACCCTCCATCTGCAGATTTCCCGTGACCACAGCTGCTGTAAAGCATCCGAAACGTCGGACCGAAGTTAAAAATATTTTTCAAATAAATTTAACTAATATATACCACGTTTTAAACAGTTAGTGTTTTATTTAAATATGTTCTACTTGCGTAAACTACAGTCTTTAGTAATGTACCTTCTTATAATATTAGTATAGACAAACAAGCTTCATATTATTTATTATCATATAGTGAAGATGAAGAATACCTCGCTTCTATATGCTCGTAGTGTGGGTGGGCGACTACTGGCCTCCGCGTGGACAGCATCACGGCTGCCAGGATGGGCATCGAACCCGCGTACGCGCCGGGCGCCTGCTTCGAGATCCACAGCAGCAACTCCTCTTGTTGGTAATCATTGAATTCACCTGAGGAATTAAGGACCACCTATAATTTCGTTAAACTGATATATTTTGCGTTTTAAACACTCTAACGGTTTAAAACGCGAAATATATTTGTTAAACTTGTTTAGCATATCATTGTCGTTCGGGCTCGAAGAATAAGAGCAATCGAGGAGTCCAACATCTCCTGATGATGCCGTCCACACGTGATGGTGAAACGTCGAGAACCTCTTCTCGCTCACATCGGCCGAACAGCCCGAAAGACAATGATATGCTGAACGATGGCCGTGAAAGCCTTACACAATTTATTAAACTTGTTCATAAATTATTTTTAACTGCGACCCGCGGTTTCGCTTGGCAATTTGTGAAGTTAAAAATAATTTGTGAACAAATTTAACAGCTGATATATTTAAATAGTTAGTGTTTTATTTAAATGTGTACTACTCGCGTAAACTACAGACATCATTTAATAATACATACATGTATATTTAAAACCCCTGTTTTTTAATTCGCACAACAAACAAATATAGACATATAGATGTCGTGTTGATACATTACATATAATATGATGTAAGATCCCGTATCCCTAGTGGGCCATAGGGCGAACACACTCACCGATGTGTGACATCTCTTTGGACACGTTATTGACTAGACTCCACAGCATGGGAACCGCACCTAACACCAATATCACCTTCATGCACTTTGACACTGGCTTTGGGTAACTGAAATTATACTGAGAAGTGTATTCTGCTGCTAATAATATATAAACAAGCGACATCATAGTGTGATAGGCAAACATAGCTGCTTTATAACTCTGTGTGTCTGTCTGTCCTTTAACTCCGAAACTACTGAACTGATTTAAATGAAATTTGGTACAAAGAAATTTTAGAGCCTGAGAAAGGACATAGGCTACTTTTTAATGCCAAAAAGGGTTGAAATAGGGGATGAACGTTTGTTTTAGAAATTCGTGGTTTTTTAGAATCATGAAACTTTCTTCTTGGGCTTTTTGGGAATACGAGTGGAGTGGGAGTGAGTGTAGAATGAGAGTAGAAGTTAAAGTAGGAGTGATGTGAGGTGAGAGTGTTGCGGCAAAGTAGCACTTACAACATAGATTGGCTGCGATAAATGAGCCTTTACATAAATTAATAAACAGCCTCAATAATTAAAAATTCTACCCCAAGTCACTATTCCAAGCGGACGAAGTCGCGGGCACAGCTAGTTGTTTATATGTACTAATCATTCTACCACCTTAATTAAATAATTATTTTAAAACATTACATACTCACATATTATAATATTTATTCTTGAATACTAAAGATGACAGCAGGCACATTTGCGTCGTAAACAATAGTTTAAGTCGCATCACTAGCGCCGCCATCACACCATAGACAACCATCTGCGAGACATTATAGAATATCGCCGCGTCCACAGACAACCGACTCATGAATAGAACCAAACCGTCCACTTCCTTATCCCTTACATCTTGAACCAAAACATCCAAATTTGTGTTCTTTTTAATTTTCAAATCCGAACTATTGTCTATGCCACTATCCTCGTCGTCGATCAGTCTCTCCTTGTCTGACTCCTTACTGTCTACATCCTCTGTCTCTTTCACACTCAGCCAGTAGTATACAGAATTTACGACGCCGAAAAGCACATACGGTATCAAAAAGGTTTTAATCATATTCCCTAAAGAGGTGAGAGGTAAGAAGTCAAAAACATCAGAACAAGTATACATCAGGGTGTGAAAGGTTTTATAGTCCGTTAATTTGGAATATAGGATCTCCCACACATGGGTATCTTCTTGGACTTCTAGGAAGTCGCTGAGTAACTTTTTCAAGTATACCGACGCGCACGCAACTATACAAACTCTTAGTAACACCAGCCAGGACTCCACGAAGAAATCCAAGCGATTTTGGACCTTTATCCTTAAACTGCTGAAGAATAGACAATACACAGACACAACTAAGAACAAACAGGCGTACAAGGAGGTTTTTAGCATAGTGTTGCCTTGCAATAACAGTATTGCCATGTGCAACCCGCAATAGTGTGAATGCAGAAAAATGGAGAGGTGTCTAGAATCTATGACCCTCAACTGTTCCATCACAAAGAATATAGCTATTTGGGTTAGGAAGATGAACTGCGAGAATTGCCAGAACAGTAGACATAGACAATTCAGTATGAACACGCCTATCTGAAACAAATGAACTTCTTTAAAAAATATGAAAAAGCCGTCATGTAATCGCGTTTCGGTTTCCGACTGTGGCTTTACGAATATTTAACGACAGTTAAATGCGCAATTTATATTAATTTTGAACAATCGGATATAGACAGACTAAGACTCGGACGCAAACACTTCACAACCTTTCGATCTGTAGATGGTGGACGGATTTAAAATTTTTAATAATATATTTAAAAAAAATAACACAGAAAAAAAACGGGGGGGATTCGAAGCCACTGGTTATTAGTGATACACGATTACCATTGGAAAATTATATTCATCACTATTCTCTTTGTGTTGTTGTTGTTTTGACAAGGCTATGAAAATAACACAATATACCATGCATTTAGTCGACAGTACTTTGAGTATTATCTATATTTAAAAATTAAATAAAACAATTTTAACGGTTTATAATCTGAAATATAACATGACTTACGATTTACGTTTTAGGTGCTTTGCAACAGCGGTGGTTACGGCAACAAAAACTCATTTTTATTAGGTTAAATAATTTCGCGTTTTGTACCGTTAAAAATGTTTTATTTAAATATAGAATGGTTGTTTATAGCAGCACAGGTATGAAGATTAAGATTGTATACTGTGTTTACTTGTAGCTGTATGGTATTCTTCTTTTTATCTTGTATTTGTACTGTCAGCAGATAAGCTTGCAGAAGCAGAAGAGGTCCAGCCCAGTTCTCTCTCTCGTTAGGGGCCCACTGTACTCTTGTACACTCAGCGTGGTTCGCGAAATACTGTACCACAGCTAGATAACCACCTAGGAAGCTCTCACTGAAAAAGAAAAATCAAGTATTTATTCCTCCAATAATAATGGCTATAGCTTATAATCAACAGGTTATGTATTTTTTATAATATGTTAGAATCATAGTTTAAATTTTTAAAATTAAGGTTTTCAAAGATTTCATAAATTACTTATAAATTAACCTTCAGATTAACACTGTTGTTTTAATTATATCTACCTACATATATTGCTTTCCTAAACTAAGCAAACTGTTATCAAATAACAAAGTATTACCAAGTTATTTGGCCGAGTATGAGTATTAAAAAAGCCGCTGAGTACGCAGAGCACCAGTATCAACCCAGTACTCAGCCCATCACTAAAATGTTGTATATTTCAACATCTTTGACAGTACTAGAATACTAGAATGATGAATTACCTTAACGCCGACGCATGTAGGAACAGAGCAGCTACATTGACCCCAGCAAAGACCCACACAGCCTCAAGGTAAAAGAAGATGGGGTGACCCAAACCTACACAGCTCTTAACTGGCTCGTAGCCAGGACCTCGGTCGACCATGTGGCACTCTCTGTATGTTGTTGTGTTTAGCCATGGTTCTAGATACCGGTAGAGGGCACCGACTAAGACCTGAAAATTAAATAACAATTTCATTGTCAAAGATGTGGAACATTTTTTTCTACAAGCATCTAGAACAAAATGTTTAAAAATAAACTTTTATTCAAGCAATTTGAGACTGCTAGAGGCAGAGTGGCCTATAAAATAAAAATGAGCAATTAATTTAGGTGAAAATGAATTTGTACTATTATTTGTGTAAAGATAATGTTAACATTTTTCAGTCAGTGTGCTCTTGTAAATTAATAGTTTTAGACTATTAAAATATAAGCTGCTAGAGGCAGAGTGGCCTATAACAATGAACATGATTTTCAATAAGGAGGACAGTAAAAATGCGCAATTAACTTAGGCGAAAATGAATTTGTACTATTATTTGTGTAAGAATTATATTAACTATTTTCGGTCACTCTGCTTTTGTAGATTTTTACACTATGAAAATATAAATTACTCAAGTCATAAAATTGCTGTTAGGTTACTCAGTTGGCCTCATATTATTTAAATCAGTACAGCAAGTTGTATGTGAAACAATGGCAAACAAAGTTAGCCAAATTATATAAGTATGTGTTAGATAAATTAATGTAACTAATTCATGTTTGGTATAGAATCAGTGTTCCTATCCTTACCTCTGGATGAATATTAAATCGATTAAATGCATTAACTTCTTTCGGATATTCCACAGTTCGGTCATACATCAACTTAGATATACCAGCTACAAACGGCTGTTCTTCTACCACAGTCTTATAATATGAGTAGTAAAAACCCATTTCTGTGCGAAAGGACATTTCCCTCTCCAAATCCGAGAGATAGGAGAAATGACGATCATTCTCAAACAAGACACTAACATATGCATAGTGAATCTGAGCTATGAGTAATACTGAAATAAATGGAGTTAGTTACATATATTATATTTGGAACACTACTCTTTGTTTTATTAGGCACATATTTAACTTAGTAGCGTAAATGATCTACATAGAAGAAACAAAGTCTTAACTCTCATTAAACTTCCTTCACTTAGATTTGCTTGTAAGGTTATTCAGTACAGAACCAAACTTATTTCATAGATCGCCTAGTTGGTTGTAAAGTTAATGTTGACTTAAAATATAAATTATGGTCTATAATGTTTTATATTAAATAGCTATGTACATACCAGAGGTGGATAAAAGAAATGTTTTAAATAAAATTTTCATTGAGTATGGAGGTTCTACCTCCTGAGGTCTTTCAGAGCTTTCTTCCATGATAACTTAATAATGTAATTAAAGCATATTTCAAACAGGAGATCTTAAGAAAATTAATACGTAAGGTAAACTGTTTAAATAAATTATTACTGACTTTAAAATTAAAATACAAATATTTGTAAATGAAGCCTTAGCGCCTCAGTGACAATTGACAATTGACATTTGACAGCTGATAATGGTAACTTGTTGACTTTAACGGTATTTTTCAATTTTATCTATGGTTGGCAACTCCCGATTTATATTGTAGAAACAAATATTCCTTTTAGAAAAAAATATGTTAAGACGAGATTAAGAAACGAGAAATTTATAATAATTAATTTTATTTTTAACTGAAAACGTTTTAACAGCCATATTCATAAAATGAATTTGTGATTGCCTCTTGACATAACAAGAATTGACATTGATGTACGGATACCGACTAGCCGTTCCCCGGGTTTAAACTTTAAGTTTTATTTTTGAAAATTACAATAACTCGCAAGAAAGTTCAATATATAAAAAATAATAATTACAGCGATAGAAACCTACAATTATTGTAATTAAAAAAAGGTCTTACATACATATTTAATGTATTCGCATTTATTATTATGCTAAACAATAGCCAAAATGATAAAAATATTCAACTGATAATTCTGAGGTCACAAGATTTAAACTTTAACACGATGAGGTCATTGCTAATTTCACGAATAGATATTCAGACAGGAAAACATAACATAGTCTTCCATATGTTATAAAACCAATAAGCAAGTTCTTATACAAATATGGAAGCTTGAATAAAAATGGACGTTATTTGTTTTAATTAACAGTAGGTAATGCAAAATTATGGTTTATTTTCCATTGTTGTTTTTAGGTAAGTTTGTTTATTATACTGGCGTACTTATAATATAAAAATGTAAACAAGGATTAGAAACTGGTATGGTTTTTCCACAATCTTATAAGAAGTGGTGTTCAAATTCTTAATCTTGAGGAAGATCCAACCATTCTTAATATTAAGAAGTTGGTTGGAATTAATCTTAGGTTAATTATATTGTAATTGTAGCTATTTTTATTTACAGCTCTACCTATACTAGAAGGCTCTGTACTTCTAGTAGATTTTCAGTGAGTATAGCAAATACACTTAATTCTTCTGTATATATTTTTCTTTGTGATGGAGTAATCCATATACGAGATCAACAAGAATGATTATAACATCGAGAACCTTTGATGGTCAATATTCAGATTTATATGATGAAATTTTGATTTTTCAAATATAGCATATAAAAATGTACATGTTTAAATTTCAGTAACTCTACCCTATTGAGTGCAGATACATTGCTTCGGACTAAAAGACGGATAGACTGCAAGTCAGTATAATATAATATTAAATATAATTTGTATGTATATATACCAAATTAGTTTTTTATTAATTTAAGTAACATTAAAAAGAACTTTTAACTTTCATTCTATTACTTTTTGGAATTTTTGTCTGAAATTTCTGCACTATTTGTCTTACATTGTTACTAAGCCTACTACCAGATTTCTTGGCCAAATTAGCATGATTCTATAATCCTAACACCAAGCTATAATGGTTGTAAACTGTGGCAAAGAAACCTTTGAATACTGGACCAAAATTTAAATTACTAGCCCATCAATGGTATGGGATCCAGTCTTCGAATTGGTTTTACCAAAAAAAACTGCCTATGATTCAGCTCAATGGTGTTGTGTTTTATATGGCAGGTGTTTTTGGTCAAGAGGCGTAGAAACAGATTCACCAATTTCATGTTAGAAAAATTATCAGTGAAAACGACAGAAATATTCGCCCCATGCCCCGAGGGGAATTTTCACTGCTAATACTAATTTCTAATTTCTAGTGAGGATGAGCATGCATGCAGTGATTTCTGTATACCTTTGAATCGAGAGTGTGATGGGGTCCTCGATTGCTCCGATGGCAGTGATGAGAAGTCCTGTGAAAGGTATGTAATTGAGGTTGAAATAAGTATCTGATAATATGATGTTCTTTTTTGCTAGTTTAAATTATAACGTGTTTCAAGCCCGCTGCTAGACATAAACCTATATAACACATATATGTGATTGAACCATTTGTAAACTTAAGGAGAATTTAAGTATTGTCTGTAGTTTAAATAAAGTACTGGTAAAGATTTGAAACAAGAAATATATTATGTATCTTTATTCCAGATGCACCAATATTTCTTATTACCACTTTATAGGATTATAAGTTCATAATTTGGTTAGGTCAATATATTTATTCCATATAATGGTAACTCTCAAAAACGATAAAACATATTCTGATTTTAAGTTCCGTTACAAAGACATTGAAGTTATAGAAATTTTAAAATACAGTTTTCATTTTATAAAGGGTTTCAATAAATTGGGAAAACCATATTTAGAATAAACCTCATATGTTAAATATTTTAAAACAGAACATCTGACTCGAAAGACCATAAATATAATTCGATACAATAGCACACTTCCTCTATTTCAGGCTTTATCAATTCATTTGCCAAGATGGGAAACGGATAACAGTCGACAAGAAATGCGACGGCAACATCGACTGTCCCGATGGAAGTGACGAGACCTTCACGCTGTGTAGGAAGATGATGTAAGGGAGACCAATCCACATTTGGTATTTAATGCTAGCTCCAGCTTTGAGCACTAAAGGGGCATCAAGTTGACGTTCGCAAGCGTAGTTATACCCAACAGATGCCTCTAGAACCAGTACTAAACTGGTCGAGAACTAAACCAGGGCTTAGTAAGAACGAGGAAAAATGCATGAATGATGACTCCTTTTATGGCCAAGTTTCTTTAACAAAGTCTTAGCGCACTTAAAGTGTGTATCTGTTTCTAATCAGTTTTATTAAGAGGATATTTTGAAACTTTTGAGCCTTGCGCGACCGAAACAAATTTATTGTTTTCTCAAGATTCGAACCTGGGCCTCTCGAACTTAACGCAGTGCTAATTTATGTAACTGTAAGTTAAATTTCTTTCCTCCGTCAAGCCTATAGCATTTAATTAAAACCCCGAACAGATGCCCAGACTACCTTTTCCGGTGCGCCTACGGCGCCTGCGTCGATGGAACAGCGCCGTGTAACAAGATCAAGGATTGCGTGGATAACTCGGACGAACTGCAACCGCGATGTAGGGCCCAGAGTAATATTGTGGGGTATGGGACATTTTTAATCTTATATTAATAGGGAAAAGATTTGTAATTTTGTATGTTTGTTAACATAACAACTACTGCTCTAATTACAGGATTCTTTCACAAATAAAAAAGGTATAGCCATCTACAGTAATATAGGCAATATTTTCAGCTAGGAATGGATATAGGGGGCAACCATTAACATGGAAACTCTAGTCACAATACAGATTTCGGATATTTTTAATATTTTGAAAATGTTGACTAGAATTTAATTTCAAATTCCTTTACATCTTCTATTCTATGGAAACTATTGATGATAGTAGTATCATCTATAATAACAAATATCCTCTCTTTTCCAAATATCCAATGTCAAAATAGGTCGACAGTGCACCTTGTTGAAATAATCTGTGGCTGGGTATTTTACCGAATTCATTAAGCGAACCCAATGCCTTTCTATTTGCCACGTAAAACATCTTGCAGTCTAAAGAAATCTTTTCGCCTCTCTAGCAACAATTTCAAGTGTCAGAACGGCGATCTGATAGACCTGTATCTCGCGTGCGACGGCGTCGCGAATTGCGCCGACGGCTCCGACGAGTCGATCAGCTCGTGCGCCGGCGCAGTCTGCCCGACCAACCTGTTTCAGTGCGCGTACGGCGCATGCGTCGACGAGGGTGCTGATTGCAATTTTGTGAGTACCGATTTTGAAAAAAAAAATTCAAAAAAGCAAACACCCCCAGTGCTTCATATTCATAAATAACGTAGCTTGGCACTGAATCATTACTTTATGATTTAAATAAAACACTTTTCACGGTTTCAAATACGAAACATATTAGTTAAACTTATTCCCAAATTACAGCAGCCGTGGCCTTAACTTTACTATTCTATAACGGAATTTGGATTTTCCTACCACATAAATGTAAATATTTTTCCGACTTTAAGTTAAATATGACCACTTTCGTAGCTCAGTCGTTAAACTCCTAATGCATAGTGTATTTAAGCACAAGGGGTCCTGGGTTAGAATTCCATGGAAACAGTAAAATTTTTCGGAAAGATTTATTTACAATTATTCTTCACTTGGTAGTAATGAATACTTGTGGCAACATTAAGGCTATTCTTGTGTATCAAATAATTATAGATCCAAGAGTGCGCAGACGGCTCCGACGAGTCGGATCAGCTCTGCAATAGGACCTTGTCTACCACAACCACAACTACCACCGAAGCACCGTCTGCTGTTACGTAAGTTTAATTTCCACCTTAAAATGTACACTAAATTTTAGGACGCGTCGTAAGCATTATAATTTCTGCTCGAGGAACAAGGATAGAGTTATTAATTATTGTCTTTGTCGCTCGCCAGTTTTCAATCGTGACAAATAAAGATAACTCTTTGATGCTTCGCTGTAGAGAGTATTTTACGCAAAAATCAATCACTGGAACAAAGTCTTCTATAAATTTTTATATTTAAAGTCAAACATTCTTTAAATATAAAGATTTTGGTTGTAAAAGTCGCAAGTGGGTAAAACAAAAAATGTTTGTCTTATCCGTGGTCAGAGCAAGATTACATCTATAGGTATATAATCTAAGACGTTATCGTGATAGAATGTTTGGTTTGGGGGGTTCATGACGCTTTACTTCCGAAAGACGTAATCGTGTAAAATCTAACAAGGAATTAAGGACTGGATTATTGTTTCAGAGCGAAGGCGTGTACAGTACCGAACCACCCGAAAAACGGCTTCTACCGGTTAAGCGCTAAACCGAACGCGGCTTATATATATCTGAATGTGACGTGCAAACCGGGTTTCAAGTTGATCGGGGACGAGTCCATATACTGCTATAGCGGGCTCTGGTCCGTTCTTCGTTTCCCGACTTGTGTGCGTGAGTAGACCTTTTTACAGGACATGGTGAAATACAGTTTACCCTTGTGGGGCATGGGGCTAATGCATTTTTGTGCATTTCGATTTACAGGCAAGTAGTTGATCCCACTTCTGTGACCTACCAGACCTAAACATTTTGTTGCTTGAGACTTTTTTGCATCGTAAGCGTTTGGTTTACTTGATGGCAGATGAAAATATTCCAGTCGCATAACATAATATCAAATTCGTTTATTCGGAAATTAACAGACTGAATCCGAAACGTAAACTTCCGCGTTTTTACATTTACGATTCTTGACATACGCAGCGGCAGAATTTCGATATTCCTACCACCTTTCAAGAAAATTGGGAAACTGTTGGGTCCGGTGCAGGTCAAACCCACGATCCCTCGATTATTAGCCATACATTGCTACTATTCCACCAACTTACATGGGCGGGACGGATTCGACAGGGGCTAGAGAATCTACTGACTGAAATGTTGAAACTTATAATGACTGAAACTTACATTTCCCGACCAACCCAGTATTCGAATCCGGGACCTCGCGATGTAACAGCGATGACTACGTTATACTTTGTAGTTTCATCTTCAATGATTTCTTAAACTGCAAAGCACAAGAACCTCAATACTCAAGTGTTAAGGTTGAAATAACATTGCGCGAGAGGTGCGTGTATCAATAGTTGGGAAATTCGACGATGACGTGTAGGACACGATAGCTCAATTGGTTAGAGCAACAGCACGGGACGCTGTGGATGCCGCTTCAAGTCCTGATAGTAAATTTGTTTAATTTATAATCGAATTTTAATTTATATAGTGCCATCATTTGCAATAACATGTAAAAAATATTAAAGTTTTCAAGCGAAGACTATAAGAGGTCTTGTTTCTACCTTACGTTTGGTATGAAATTATTCAAATAAAGTACTTCCTTCGTAATTAAAAAATCTAAAATAAATTGGAAAAACTTTCGACTCGGGCAGAGCTTGGACCGGCATCGTCAGCGTTCCGTGCTGTTGCTCTAGCCAATTGAGCTACCGAGTTCTACACCTCATCGTTGAATGTTTTCAACTTATTGATACATGCACCTCTCGCGCATTGTAATTTTAACCTTAACTCTTCCATTTTAAGGTTGAAATTACATTACTTCCGTGTTTACCTCTATCCTTGCAGGTTCTTGCAAGATAAAGCCATCAGACAGCGTGGTCTACCGTTGTCTGGTAGCCGAGGCCAGTGGTCTGGACGGAACCAGGGAGTGTGACAAGGAGGAGATCGAGGGGACCCTGGTTCAGCCGGAGTGCAGGCGTCCGAACTACTACAGCCCGAGAGATCTGCCCTATATGTTCTGCGAGGATGGGAAGTGGAACTATGAGCCGAAGTGTGTTCCAGGTGGAGCTTTGTTTCAGAATGTATTTATCTATGCTAATATGTGAAGTTGAAGAGTTTGTTTGAACGCGCTAATCTCAGGAACCACTGGTTCGGATTTAACAATTCATAACATCGCGTTGTGATTAACACAAGCGAAGATACAGCGAGAAATGTGACAAAATTTGGGAAAATTATTCATCATCACGGGTTTCCGAGCCGTACGCTGCAAACACAGTTCAAGATACCCAAAAATATCTACGAAATAATGATTCCTCCTTAAATGATCTAAAAAAATTAACGAAGAAATAACAATATATGTCTATCTCTTAAGATTAACTTGCTAGAACGACGGGACGCGGACGACGTCGTGGGCAACAGCTTAAGTCTATAAAGATGAGGTTGGCAAAAACAAATTTAGTTGCCCAAAGTAACCATAGTAAGCGGACGAAATCGCTGACACAGCTGGTTAATAAAAAAGAAATCAATTTTACCGTCTATAGTCACACATACGCATTTATATAAAACACTTTTCGGATGCTTTGCAGCAGCCGTGCTGCGGCAGTCTCCCCGTGATCATGGCCGCTGTAAAGCATCCTAAGCGTCGGGTTAAAATTATTTATAACTTATATATTTCGCGTTTTAGCCCGTTCAAAGTGTTTTATTTAAACGTGTATGTTTTTCACAGAGTGCGGCACGGTGATCCCGAAGGGCGAAGTCCTAGTGATCGGCGGGAAGCAAACGGACAGGGGCGAAGTGCCGTGGCACGCCGGCATCTTCTTCAAGAACTACACGGACCACACGATACAGCAGATTTGCGGCGGTTCTCTTATCAGCACTTCCATCATCATTTCTGGTAAGAGGCTCGCGTGACGTTTCGTCTGCCGATCGAGGGTAAGGCGATCTTAAACACAAAGGGCAGAATTTGTGGCCATGGCGAAATAAATATAAACATATTTATAAATCAAATTATAACAATGAATACATTTTTAACGGTTTGGAACGCGAAATATAGGTTCACCGTTGAGTCGTAGTTACACAACAACGGCTTGATGTTTAACGGTGGACCCTAGTTTATTTATGTATAAATGAAAAATCGATTATAAATAAATACTGTCTCTATAGACAGGATTTTTTTTATAATCGATTTTTCACGCGAGTAGTACATATTTAAATAAAACACTTTAACTTCGACCCGACGTTTTGGATGCTTTGCAGCAGCCGTGGTCACGGAGACTCGATTATAAAATTATATTAATGATTATAAAAATTATAGTTTTCATTATTTTTGAACGATTTCATACACGAACAATGAAGATAATTTATAAATAATAATACATCGTAATGAAAATGTATTTACTACAAAAGTTTGTTTTTAAACGGTTTAAAATTAATTAATTGTGCTTAACCTTCTTATCGCTGTGAAAGATTTATTTACTATGAAAGTTTGCTTTTAAACCGTTAAAAAGTAATTTCATCAGATTATATTTCCTGCAGCGGCTCACTGCTTCTGGTACGAGGAGATAGGACAGCTACCGACACATCACTACGCGGTTGCCGTCGGGAAAATATATCGAGAATGGGACCATCCCAACGACATGCAATATGCGCAGCGAAGGAACGTGAGTGAGACGGATAGACGGATAAGAGATAGCAAAGCCAAAAGATAAGAATTGCGAACGATTTTTGGGCCCGGTGCGATTTCCCCCCCAAAAATGTTTGATGCCTTGAACATTAATTTTGAAATTCCTTACTAGTGACGAACTGACATAAGCCGATAAGAAGTCGTTTTTTCCTCAGGATTCGAAACAATGATAGGCAATGCGCTTATCCATTGAACCACATCTAGGAATCTTACTCTAGACTTCACTAACAGGAGGCTTACATACCATTAAATTGCTTAACACGCCTATCAGCTTAAGCGTAGAGCCGTACGTTACTTTTAGTCTACAATTTCTCTACTCTTACTCAACCATTACTTTAGTCTTACTTTATTATTACTGTGCTCTTACTCTACTCTTTCTCAACCATCACTTTAGTCTTACTTTATTATTACTGTACTCTTTCTCAACCATTACTTTAGTCTTACTTTATTATTACTGTGCTCTTACTCTACTCTTTCTCAGCCATCACTTTAGTCTTACTTTTATTATTACTGTGCTCTTACTCTACTCTTTCTCAACAATTGTTTTTTAACTTGCTCTTTCTACTCTTTCTTTACTAGTAGTACTCTTAATCAGGTATCGGAAATAATCTTGGCGACGCGTTTTTACGGCGCCGCCATCAACTATCAATATGACTTGGCCATAGTGATCGTCAACGAGCCGTTCTACTACCGGACGTACATTCGCCCGCTCTGTCTGGACTTTGACCCGGCGCTGAGTGAGGAACAGTTGCGCAAAGGGAATATGGGCAAGGTGAGATCGAGAAGACCCATTCTTCTCACTGTAGACTCTTTGATACTCTTTTTAGGGTTTCGTATCCAATGGTTATGGGACCAGATTGCTTAGACTTTGTCTGTTTGAATATATTAGAAAAAACATAATGATAAAAATTCATTATTTGGATGAAATACTTTTAACGAACGAACGAAACTCGACATTTATTAGAAGACGTATTTCTTAATTTATGTTAACTACGGCCCGACGTTGAGGATATGCAGAAGCCGCCGCCGATCTTCAACGATACTCCACGCTTGTCATTTGAAGTAGAACAGTAGAAACATATACATATTTTTATGCCTATTTTTTATGCTCATGACCTTATCCCCATATGGTCCAGGTGGCCGGCTGGGGTCTGACCACGGGGCTCGCTGGGTCCGAATCGCCGCTGCTAAAAGTGCTTGACGTCCCCTACGTCCCCTATCGGGAGTGCGTCGAGAAAACACCTAGGAACTTCAAGGAGTTCCTGGCCGGAGACAAGATATGCGCTGGACACGCTAATGGTAATTTGTATCATTCATCTTTACTGATATATAAAGCTGAGGTTTGTTTGTTTGACGCCTAATCTAAGGAACTACTGGTGGGAATTGAAAAAATATTTTTGTGTTGATTAGAGATTTTATGAGGTAGGTGTGGAATGTCGCGTGAGACTTATAGACGCGTAGAGAGGGGTTATGTGGAAAAAATTGGGAAAATTATTCATTTCTGTGAGTTGCCGAGAAAGAAATGTATTTAGGTGGAAAAAAAAGGTGACAAGGCGGAATGTGATCCGGCCTGCTGCTCGGCAAATATTTTTATTTGTGATATGTGCAATGACGTGTAGAAATAGTAATAGTAACAATTATTTAAATAAAACACTCTTAACGACTCAAAACGTAGAGTTTTAGTAGAGTAAACATTGATCTCTCTCTTCAGATCCTCATGACCACGACTCTGAAGGCATCCGAAACGTTAACCCGTAGTTAAAATAAATCCTTACTAATATTTTAAATGCGCAAGTAACTCTGCCTGTTGTTACCTATCAGCCAAAACTACTGAACGGATTTGAATGAAATTTGGTACACATATGTTTAGACCCTGAGAAAGAACATAGGTTTTTATTGCGAAAAGGGGATGAAAGTTTGTATGAAAATTCGTTGAAGTGGTCTTTGGCTATTTGAGAATAGGAGTGGGAGTGGGAGGGAAGTGGAAGTGGAAGTGGGAGGGAGTGGAAGTGAGAGAATAGGGGTGATGAGGTGAGAGTTGGGCAAAGTAGATTACAACATAGATTGGTGCGATAAAGGATTACATAAATTAATAAACAGCCTAAATAATTAAAAATTCTACCCCAAGTCACTAATCGACGCGAACGAAGTCGCGGGCACAGCTAGTATAAATAAGGTTATAATATACTTAGCTTTTTCAAACGTAAAAGTTTTACTTAATTGGGTGTATCGGTACTACACTTTTATTGTTAAGAATACTTTTATTGTTAGTTAATACACGACCACTATTAAGCTGATTTAAATAAAGTTTTATGATATACACGTCAGAATGTATTATAGTATAGATCACTTTTAACGGTTTATAATGCGGAATATTCTAGTTAGACTTATTTTTGTTTAATTTTGTAATTACGGCTCGGCGTTGCGAATTCTTTGCATCAGCCGTGATCAAGATGTCGCAGCATTAGTAAAATTAAAAATAAATCAACTTATATATGTCACGTTTACAACCGTTAAGTGATTTATTTGCATGTTCACTACTTACATAATACTACAGACAATACTAAAGGCGGAATAGCACTGCTATAAGCATATATGTATTACTTTTCAATATTCCCGCAGGTACAACTCTATGCAAGGGCGATAGCGGCGGAGGCCTGGCGTTTCCCTCGCAAGTCCAATCGACGACGCGTTATTTCCTACGCGGGGTCGTTTCCACCAGCCCACCCCCCACCGACAACCTTTTATGTCATTTATTCTCTTATACAGGATTCACTAACGTTACAGAACACGAACAACTTATTGTTAAGTATTGGTACGTGTGACGGTTGCCTAGCAACCGCAAGAAACATGCGCATATACAAGATGGCCGCCACTGACACTAGAAGCAAGTTTTAACACCTTTAAGGCATTATAAAAAACTACAGACTAAAAATGTATTTAGTACATAGAATCTTTATTTAGTAAATAATATGTTGTTCAAATCGAATTTAATGGAAATCAGGGTTTTATGCAATACTCAGTTTAAACATTTAATTTTATAAGTTAAGACAATATACGGTCTATAGTTTACGCGAGTAGTACACATTTAAATAAAACACTTTAAACGGTCTCCTCGTGACCACGGCTACTGCAAAGCATCCGAAACGTCGGGCCGAAGTTAAAAATCATTTTCAAATAAGTTTAACTAATATATCGCGTTTTAAACCGTTAAAGTGTTTTATTTAAATTAAGACAATATTCTATAAGAATCTCAACTTTTTTTAATTTTACAGCAAATAAACGATTTAAAAATAGAGTTCCATTTTGTTTTATTATTAAAAAGCAACCTTCGTGTTTCTAAAAACCGATAATTAGATCGAAAACCGATGATGGCTTACCGATTAAGGAGGACATCACTATTTCTATCTTATCTGCATGTTGGTAGACTAACTGCTGTCCGTAAGGTTTAGTATAAGCTTTGTAGTCATTGTGGAAGCTTGTGGTTTGTTTCGTTTAGTTTTCCCGCGCAAAAGTTCGATTCTTATGTAGCGTGTAGATAAAGTTTTTGTTCAGGTAAGAAGTAAGTTTTTTAGTGTGCCGCGTAGATATTATAATATTATACAGATAAATGATAAAAGGAATAATGTCTGTAGTTTACGCGAGTAGTACACATTTAAATAAAACACTTTAACGGTTTAAAACGCCATATTTGATAAACTTATTTAAAATTTTAACTACGGCCCGACGTTTCGTCACGAGGAGACGTTAAATTTTGAAATAAGTTTAACTAATATACATATATCCCGTTTTAAACCGTTAAAGTGATTGAATGTTAAAAGAATCGGCCTATTTGAAGGTTAATAATTTTACCGTCTTCTTATATACCATTCGGTCAATCAAAATGTGTACTTTGTAGCGACAAAGAAAGCTGTCTTGTACGGTCGGAATACAAAAAAACAATAATTGAACATAGCTTCAATGTGTGTGATACCATAAATAGAGAAAACGACAAATGAAAAGTAGAAAAGTTTTTGTCTATACTAAGCGCGTTAGTAGAGCGATATCTCTACGGTATGCGGTCTTTCGCGGGTTTGAGTACTTGTTGTGGATTTTTAACTTTTCAAATAATATATATTTTTACTGAATACATTGTATGTTTTTTACATGTTTAATACATATTTAAATGAAACACTTGTAAACACACACACACACACGGTAAAATGCGAAATATGTTAGTTGATTTTATAAGCTTACTTCTTTATTATTTTAACTACGGTCAGATATTTAAACAAATTACCGATATCATTTACTTATTTAAATTAATATTTCGCGTTTTAAATCGTTAAAAATATTTAAATGTCTTAATGTAAATATAATGATTTTTTATTTCAAATTAAGACTTTAAAATTAATTAATTCGTATTGTGTACACGAATAGATTTGACAACGGAACGAGCGACGCGGATTCGAACCCCGCCCGTGCAATACAATTTGTTTCAAATAATATTTCGATTCCCTTAGCCATGACGAAGAGAAGTAAGGCATCGACGATTTGCGCAACTGTGGTTATCTTCATCAATATTATAGCAGTGGTGAGTCTTTAATACCTGTGGGGGGGGGGGGGGTCTTTAATTATCTGACATTTGGTTGTCACAATAATATCATAAGTTCTTGCAAGTTAATGTTAAAAGATAAATGTAGATAAAAACAATCCGATTTTTTTATATCATCTAATGAGGAATCATTCTTTCATACCTTTTGGTGTCTTGAACCGCTTTCGAAGCGCACCCAAAGGGAACCCTCAAACATGAATGATTTTCCCCGTTTTTTCCACACTTCCCTCTAGAGATTTGGGCGTTTCAACAAACAAACAAACTCTTCAGCTTTATAATATATATTATTTAGATTTTACGAGCGATCATCAACACGACCCGTTGATCGTTCGATCACCACCGGGTGCAACATTTTCTCACATAATTTATAATTTTGCTGAATCATGTTGAGCCCTGCCGGATCGCGAACCATCGTCCGGTTTTTTGAAAACCTCATATCTGTTCTCCTTTATCATAAAAAATTAAACTCAAGGCTTTGTTTGTTTATTCTCAATAACTAACCCGTTCCCTTATAACCTTCCTTTTTCGGGGTATGGGGCGAACACAATTCTGTGTCCGTTTCACTGAACGTTCAATTCACAAACAAGTGGTTGTTAAGAATCCATCCCTGTGTCAATAATATAGTTTTTTTAAGAGAAAAACTAAATTTCAGATGATAAGTCTAACAATATTCGCCTTGGGTCTTTGGGTGATCATTTCGCCCAAGACTATAGAACACGTGATTCAGATGTTGGGCACTCCAGTGATAAAGGTATGTACAAGGTTCGATTCCAGTTTTTCAAAAATATTTGTCTCAATGCTTGTACCAACACGCTGAAGCGGCATCATACGGAGAAGTAGGTAATTGAAAACTCAAAGACGGGACTCAAACCCGTGGCAACCCCTTTTTTAAATATTTATGAAAGTATATAAAGAAATACTATCTGGAGTTTACGCGAGTAGTACTCATTTAAATAAAACACTTTAACGGTTTAAAACGCGATGTATATTTTTTAAACTTATTTGTAAAGCATCCGAAACGTAGGGGCGTAGTGAAAATAATTTTCAAATAAGTTTAACTAATATACATCGCGTTTTAAACTGTTAAAGTGTTTCATGTAAGTATATGAAGCGTTTTGAATAAGTAGCTAAAAAATCTATATGTTTCGTGTTGTTAGTCTATATAGGTCGATAGCATAATATAATTAAATGTTGATGCCATTGATGCAATGGTAGCGATCTTACTAATCACCACATCGTGGCTTCGATCCCAAGCAAATTTTACAACGTCACTCATGTATTTAGAAGTAGGTATATGGCACATTTTTTTACATATTATAATTTATTTAAATAAAGCACTGTCTTTAATTTAAGCGAGTAGTACTCATTTAAACTCTTTAACGGTTTAAAACGCGACATACATTAGTTAAACTTATTTTAACTACGGCCCGACGTTTCGAATGCTTTCGACAACCGTGACCATAGTTCAAATAAATTTTACTAATATATATCGCGTTTTAAACCGTTCAAGTGTTATATTTAAATGTGTATTACTCGCGTAAACCACAGACAGTATTTTTTAATCACTTAATATTGGAAATGGATAGGTTTGTTGCTAAAATCGAAACTGAACCTTTGGCTTGCATAATCCTTGTTAATAACAACACAAAGGAAATGAAAACAGGTTTTACGGCTGACTTTTATTCCCACGCCCGTTCGTGTTTGACTATTGATATTTTTCAATAGCGAATTTTGCCGACTGCGCAGAGCTATTATTGTTTTTTTTTTAATGACAGGGCTCACTTAATAGTAAAATATTCGAGCTGTATACTTCAAACGTGATGTTCTGTGATCTATTTTGATTTTACATGTTCGGAAATCCACGGACTGAAATGGTAACGCCTTTACGCTTTGCGGCTTTCCGCGTCTGGGCATTACTTCGTGACCCGGACGTAATTCAAATATCCTACCCTCTATTTTAACTGCCTGACGATGTCTAATATGTTTTAGAAAATATATAAATTGATAAGAATTACGAGCCATTCATTATTATTTGTAATACATTGCTATACATCAACATGATCGCCTAAGTCGATTAAATCAATATCGAACAATGATAGCTGGCTATTAAACAAAAATATAGGTTACTGTCTAACAGAATTGTGTAATGAGTCAATAAACTATTAAAATGGTCGCACGCAACGTGAAATTACTGGAGGGTAGTTGGACATTATCGTACACGATACGACCCAATTATGTGGACGTCATTGTCTATTCATAGGGTCATTTAAACGTTATGTTTTAATACACCACCTCTGTTACTTTATTGAGCAACCTAGCAGTTAGACGTGGGAGACGCTGGGTTCAAAACCCGGCAAACAAAAAAAAATAACAAAAACATAAATTAAATACTGCCTATAGTTTACGCGAGTAGTACACATTTAAATAAAACACTTTAACGGTTTTAAAACGCGATATATTAGTTAAACTTATTTGAAGATAAAATGATTTTTATCTTCGGCCCGACGTTTTGTTTCACTAATATATCGCGTTTTAAACCATTTAAGTATTTTATTTAAACGTAAATTGTTAAAGAACTTATTTCAATAAACGCACTTTTAACGGCTTGAAACTTTAAATGTATTTTTAGTCACCAAGGCTGCTTGCTGCAAACCATCTGAAACATCGGACAGTAGTTAGAATTAATAAAAAACAAAGTTCACTAATATATTTTGAGTTTGACGCATGATAGCACTATTTAAATTAAAAATCGATTACAAATTAACATTTAAATAAAACATTTTAACGGTTTAACACGCGATATATTTGGCGAACAGGCCAGGCAAATACCAACTCGACGGAAAGATGGCCTAGCGTAGCGGTCTTTAACTATTAGTCGGAGACATCCTCCACCTTTATTCTCCTGTGACCAGGCTGCTGCAAAGCATCCGTAGTAAGTTAAAAATCATTTCAAATAAGTTTAATAATATATCGCGAATTAGGTATTTTATTTAAATCTGTACAACTCGCATAAACTACAGACAGTATTTAACTATTGTAATTATTGGCGTAGATAAATGTTTCATTTATCGCGTTATTTATGTCCCACTGCTGGTACGGATTGATGAATTGGCTGGCACGGATCTAGACCCACCATCTCATCAACAGTGTGATTCTTTAATGCTTCTGTAATCTGTCTATAATTCACGTAATCGTGAACAAAGTTCTCCCCCTAATGACCATTTCGCGCGTTTCCAATACGGCCCTGTTTGATCCATTGTTTGTGCCCCAGAAACCTATATAGCTTCGAAATTCACATGTGGTTCGTGCTGTGTCATGGTACAAGGCGAAGCCCCACTTCGGTCTAGCTGGTTTAATTATTAACAGAAGTGAGTTCGATTTCCGTCATCGTGGCTTTAAATGGCCTTGCCCTATAACATCTAGGTAATTAGAATGTGTTGTCGATCTATTGTGGCTATATGCAAAGAATACTGTCAATAGTTTACGCGAGTAGTACACATTTAAATAAAACACTTCAACGGTTTAAAACGCGATATATTAGTTAGACTTATTTGAAAATGATTTTTATCTTCGGCACGACGTTTCAGATGCTTTACTTTCAAGTTGTAACAAAAAACCAATTATGTTTTTTACTGTCGACTGCGTTAAAATTTACGATTTTTTCTTTACTATGTAAAAACCTACTCTCATACGTAGTAATATAGTAAAGAATAGAATAGCAACGACTGATAAAGGCATAATTCCAGGCTCTCTTCCCTGATGGGTCTCTCACGCTACAACTTGGTATCAGCATGAGTCTCTTGGGCATCTTCTTACTTTTTATTTCGATGATGGGCCTCTACGGTGCAGTGTGTAATTCGCCATTCTTGCTGTTTATGGTATGTAGATCATTACTAATTATTCTTCTTCTTCTTCTTTTGTTAACTGTCTATATACAATTTCGTGTTGTACTTGTATATAGAACGAATTTTCCACAACGTGTCGAGGCCTTATGTGGAAAAGAGGAATGGACCATTTTTAAATATAGAACTATCCGATTATCACTATTGACTCGGCATGATATTAATGTTGCGCGTGCGCAGGGTCGTTAGCTCCTTATGTCTTCTTTGTTGTTATAAATATTGGCGTTTGCATTATATAAAATTAAAAACCCGCTCTTCTCGGGCATAGTTGAGTTTTAATTAGACTTTAAACCATGGACAAATAAACAGACATAGGTATTCGTTTCCTTCAAGAAACAAGAGGACTGAATGTAAAAAAAAATATTTTACATGTACTGGACTGGACATCGAACCTTCGACGTTACAAACAAAGTGTAAAGAGTATACATATTGTAGAAGTGTCTACAATATGTATAATATTTTTTTTTATTATAATTTATAAAAAGGAAAAATCAGTTTTAAACAGCACGGAACGCTCTGGATGCCGGTTCAAGTCCTGCCCGTGTCATAATTTCCTCGTAATCTACAGTCGATTTTTTATTAATAATTAATTTTTTTTTCTGTTTCCAGTACGCCGCGTTAGTACTTCTGTTGATGCTTCTGGAATGCGCTCTGTTCTTCTATTTCACGTCAAACATAGTTGAGGTTAGTTTATTATAAGTATAATATAAGCGTACGGTTCACTTGTTGGCAGATCCAGCCTCGTCATATAAAGTCTGAAGTAGATATGCCGTCGACCTATTTCATCTATTCGGGAATCCATTTACTGAAATCGAAATTTTACAGCTTTTCCATCTGTGGACGTTCTGGTTCCTAACCTGGACGGAATTCACACCACCCTTTTAATACCCAGGCTCCAGACGAACTCCAATATGTTTCAGTAAAAATATACCACACACACACACAAACCCACAACTCGAAGCCATAGATCGCTATTATTACACCATCAAACCCGTGTCGTTGTTGTGTAAGGGTCTTAAAATGTTCGTCTTAACAGAAAGGTGTCAAAGACAACAGTCAACTTGATCACGCGTTTCGTCTGATGCTGCACTGCTGTGATCACTACCAGAATTACAGGTAAGCCCTATGATCGGGACTGGTCAAAGGCCTAGCTTTTTCTAGTTTAGTGGGTAGTGGCCATTAAGGCTCACCACACTCCTCCCACACTCGTCCCATACTCCCCCCACATTGTACTTGGCAAGACGGGGGTGTCTGTAAAGATTTGACTCCTTCAAGTATAAAAAAAAGTGTTTTAACATTTCCTAAAATTTATGAACAGTTCTTCGAAATGTGCTTAGGTGTTAAATATTGTCTTAACTACTGGCGTATAATGGAAAGATACCCTAATCTGCCTAAGGGGGTCGGTAGACTATCTGCCATACAACATTCGATGAAATTAGTGTTAACATCTTATAACAGGATAGATATCTTCGTTACGTAACGCGTTATGGTTCTAGTATTGATTGTTAAATTATTCATTTGTCTTTTAGTAATGGAGATGTGCCAAAATCAGTACCTTGGTCTTGTTGCGGGGCCATTGTTAAAAATTGCTCACAGGAACGAATTTATTTGAAGGTTTGTGCACAATTAACATTTTTTTAATGATAGAGGACAGACAAGAACGGCGTTCACTTATGGAAGACAAATTACCCTAGCCATATAATATGTCACAAGATGTGTTGTAGACCCAGTTTGGCGTTGGATAAGTTAGAAGACAGAAGTAGTGTGATTAAAAAAATAATTTAAAGCACATGAATATCGGTTAAATTTTTTTGTCCTCGGAAAAAACTGTCAAATGTAGAGTTTTTTGATACTATTTTTTTACTACTATAGACTATAGACAAAAGTGTCTAAAGTATTCGCGTTTCACTATGAACTTAAGTTTAATAAATTATTGTATTTCTGTTTATCAATTAAACTCACACATTTAAAAAATTAACAATTACTTAATAAAATTTTTAGAATTGCAAAGATACAATGAGTAACTGGCTACACCATTACGGTACGATCGTCTATGGCTCTCTTGTGACGTCACACGTTATTCTATCATCCTGCTCGCTCCTACGTCGCGCTAGCAGTGCATCTCGTTCACACACCTAGCGATCGCAGCGCCGCTCTGGCGGTGAGTAAAATACTGATTTAAGTCACAAACAATTTCTAGAATACTAATATCCTCTGTGGTGCTTATAGCGAGTGAACAAAGAAAATCCTGGCGTAGCCCACGCGTGGCCCCAGAACATCTCACCGATGATGTCATGATGGTGGTTCTGGGTCGAGGAAGACTCGGATGGGTGGACAAAGGATCATAGATAGATTAAGCTGCTAGAGTTAGAGTAGCCTAACTGCAATTTTATGATTGTGTTATTTATATTTTCATAATCTATAAATACTAATCCGTTAGATACGCATTTTCATTTTCTTTCTTATTAAAAATCATGTTTTTGTTAGGCCACTCTGCCTCTAACAGTTTCAGATAGTCTTATTGTATTAGGAGCCATATTCATCTCACTCTTACACACGTAATGTGAATAAAAGATAAAAGAATGGAATGCGACTTGTAAAATTTTTTATACAAGAATTTTTTCTAGAGTTTTTTATAATTTTGTTAACCACAGACAGATCTTAGACTTAGTAGAAATAAACTTTTTATACTCCTTGTTTTTTATTTTCTTTCTTAAATAAAAACAATTTTTTTTTACAAAACATTTATTACTATTGTGGTACAAACAGACACAACATTATAATATATTTGTACTTACAAAACACACAATACATGCACGCAAAAATATGACTGCTTGAAATATTGAAACAGATACAGATAATACTATCAAATAATATTGAACTGTCTTCGATTTTCTCCGGTCTACACAGATTATCAATTGTATCTTTTGCGATAAAGATTTTTAGTCTGTGGTCGTGTCACAGATTCATCTACAGAATATTTTTTTTTGCCTTCTTCCAAATTATCTTTAAATTAAAAAGTAAATAACTATATTAAAGACAATGCCAGTTTGTTCAATATTTCTTACAGCCCTTAACCTTAATAACAAAATAATTAGTATTTTAACTACATTTCGTTCTTCTCCATATAATATTAAAAAAATATAGCATGCGATAAAGAAAAAAAAGTTAACATATAAAAACTACATAGTCCACGTATAAAAAGAATTGTCGGAATACAGAATATTTATGAAGTATTTATCGTCTGTGGACGAAGAAATTGGCGGGAAATAGAAATGGCGATAATTGCCTATACTTATCTTATCGCATATTAAATAATTCGCATTAATATATTACGTATCGTGTCATCACCGCCATGATGATGAATGTAACATAGCTGTAGAAGTTTCTGGATCCTAACCCTGGCACCGGAGGCGCTGATGATGTGCAGGAGTCTAGGTGTTGGAACAGCTCATTGTAGTTCCTGGCCGGTTCATTGGCTGTTACACTAGATGGTTCTGATAGACCAACGGCTGTGTTTCTGAAGAGAAGGTCGTTGACTCCTGCGAAATATAACATATTACATGAGGCTGCTAGAGGCAGAGTGGCCTAATAACAAAAACATGATTTTCAATAAGGAGAAGAAAAAAATATGCGCAAATAACTAAGACGAAAATGAATTTGTACTATAATTTGTGTTAACGATTATCCGTCACTGTGCTCTTGTAGCTCTTGTACAAAATAACAAGCTTTCAAGGTACGCCGTAGACAGACAGCCGTAGTCACTGGAGAAAACCAGTTGAAATTAAGAAGAGAAGTAAGAAATGTTTTATTTTTTTGAAAGAAAAATGGGAATCGACTCGAATGTACGTCATATAACGTTTTTTTAACTAGAATTAAAATATTTCAAATAAATCTTATCCGTCTGTCTGTACAAGCTTAGGAAGTGCGATGCGAAGGATTTAATTTTAAATAGGATACTACAAAATTCGTGACTCGGAACTTCGATATTCCTTAATTCCAGATTCCCAGACAAAGTCGACGGGAGGTGGGGATCGGACCCACCACCCGTTGATTATAATCCGTCAAACTTACCGTCAAACGGCGAATACATTGCCAAGTTTATAAGTTGCGTAGAAGTCACTGCATTGTAACCGAAGTGTAAGTCCAGGGCGTCCAGCAGGGCATTGAGGCTGTTAAGGAGGGGATCATTTCTGTAACAAGACATCATCTACTTTGTACTTTGACTCATAAAATAGAAGCAGAGGCTTTCTATAACGAAGGAAAGATTACGATTTGGTTTAACGGCACTTTGGTACTGTCTTAATAGAGTTTTGGCCAAGATGGAAATATAAATTCTTATTTAGTCACATAAAAGTATATAACATGTTTAACGGTTCAAAACGCATGATATATTAATATTACATATAGAGCACGGAACGCTATGGCCGTTACGCCAGTTCAAGTCCCGCTCGTCTCGTAATTTATTCATTACAAAGTGATTTTAAATTTAGCTGATATACTTCCCCCGTGACCACGGCTGCTGCAAAACTAAAACGTCGGGTCGTAGATAAAATAACTTATAATTTAAAAAATTACGCTTTTTATAATATAATTATATGCTTTGCAGCAAAGCATCCGAAACGTCGTGCCGAATTTAAAAATCATTTTCAAATAAGTTTAACTAATATATCGCGTTTTAAACCGTTAAAAGTGTTTGATTTAATTGTGTAAATCATAAATAATACACAAGGAATTAACAATTTTAACTAGTAGTCAAAAAATACTGTCTATAGTTTACGCGAGTAGTACACATTTAAATAAAACACTTTAACGGTTTAAAACGCGATATATTAGTTAAACTTATTTGAAAATGATTTTTAAATTCGGCACGACGTTTCGGATGCTTTGCTGCAAAGCATTCGTATTTAAATCGTAGAGTGCTTCATTTTTTTTCTTTCTTTTAGCTACGTTGTAAGGAGTTATGACTATAAACATAAAATAGTAGAAATTTGTTAAATTAGTAGGAACGCACGAACCTTCGCGACAAGACTTCAGAGTCGACGACATCCGCCAGCAGACAATTCGAGTCCACGGTCACTCCCACAGACATAGCTAGTGTGTTATTCCTGCACAGGACTCGAATCTGCGACGCGTCCAAACCGGCAGCACGGAGATTGACTGAACAGAAAAATAATATTTATTTGGTTCCTTGATAATGAGCCTGTTGTATGTTACTTAATATTAGTATTTATCAGCCATTCCTACCATGGACTAACCACCCTCTTACAAGTTGCACAGATGCAAACAACAGCAACATACTGTTGGTCGTAAAGATGAAAGTTCAAAGTCTCACCATCAATGTTCTCCAGCTCCACGAAGGCAACGTCAGCTTCTGGATCAGCCAGGCACGCCACTGCGCCGGAGTTTCCGTAATATTTGTTGCTCGAATCGTAAGTACAGATACCTGGACAAAAGGACCATAATAATTTAAAAATAACTACAAAGTTTAAAATAAAAAAAAAGTCAGACTGAATTTCTTGGGTGTTCTTCTCTTCTTCTCGGTCATGTTGCTCTTTCAACACTCTGTAGAATCACGACGAACAGACAGACAAACACTTGTCATTTTTTTTTGACGAATCTGAATTATATTTAAAATTTATTTTATTTTGTAGTTTAACTAAATATATATCGCGTTTCAAACCGTTTTACTTCAATGTGTACTACTCGCATGAACTATAAACAGTATTTGTTTGTTTATTTATTAATTTAACTTCTGCTGAAGATGAAAGGTGTCCTTAAAATCAAACCTACTTCGCTAGCGCTATCGGATAATAAGGTCACTAATAAATATTGCTTTTTAAACCGTTAAAAATGTTTCGATTGAATCTAATATAACTTACTTGATACATTGAATGTTGCATTTGCTGGCTTGCATAGAGAGCAGAGGGGCGTGACGTCATAGTCCTGAGAGAAAAAATAAATGAAAGTTGATATGTAATTTAAAAATCGAAAATAAATTGAAAAAATTTTCGACTCGGGCAGGACTTGAACCGGCATCGTCAGCTTTCCGTGCTGTTGCTCTACCAATTGAGCTACCGACTCCTACACCTCATCGTCGAATTTTTTTAACTTATTGATACATCCTTGGTGTTTTCAACCTAATTGCGACTAGGTCCTGGTCGAAAACTTGACTTAGGTAAATTTTAAAGCATGTAGCAACAGTGTTAACATTTTGGGGGGGGGGGTTGGGTTAGAAAAAATTAATGAATAATTAAAAAAAAAAAAATAAGAAGTCTTTTTTCCAAAAGCAATATTTACTAAAATAAGAATTGTCCATATCAATAACATGGTAGACATGGGCCGTGTACTCGTTTGATATTCGGTACTCAGAATAACTCGGATATAGTTTGTTATTTGATAATGAACATAGTACAGTGTTAATCCAAAAGTATTTATAAATAATTTGGGAAATCTTTGAAAAGCTCAATTAAATAAAATCAAAACTATGCCAATGATTGAGTAGTAACGAGACAAAACTACGAGAAGATGAGTAAAACTTGGTACTCGTTACTCGGCAAAAGCGTAACTCGGCGCATCTCTAGTTATTATTAGTACGAAGTACTTACGGAGGAAGCGATCGCGTGGGAAGCGTTGAGAGCACCGGGTGCGCAAGCGCCGGTAAAGAATTCGCCCACTGCGCGCGCGTAGTCACACTCGGACGGACTGATCACTTCGCGCTCATGGGCCGCGCGCACAAAGGACAAGTAAGCTGTAATTTGAAATACATTTATTTCAAATATTTCGTTAAACATATTGGTAGTGGTCTGGGAGAGTACAGAAGGTATCATAAACATTTGTCATTAAAATATATAGTATTATTTGAAACTGAAGTTTCGTCAGATTTGGAAGAAGTGGTTTCAGAAAACGTACAGATTCCTCCGAATTCGGGGAAGCAGGCCTTCTTTCCTCGCAGGTTCTCGAAGCGGGTGATTTCGCTTGATGCTGTAGTGGCTTTGAGAAGAGTCGCAACTCTTGAGAAGGCGCGAGGGTCGTTCCGAGAGTTCTGCACCAGTTTCACGGATGACAGGCCGTAGCGTCTGCGCAGATTTTAAATTTGTTATCGGTTCACCAAAATGAGTTAATAGACAAGAGGAAAAGTCTATTCACCAAAATGAGTTAATAAGGAACAGGAGAATCTAATCACTAAAATGATTTAATAGGGAAAAGAAAGAGTCCATTCACTAAAATGAGTTAACAGGAGTAGGAAGGGATTAGCGGTGTCTTAACTTAGATTTATTAGCTAAGCAGACGCTTTGTACCCTTGATTTAAAAAAAGTCACAGCGCTCTATTGACTCATTTTCGTGAATAACTGTAATAATAATTTATTGCTAGATAATCACTGAAATCCCCAAATAACAATAGTATCAAAATAGCTTTCCATTTGGCCTAGCTTGACCTAAGATTTTAGATAAAGAGAAAAAAAAAATACATTTGAAATTTTTGTCACAACCCTCCATTTTTAACACTAAATGGAGCGAATATATGATGTTTTTGTAAGATTTGACAGTTCAAGTGTGTGGGTTTCCGACGCGTACGCCGCAAGATACCAAAAAAATATATATGAAAGAATGAACCCTCTTTAAATTATCTAAAAAAAATGTCACCGATGTAATGTCTATTTTAAAATAATTGAACGGACGACGTCGTGGGTAAACTGACACAGCTAGCGTAATTATATACATATATAAATAAAGATAAGTAAGTTAGCATACTTACTGTCTCGCTATATATCCATAGTTAGCGGGCGTAGCGATAAAATCGGCAGTGTTGTCTTTAATGTCCCTTAAGCAATCGAAGCTAGACAGGCGCTGTTGGCAGGATATAGCTGGCTCGATACCCAATGTGTGCACGGCAAGTTGCAACCAGGTACACTTGGCATGTTCTAGGCTGGAAATCGTGCACCAGCGTCGTGCCGGTACACAGCTGGGGGATGCATCTTGTGCTGTTATGTTTCTCACTGGAAATACAATTAATTGTTTAGATGCTATAGGCTACTATAAACTTTTATGTTAAACGGTTTTATTTTTGTGCACTGAAAACTAAAAAAAAAATGGCATAATCATCGTGTTTTATGTCCATATTGAGAGGGTCAAGGATAAATATGTAAACCGCCATTTTGTTTCGGCGGCCATCTTGGATTCATAATGTTATTGATTTTGTTATAGTGTATTGTCATCTAAATTCAATGTGTGTACCAAATTTCAGATCAATTTGACAACGGGAAGGTGCTTAAACTTCAAACTCCAATTTTGACCCAAATAAATAAAATCCATACGGGTCTAACTAAATAAAACCGTTTAACAAGAAATCTTCTCTCCCCTAAAGATCTATTGTCTATCTTACATGGACTGGCGTAAACGATTGGGTTCGGCAGAGCATCTTCGAAGTTGACTCTCACGTTGTTCCCACCAACGATGGCGCTGAAGAGCACCGCAGTCCATATGTTACCACCAGGTGAAGCGCCATTGGGCCACCATAATTTCAGCTGGTTCTGGATTTCTGGGCTCCTGGCTCTGCAAATATTTAACTTTAGTTTTCTCTGTAGATTACAACTAGTGCACATTAAATACTGTCTGTAGTTTACGCGAATATTACACATAACACATTTTAACGGTTTAAAACGCGAAATATATTTGTTATATTTCTGAGAGGAAATCTGGATGATGGAAATCCGTCCGGATCATCAACCACAGATGAAAATGTCGTGAAGTTTTATCGCCTTTAGGTTTCCGAATATCCAAAGCCAAAATAGGCCCACAGCGCATCGTATTAGGGCGATATGGCCGGGCTATTTCATCTACCAAATATACCCCATACTTGTCTGGTCCCTTTTATATAATCTAAACAAATATATAAAGGTGAAGAGTTTGTTTGTTTGTTTGAACGCGCTAATCTCAGACACTACTGTTTTGAATTCAAAAACTCTTTTTGTCGACATTTATCGAGGCTATAGGATAAAATATCGCACTGTGTCTAATAGCAGCGAAAAAATATTCTACGCGAAATAATCCTACAGATGTTAGAGCCGCTAGAGGCAGAGTAGCCTAACTGATTTTTTATGACTTCAGTTATTCATATTTTCATAGTCTAAAAAGGTTAATCTACAAGAGCACAGTGACCGACAATTGTTAACATAATTCGTACGTAGGCAAAATGAATTTGTACTATTATTTGTATAATAGTACAAATTCATTTTCGCCTAAGTTACTTGCGCATTTTTATATTCCTTCTTATTGAAAATCATGGCTTTTGTTATTAGGCCACTTTGGCTCTAGCAGCCTCATATAATATTCCTATCAGAAACTATTAGGTTACTCACTCAGCTGCCACCAGCGCACGCCATGGTTGCTTGACGAAGGAACAGGGCGCTGTGGTTTGGCTTACTGCTTCTCGCGTCAGAATTTGCAAAGACCCATCAGGACAGAGAAGCGCGAAAGATGTCGTAACTTGGGGGTTGCGGATCTAGAAATGTGAGGAGTAAAGTCTATGTTAATATATAAAGCTTGAGAGTTTGTTTGTTTGTTTGAACGCGCTAATCTCAGGACTTACAGGTACGAATTGAAAAATTCTTATGTTGGTGAAACGACGAGTGTGTTGATGACTAATACGAGCGAGATACACCAAGATATGTGACAAAATTTGGGAAAATTATTCATCATTATGGGTTTCCAAGGCGTACGCTACAAAAACGGTTCAAGACACCTAAAAAATGTCTATGAAAGAATGATTCCTCTTTAATTGGTCTAAAAAATGTGCAACGACAGTATACGTCTATCTTTTAAGATTAACTTGCAAGAACGACGGGACGGGAAGACGGAAATTTAAAAAGCTGAGGTTGCAAATACAAATTTTTGTGTCGCGGGTACAGCTAATAAAGTAATAATGCGAAGTGAATAAATCTAGTTTAATTTCAAATAAATCTAATAGTAATATTTAAATAAAACACTTTAACGGTTTAAAACGCGATATATTAGTTAAACTTATTTGAAAATGATTTTTAACTTCGCCCGATGCAGCACCGTGGTACGGGGAGACTAAAGAGGAGGATGTTAGACGTCAAAGTAAACCGGGGGACACCGCTGCTGGAAAGCATCCGAAACGTCGGGCCGAAGTTAGTCTCAATTTCAAATAAAAGTTTAAAAAAAAATTTGCGTTTTAAACCGTTAAAGTGTTTTATTTAAATGTGTACTACTCGCGTAAACTATAGACAGTATTTATATTAGTAATAATTAATTATATGTTGGATGTTGTAGAATTATAAAAATAATGTTGATTTGTATAGTGTTTTCAAATAAATGATCTCGTATCTTTTTAAAGAACTAAATGTAACGTTGAGCCTTTTGAATAAAGTTAAGTTAAATAATAATGAGTCTCTTTATTTGGATTCATTTTGTACATTAATTAGAGGTAGTAGTAGAAATAAATGTAATTACAATAAAATAAAATAAAAAAATACGACAAGAATAAATTGAATTTTAATAAAAATGACGCCAAAAGGATCTTGCGTCAGCATAAGTTGCAGCACGGTTATGCCCCAACACTGATTTTCAGCAAAACCCTGCTGTTCATCTGTTAGACGGCGCACATACATCCATTTGACATTAAATAACAGTGACTTTAGTGGGAAGCATTATTAAGTAATGAATTAATAAAACAAGTGTCAACTTTTGTGCACTACAAAAAAAAAAATTTGACAATTTGACATAATCATCGTGTTTAAATAAAAAAAGTTTAAAAAAAAAAAAAAAAAAAAAAAAATATTTAAAAAAAATTTTTAACTTCGGCCCGACGTTTCGGATGCTTTGCAGCAGCCGTGGTCACGGGGAGACACGGCTGCTGCAAAGCATCCGAAACGTCGGGCCGAAGTTAAAAATCATTTTCAAATAAGTTTAACTAATATATCGCGTTTTAAACCGTTAAAGTGTTTTATTTAAATGTGTACTACTCGCGTAAACTATAGACAGTATATAATCATCGTGTTTTATGCCCATATTGAGGAGGTTAAGGAGAAATATGTAATCCGCCATTTTGCATCGGCGGCCATCTTAGATTTATAATGTCATTGTTGTTATTTTATATCTATATTGTATCGACAATATCACTCCTACATACCCTGTGTCAAATGTCAGATGAAGAAATAAAGTTAGTTCGTATCCGTGACTCAGGCGCTTAATTTATTAGAATTTTATTATATTGTATTGTCATCTAAATTAAATGTGGGTAGCAAATTTCAGATCAATCTGACAACAGGAAGTTGCTTAGATTTCAATTTCTGATTTTGACCCAAATAAATAAATTCCGTACGGGTCGAGCTAAATAAAACCGTTTAAATAGAAATTATTGGCGTTAATTAGAAATTCTTGCTTTAAACCTTTTTTAATAAACTTAAGTTCAATTACACTCACAGTGAAATATTCCCTAACGTGCTGCCAAGCCACGTACGCCACTCCTTTGCTTTCTTCGCGACGGAGACACTCCAGGGCCTGGATGTGCCTGTTGTTATTGTTCACGTTGTTTATGTTCACCCCCATGTCGATGGTGTACCGGGAACAGCCAGCGTTCTCCCCGCACAATGAACAAAGTGACTGGTATCGGCTTTCTGCAAAATCCATCATTTATATCACTGCGAAACATGCATAAATATCCATCCTCGTCGTAAGGGCCTCGTCGGGTCAGATTTTATCAACAGGTCTTGAATTCAATCCTCATCGGGTGCAGCGTATTTCTAATTTCTTTATTTTAGGAACACATCTGAACACTTTAACGGTATAAAAGTGACAATTAAGTTAAACTTATTTGAAATTATTTTAACTTCGGCCCCACGTTTCAAATAAGTTTAACTAATATACATCGCGTTTTAAAACGTTAAAGTGTTTTTTTTATGTTTCTAACGTAATAAAGAGTCTCGACATCGCCTGGAAAACTTGGATATGGTGGTTAGAATTTTAAAATTCGAACAAACGGAATTCGTCACGAACCACCGCGCACGGATTAAAAAGTAAAACTTCGTTTTCAGTCTGCGATTCCAAAAGTCGAAAGCCGAAATAGGCCGACGACGCATCTTTTCAAAATCTTATTCGGCTGGATCATCCGTCCATCAAAAGATTTATTTGGTTGTTTATCATCCTGTCATAAAAAAATATTCCCCGACTTACTCAAATCTAGATCAACAGTCTCATTCGCGCTCCAAGGCCCTGGTCTGCAGGCGCTACTGAAGAACTGGCTGAGGGTCTCCACCTCCAGCTCCTCGGCTGTCTTTCCATTCATGTTGGCATCAGGACAGCGATCGGTACCCGCAGCCTGTTGAATTTTTTTTGTATAATAATTCATATGTATTTTATCTTAATTACTCATGAGTAGATTAAAAATTGATTTTATAATAAAATTTATGACACGGGCAGGTCATCCCGGGGGGGGGAAAACCCCCCCCAAAAAACCCCCCCGGGGGCACCCCCCCCGCCCCCCCCCCCCCCCGGGGGAAAAAAAAAAAAAAAAAAAAATCCCCCCGTTTTTTCAAAAAAAAAAAAAAAAAGGTTTTTAAACTTTCGGGACAATAGAAAAAGGGAAAAAGGCCACTTTACATATATATATAAATATTATGTATATAAAAAAAATTTTAAAAAAAAAAAAAAAAAAAATTTAAAATTTTTTAAAAAAAAGTTTTTTTGAATTGCCGGAGTTTTCATCTAGGGGTGCGATATATAAGTTAAACTCATTTGAAAATTATTTGAACTGCATTTTCCCACATTTTCTGATTATTTTATATTTCCTCTGAAACAAGTTGGGCTTCGTCTGGAAATCTGGACATTGAATGGGTGGTACGAATATCAAAATTCTGTCCGGCCCACGAACCACCGTCCAGAATTAAAAGCCGCGAAAAAGTTTAATCGCGTTTCGGTTTCGGGCTTTCCGAATATCCAAAGCCGAAATAGGTCGGCGGCATATCTTCGTCAGATTTTATATGGCTGGGGTATTTCACCCACTGTCATGTGGGCCGGGGACGTTATTAATACAGGTACAGTACAGTTGAATTTCCTACCACTTTCTCCAGAGTTTTCAGGACCCTCGGAGACCAGCGTAGGTCTGGTTCATCCAGACCCGGGTGGCAGTAGCGGCCACCACGTAGACCTTCTAGACCACCGGTGTGGGTTGCTTGCACTACCGCTACCGACTCGAAGGCAAATGGCTCTGTAACGATGAGAACGTTAACGGGTTGCCCACTTTCGTTAGTGTCTCAGGTTAATATTGGACGTGTGAAACTCTATTAAAATTATTTGAATATGAAACGTTTTCTTTAGAATATTTGTCCGCCTGTGGCCCGAATTGGACATTCGCCATTGATAACAAAATATTGATTTATCTAGACAGCAAACTTTAAATTTTCGACTTTCACTAGAAAATAATAGTTATTATTACGTTTAAATAATATTATTGTATAACGAACGAATTGTAAATATTTACGATTTAAAACGTGTAAATATTTATAATTTTTGCAGCGTTCAAAAACTTACAATTTCTTAAATACATATTTATTAATCAAATTTATTTAAAACATCACAGAATATACGTTTGAATACTTAACACGTTTAACGGCTTAAAACGCGAAACATGCAATATATCACACTTTTAACTACGGCCCGACCCCCGTGACCACGGCTGTTGCGAAGTATCCGAAACGTGAGGCCGTAGTTAGTATAATTCTCAAATAAGTTTAACTAATACATATCGCGTTTTAAAACGTTAGTGTTTGATTTAAATGTGTAAGTACTACTCGCGTAAACTACAGACAGTATTTACATACAACTTACCATTCCTAAAAGCGTCACGAACAGAACCAACCACTCTGACGGTAGACGATTTCTCCTGTGACAGAAGAACCATTTCCTCTTCAGAGAACACTCCCAAATCCGCGTCTCCTCGCGACAACTTTATGGCACAATCAATTCTGAAATGCACATCGATCAATTTATAATTCTTACTAATATTATAAATGCGAAAGTAACTTTGTCTGTACGTCTGTTACTCTTTCACGCCAAAATTACTTAACGGATTGGAATGAAATTTGGTATATAAATGGTCTAGACCCTGATCCTTTTAATGAAAGGGGGTTAAGGGGTTAAAGGGGGGGGGGGTAAAAGTATGGAAATTCGTAGTTTACGAAGCTAAAACAATAAAACTTTCTTCTTTGTGTTTTTGGGAATATGAATTGGAGGGAGTGGGAATGAGTGTAGGAATGAGTGTGGGAGTTAGAGCATGAGTGATGTGAGGTGAGAGTGTTGCGGCAAAATAGCACTTACACCGACATTGGCCGCCTTAAATGCGCCCTTACATAAATTAATAAACAAACAAGTCACTATTCCACGCGGACGAAGTCGCGGGCACAGATAGTAATATTATAAAGCTGAAAAGTTTGTTTGAACGCCTTAATCTCGGGATCTACTGGTTCGAATTGAATGGCCTTGGACAGACCATATCGAGGAAGGCTTTAGGTAATATTACATTACGCTGCGACCAATAGGAGAGGAGGAACAGTGGAAAATGGAAATCGTGGAAAATTAATCATCGACGCGGGCTTCAGTTGCGTGTGTCGCGACAACGGTTCAAGAAACTAAAAAATATGTATGAAAGAATGATTCCTCATTCAATGATGTAAAAAATGTCTGCCACAGTATATGTCTTTTTGCGAACAATCAAATTTGGACGAAATTAAAACAATAATTATTTGTCAAAGTTCAATCAACTCTTAATTGAATCTTTGACAAAAAACAAAACTTTATTTTTTGGCAATGTTAGAAAGCTTTATACGGTATTTATTTTTTAATTGCAAAAGTCGATGACACACGCGCGAATTGACCGGCATGCGTGTGCTGGTTCTCAGTATTTTTTTAATTAATTAATGCTACCTAATGTGCAAAATAGTAATGTTTTTTTCTAATTTAGACACATGTTGGACTTACTTTGATTCGACTGGTTCGCAGACGGCTTGACTGCCATCTTTGTCCAGACTTTGACATAATACTGGTTGAGATGTAGGGATACACACACGATCTGTAAGAGAAGAAAGAGAGAAGAAATTAATAGTCTACTACAATATACCTTTTTAGCTCAATGGATACTAATAGCATATAATTTAAATAAAACGCTTTAACGGTTTAAAACGCGATATATTAGTTAAACTTATTTCAAAGCATCCGAAACATCGGGCCGAAGTTAAAAATCATTTTGAAATAAGTTTAACTAATATATCGCGTTTTAAACCGTTAAAGTGTTTTATTTAAAAATATATACTACTTTTAAGATTACTCGCTAGAACGACGGATCGCGGAGGACGTCGTGAGTAACAGCTCGAATTTATAAGGCTGAGGTGGTTTGCCAAAATATGATGCTCAAATTAACAATTTCACGCGGACGAAGTCGCGGTCACAGCTAGTTAAATATAATTGTATCATTTTGAATGTAGACTCAACGTTTATCTAGAATTATCTACTGATAAGACTTCTTCAAAAAGGGAAGGGCATGAGTGCGTTCAAGAATTATTAATAATTTTATGTGTCAATAAATACACATAACGTTGTCTCTCTCTAATATATTATATCGAACATTAGTTAAAACAGGATGCAGTTATTTTCAAACTAGTGAAATTGTATTCCTAACAAATGAACACTACGACTGTCTGTATAGTTTACGCGAGTAGTACACATTTAAATAAAACACTTTAACGGTTTAAAACGCGATATATTAGTTAAACTTATTGAAAATGATTTTTAACTACGGCCCGACGTTTCGGATGCTTTGTCGAATTCATTTTCAATAAGTTTAAGTAATATATCGCGTTTTAAACCGTTAAAGTGTTTTATTTAAATGACGGTAGTTTTCAAATACTCGGGTACAATTCGCGGTTCGGACTATTTGAATGTTTCTTTATGTAGAAGAGGACATGATGGTACGTAAAATACACTAGCCATATAAGATCTAAATAAGTTGCTCGGTCGACCTATTTCGGCTTTGGAATTTCGGTAATCCACAGACTACAACCGAATGACGATTAAAGTTAGCTTTTTCATCTGTGGACGGTAGTACGTAACCTGGACGGAATTTTGATATTCTTACATCCAGATTATCATAAGTCCAACATGATTACAACAAATGATCAATTAATAAGAAACATGGCAACCATTAAACCATAAACACCGTCGAAATGGTCGGTATATACATGTTTTATAACCTATAGATAGTAATAGAACAGCCCATCCGCATCCGCTGAAGTAGCGAGGTGGGTCGTTTATGAGTTAAACCCTCGTATGAGAGAGAAGACCCACTTACGACCAGACATGGCACCTAAGTCTTTGGTTTGATTTCCACTAAGTAAGGTACATACAGAACTTATTAACTGTAATGATAATATTTTCCGAAATAAAAGATAAGATTGCGGCAAATATTTTTTTTGCATCATACAAGGAGTTAATTTAAAATCCGCATTGTTTCAGTTGATTTGTATCGGTGTAAAGACAGGAGTTCGATTTCCGGATAAGCAAAGACAAGTTATGAGTTCGAAGTCTAACCTGATAGTAAGGTGGAATACACGTCCTGCACAATTGGTAATCAAACAATGGATTTTAGCTCAACAGGAAAAAACTAGAGATTGAAAAACTGAGGCTGCTAGAGCCAGAGTGGCCTAATAACAAAAAAAAGATTTTCAATAAGGAGGAAAATAAAAATGCACAATTAACTTAGGTAAAAATTAATTTGTACTATTATTTGTGTAAGAATTATGTTAACAATTTTCGGTCTCTGTAATCTTGTAGATTAACATTTTTCGACTGTGATAAAATTAAGTAAGTCATAAAATTGCAGTTAGGCCATTCCAAAATATGTATATAACTAAAGAAATTGAGGAGATAAAATATACATTTTTATTGGGGTTTGACGATTGTCAAACCGTTATCGAATCACGTGTCAAATATTTCCGATAATTCTAGATTATTCTATTTATAACGTTTACGTAACTTTGAAACAACTAGGACCTTAACTTTAATATGATTTAATGATCGTCTCTATGGTCCAATGGTTAAGCGTGTAGCGCGGGCCCGAGAAGAACTAACTTCAAATGTCGATCGAGTAAGACACATTTTATTTGACGCAAAAACTTTTCTTATAAGTTTAACTGTATATATATCTAGTATATTTATATTGTCTCACTGCTAGGCGCAGCTCTTCGTTGTAAAACCAAGTCCTTCACTATACCGGAACTACCAGACCTCGTGTTCAAGTCTACTAGCCTCGGGCCAGTCAAGTAAATTTCAATTCAAATTTATACTCACAACCCTGCGCCGACACAGCAACAATCACAGATAATAAATAGAACAATTTGACACCCATTTTCACGACACTACATCTAGAATAAATAGGATAAGATCAGTCTTTTCGCCGCCCGTCTTTGCGCAAGCGTTCGATTCGCTCGCCAAAATAACTATTACTACTTTTATAATATTTTAACGGTTATGTGCTGTTTGTCATAATTATCTTATCAACGTTTCGAAATTCACTGTAAAGGTGGGTGATAAATACACAGTGATAACGATAAGGGGGCGACTGATTAGATCGGACGTTAGGTGTCCTGCAAGGGAGTCTATCGGGTCCCATATCTACATATATTATAATAGTGGCTTACCCGGCAAACGGTATTATGCCATTATGAAGTATTTAGACCAAAATTCGGTTATCATAAAAACAGCTCTTGTAAGTTAAAAGGTAGACATATACTGTAACGGACATTTTTTACATATTTTCTGGGTAAATGAACAGGTTTTGCAGCGCATGAGACGATAACCCTCAAAGATGAATCATTTTTCCCCGTTCCTTCACATTTTTTACTGTTTCTTCGTTTCTGGTCGGATATTATTAAAGCCTTCCTCGATAAATGCTCTAACCAACTAAAATTTTCTATTCGAACAAGTACTTCCTGAGAATTACACGTTCAAACCAACAAAACCCTTTAGCCTTATCATACAATTATAGATTTATTTAATCGTTATTCGTTGAAAGTTAATAAGAGATCGAGAGAGCAACTATAATCCTCTCTATAATTTAATATTATACGTAAAAAAATTTTGAAAACTAATTTTTTACAAAAAAAAAAACACGCCGGGGGGGGTTTCAACCGCCATCGCCAGCGTTCCGTGCTGTTGCTCGTACAGAGCAATAATAATAATAATAATGTTATTTACTGTCATACTTTACAACAGTCAAATAAAACTTGTTAAATATATAGTTAAAAAAAAAAAAAAAAAAAAACAAAAAAAAAAAAAAAACCCCCCCCAAAAAAAAAAAAAAAAAAAAAAAAAAAATTTTTTTATATTTTTTGGGTTTAAAAAAAAAAAATTTTTTTAAAAAAAATTTTTTTTTTTTTGGGCAACCAAAAGAAAAAAAAAAAATTTTTTTTTTTTTTCTATAATTAAGGACTATCCAAATTTTCACTTCATTTCACAACGACTCAAATATATCATACATTCACACAGTTATAACACTAATACGGGGATAAACATGAGATAGTATCTATAGTACAAACTTTTCATTTGCATATTTTCTTTATTACATTATGTAACTAGCTGTGTCAGCGGCTTCGTCCGCGAGAATCGTTATTGTAGGCATCCAAATTGGGATGGATGATTTCCCCCGTTTTTTCTACATTTCCCGCTCTATCTTTCCGCTCCTATTAGTCACAGCGATATGTTTTAAAGCCTTCGTCAATAAATGTTCTAATCGAGACAAAAATATTTTTTTCAATTCGAACCAATAATTAGTTTCTGAGATTAGCGCGTTCAAACAAACAACACAGCTTTGTATATTAGTATAAATAGATAGCAAAGACACGAAAATTGTATTAAATAAATAAACTATTAAAGGCACGCTAAAAATATTACAAAAAGGTTTCAATGTGACATTCGTATATTCACGTTGTTTACCTCATCAAAGGCAGTAACTAGAGATGGGCCGAGTACTCGATTGATACTCGGTACTCTGCGTGATCGGCGGGTTTTTTGATACTCGCACTTGGCTGAATAACTCTCTTATACTTTGTTATTTGATAACGAGTATACTTTAAGAAAAGCAATATATTTAAGTAGATATAATTAAAACAACAGTGGATTCACATCCAAAAGTATTTATTAGTAATTTAATACAATAAAATACGCTAATGAATTTTTAGTAATGAGACAAAATTACGAGAAGATGACAGCGAGCCGACGTTTTGACCGGCGCGAACCTGTTTGTACTTGTTTACGCGCGCGAAATGATATCGCGGGCGAGTACTCGGTTGAAAAAAATTGAGCCGAGTAAAACTCGGTACTCGGTACGGCGCATCTCTAGCAGTAATCTTTGGTGCACGAATCCGACTCACACGACATGCGATTGTATTATATCTCTGTACGAGTGCTAGCTGTGACAGCGACTTCGTCCGCGTAGTTATTTTGGGCATCAAATGTTTTTTGTGCAGACGTCATAAAATAACTGTTACCCACAACATCGTCCGTCGTTCTTGCAAGTTAATCTTCATGGATGGACATATAGTATCGCGGACATTTTTTTAGATCATTTCAAGATGGATATTTCTTTCTTATATATTTTTTGTGAACATTTTTCGCAGCGCACGTAACGAAAATCCTAAATGGTGAATAATTTTCCCCGTCCACATTTTCCACTGTTTCTTGTTGGTTGAAACGTGATGTTTTATAACCTTGAGCCTTCCTAAATTAATGTCCTAACTGATACAAATCATTTTTCAATTAAAACCAATAGTAGGAGATTAGCGCATCCAAACAGACAAACTTTTTATCTTTATAATATTAGTATATTTATTTAATTAAAGCACTTTAACGGTTTAAAACGCGATATATATTAGTTAAACTTATTTAAAAGCTTTTCGTGGTCTCCCCGTGACCACGGCTGCCGCAAAGCATTCGAAACGTAGCGCAGTGGTTAAATGCGCAAACTACAGTATTTAGTATACGTAGAATATTTAAATAAAACACTTTAACGGTTTATAACGCGATATATTAGTTAAACTTATTTGAAAATGAGTCCCCCGTAACCACGGCTGATGCAAAGCATCCGAATCGTCGGGTCGTAGTTAAAAATCATTTTCAAATAAGTTTAACTAATATATCGCGTTTTAAACCGTTAAAGTGTTTTATTTAAATGTGTACTACTCGCGCAAACAACAGACAGTATTTAGTATACGTATAATATTCGAATACAAGTGAAACACGGAAACAAACAATGTTAAAGTTATATTCTGTCACGCAATACTTGCAAAGTAGGTCAGTCATAATTATAGCTACCGATTTTAAACTTCGATAAGCTCGGGACACATTGTATACTTAGTGTTCCTTAGAGAATAAAAATCGGTAAAGAAACTTTTAAATTTAACGGTTTCATTTTTTGTGCACTGAAAACTACAAAACATTTAATTTTTGACATAATCATCGCGTTTTACTTGTGTAGCCCTTTCATTTGATACCCATATTAAGGAAAAATTTGCAAACCGCCATTTTGTATCGGCGGCCATCTTGGATATATAATGTTATTCATTTTATTATATTGTATTGTCTAAATTATACGTGTTTACGAAATTTCAGATCAATCTGACAACTGGAATTTTAGCCCAAATAAATAAATTCCGTACGGCTCGAGCTAAATAAAACCGTTTAAAACAGCGGAAAACAAAAAGCAAGCAAAAACTCAATACAAAAGGATACCTAAGAGTAATGTTAACATTACATTAAAATGCGAAATCATGTAGCCCCCTCGTAGGGTATGGGGCCTAAACAGGCAAGTTGACCAGACATCTGTGCCCTGTCTGACCAAAATAGTTTTTTGTTTCCTTGGGATTTGAACCCAGGACCTCTCGCGGTTAACGCAATGCTAGGCGTTTAACCATTTGGCTAAGGAGGCGGTCAATTCGCTAATACGTGGGCAAGGTAGCTCGATTGGTAGAACAGTAGGAATAATCTGGACGTGGGTTCGAGTCCCGTGTCATTGATTTTGTTTAAATAATTCATTTTAAACTAATTAAAAAATAAAGTACGACACGGGTGAAGTGTGAACAGGCATCCACACCGTTCCGTGCCTTTGCTCTAACCAATTAAGCTACCGTGTCCTCAAATGTCATCGTTGAGTTTCATCAACCCATGCGCTTCTCGCTTTTTTTTTAATTTAAATTGATTTTTATACAATGCAATCATGTGCACATATGAAAAATAACACAATATTTAAATTTTAATGGTTTGAAACGCGAAATATATTAGTAGACGCATTTTTAATTTAATTAAACTACCCCGATGTGTTTGATGTTGTGCAGCAATAATATAAAATGTTGACTAATAAATTTCGCGTTAGAAACCGTTAAAGGTGACCTATCTAAAAGTATACTAAAAGTGTATTTTTTATACATGTAAGCATAAATAAATAATATATTTTCGCTTAGCTAATTATTTGTAGACTCAATAGTAAAATCTCTGCGATTCTATAATTATATTGTCCTTTGATGGTCTTTCGTAAGATCCTTGTTCTTTCTGAAATCACAAAATATTCGTGAATTAATTCTTTGTAACTTTTAGAAAGGGAAATAAATTCAATTATTGACGGACCCATTGGTCCAATAATAGCAATGTATGGCTAATAACGGGTCGTAAATTCGAACCCCACTGGGTCAAACGCTCTCTACATTTTCTAATTTTTCTGAAACATGTCTGACTTCGTCTGGAAGTCTGGATGTTAAATGGTGGAATATCGAAATTCCGTCCGGGTCACGAACCACATGAAATCCATAAAGTTTAATCGTGTTTGAATTTCAGTCTGTGGATTTCTGACTATCCAAAGCCTATAGTAGAACTACTACAGCGCGTCATAGCCTATGATGTTATATGGCTGAGATCACCTCCCATTAGTCCCATCTCCTCTATATCGATAATTTGTTCATTATATATATATAAGGGTGTATAATTATTTACCAGTGGTTTTGGCTTTTCGTCCGTAGAAAACATGCCAAACACTTTCTCCAACATGAAGTAGATAATCTCAATGAATGTAATAAAACTGGCGCCAAGGAACAACCCTGCTGCACCTCCGAACGAAACTGCAGTAGAGGAACATTATGGGATAATAATATTGTTGTATATTTTAATCCACACTAATATATAAAGCTGAAGTGTTTGTTTGAACGCGCTAATATCAGGAACTGCTGGTTGGAATTGAGAAATTATTTTTGTGTTAGTTAGATCATTTATCGAGGAAGGCTTTAGGCTATATAAAATCACGGTAATAGGAGCGAAGTAACAGAGGAAAACGTATAAAAAAATGGGAAGCGTTATTCATAAGATTGCATGCATTGCCGAAGCGATTCCAGAAACAAAAAAAAATATGAATGAGTGATTCCCATAGTTTACGCGAGTAGTACACATTTAAATAAAAAGCTTTAACGGTTTAAAACGCGATATATTAGTTAAACTTATTTGAATCACGAGTTGTGACCACGGGTGCTGCAAAGCATCCGAAACGTCGGGCCGAAGTTAAAAATCATTTTCAAATAAGTTTAACTAATATATCGCGTTTCAAACCGTTAAAGTGTTTTATTGAAATGAGTGATTCCTTTTCAAAAAGGGTCCCCCTGTAGACTTTGTCATGCCCAACCGAAATAATGTATCGTTCAACCTACAACCTCTTACCTCAATAGAAACGTCACAATTACAAAACGAGGACAGTCTATATATTATAACAATATTTATGTATAGTCTGTTGATTACTCAAGCAGTACACATTTAGTTAAAACACTTTTAACGGTTTAAAACATGTAGTGTATTAACTTCTTTGGACTACGGACGTGCAGATACGTCGCAGCAGCCGTAATCACAACGCACTATAATAGTCAAATTTCGAACGGTTAAAAGTGCTTTATTTAAATGGTCATAAAATTTACTATAATCTACTGAATGGTTCTTAGTTCTTACCAACTAAGTCCTCGAAGTGGAAAACGATTTCTCTGATGTATCTCGATCGTGGAGCTTGCACTGATAACCGTATTGCTCCCCTTTCCTGAAACGGGCCTTTTCCCCTGAAAATTCATGTATAATGAATCAACTGACTAGAAAGTAGCGGGTAGGGAGCGGGACGTCACGGGACTCGGGACGTCAGACTCGGACGTCGTGGATCTCATCTCTCATCATCAGTCACGTGTGTAGTGTGAAAGTGTGTGTAGTGCAATAAACATACTTACATCATAAGACTTTAATATTTCTCACATGTTATGATGGACTGTATATTTTAAAAATGATTATAAATTAAAAAAAAAAATGTTGCTTTAACCAATTCCGGACACGGTAGCTCAGTGGGTTAGAGCAACAGAACTGAGGGCTTTGGCTGCCAGTTCGAGTCCTGCGCGTGTCGGAATTCTTTTTCAATTTAAAACCTGCACTTTGAAATCTCTATTATATGTTTCTTAAGGTCTAGGTTAATATAATGGAGCTGAAAACAAAGCATATAAAAAATTAATAATAATCGATTCTTAATTTATATAGTGCTAATGTGTTTGAAATATTAAAGTTTTCAAACAATTTTATAAACTGTAGTCAGGTCGTCACCAGAGCTGATCTTCGACGAAGTTCTCTTTGAACTCGGCGTGGAGACAGGGCGCACTGCAGTTGCATCTGATGCCACCGAAGTTGGCGAGTTCTCGGCTGTGCTGGGAGAGGCACCACATCCCAGATGGGGTGCATGATGGACCCACTGCAACATTGGTGAACATTTTTCACTGAAAAACTAACTTCACTGAAAAGTGATGGAAGGAAGTTAAAATTAAAATTTTACAGTTACATAAGTCATTTTTTTTATGAAAGAGGAGGCCTTAGCATCAAGGTGCTGCTCGCCCTATTTTGGCTTTGCATATTCGGAAATCCACCGAAACCGAATCGTGATTAAACTTCACGGCTTTTTCATGTGTTGAGTCGCTGGTTGGTGAATTGGACGGATTTCAATATTCCATTACCACGTATTTAATTTCCAGATTTCCAGACAATGTTTCAGCAAAATTATAAATTGATTAAAAAAAATGTGAGACCCGGTGGTGATCGAACCCGTGGGTTCATTAAAGCAATGAGCCCGATTAAACAAAACACTTTTTAACCGTATAAAACGCGAAATATAATAAGATAGTATTTATTATGATTATGTCAGCGTGTCTAGTTTTTTGATATTCCTATTTAACTGACACAAATTCTGTGCTGATTTATAAAAAAAATAATTTTTAACCTTTTCAAACGCGAAATATATAAGTTAGAAACGTTTTTATTGTATAAAAATGTAAGAGAGTAGGTCTGTCCCTATACTATAGCAAGCGGTGTCCAGATTTTTCTGAAAAAATTCAACGTATTTCAAAAAACATTTTATATTTATAAGAAAACATGTTCGACCAGGTGGGGTTCGAATCCACGACCCGTTGATTATTAGCCATTCATTGCTACCACTAGATCAACGAACCCGTCTACCCTACTCGCTGGTATTACAAAATATTCTAAGTTTAATAAAAATGTGAAACAAACTTTTTGACTCACCCGTGAATCGAACTGTGTACTGACGAGCAACGACGAAGTTGTAATTTTTGTTTTGGGGTTGTCCATTAATCACGTAACCTTTTTTTAGAATTTTTAAACCACCCCCTCCCTCATTGGTGATACGTAGTGAGGTTTAAGACCACCACCCCCCCCCTCCCCCTTCTCAACATCACATGTATTTTTAGTATCTACAAAGAATCTTAACATTTTCTGAATATTATCTTAATATAAATACAGGTATAAACTATAATCTTATTTTATTCTGAAATTAAGGACCATAATAAAAATGTCTACACCATTTGTTTAAAAATCGCGCGTTTGACGAAAAAATAAATACACGAGATATCTTACTATATCCCCCCCCCCCTTGTGTTATTTTCGTGATTTTTATCAACCCCCCCCCCTTTCAAGCCTCACGTGATTAATGGACAACCCCTTTCGGAAATTTTGAAGCGATACGTTAAAGTGCTAAGTTCACCTTCGAAGAAATAGTAAAAAGGCCGACAGCCGCACAGCTCTAGGGCTAGGTTGCTTCTACATGACAATCTGCACATCTCAGTACTATACACCTGAAAACATGCAGCAATTAAATAAAACTATTTTAACTGTTTAAAAGGCCTACACAACATCTTTAAAGTATTAGTAACTGAAAAAATTTTAACTTCGACCCTACATTAAATAAGTTTACTAATATTTCGGCTTTCATATCGTGAAATTTAATAAAATGTGTACTACTCGCGTAAACTAGGGGCAGTATCTCGTATAAATTTATAGCTACCCTCAATTACGTAGAAATCGACATGATATGAGGACGTGAAGATATGTTTTTTGTGGCTTTCGATGTCGTAATTGTCAATTTGACATTGACAGAATGGTCATTCTGTCAAAGTCAATTTACTCAACTTTTTACTTCTGACAAAGCGGTTTTTAACTTGACACTGGCAAATAGTTCTTCTTGCCACAAATGGAAAAAAAAGCGGTTGAAGGTGGTGGTACGGTGGTGTTGTTCGTCACGATGTTGCCGTGATATTACTGTCTTGGTGGTCACGAAACACGTCAATAAGAACGAAAATAAATTGATAACTTGAAACGAAGAAGGGAAGCAGATCGTTAAATATCTAGTATACACTCAAATAAAACCCTTTAAGGGTTTAAAACGCGATATATATTGGTAAATTTATTTTAAAATTATTTTAACCACAGCCCGATGTTTCCCCGTGACCACGGCTACTGCAAAGCATCCGACAAGTTGGGCCGTAGTTTAAATAATTTCAAAATCTATATCTATCTATACTAATATATAAAGCTGAAGAGTTTGTTTTTTGTTTGGACGCGCTAATCTCAGGAACTACGGGTTCGAATTGAGTGAAGTTAGAGCGTTTATCAAGAAGGCTATAGGCTATAAAACATCGTGGTGTGACTAATAGAAGCGAAGACACAGCGGGAAATGTGACAAAAATTGGGAAAATTATTCACCGTTATGGATTTCCGAGGCGTACGCTGCAAAAACGGTACAAGATACCCAAAAAATATGTATGAAAGAATGATTTTTCTTTGAATGATCTAAAAAAAAGTCCGCGACGCTGTATGCCTATCTTTTAAGATTATCCCGCAAGAACGAAGGGAAGGGACGCGACCGACGTCGTATAACTATTCCAAGCGGATGAAGTCGCGGCTATACCAGCTAATAAGTTATATTTAAAAACAGTTTACCTGCTTCCCCAAAAGTGCTTCGTCCGTGTACCTGCAAGCCCGTCGTCTGGGAGACAGATCCCTCACCCTGGAACCAGCCCTCGTCTCGCCGACACTCAACTCTACGAAGCGGTTCAAAGCCGGAAAAACCGTACTTGCTTTTTCCGTGGTCTTCGCGACATCGTATGGTGAGTGGATGTAAAACTGAAACAAATATTTGACGGACTTGTGGACCTAATGGTGGCTATTAGCGGGTTCGATTCCCGCCAACCGCAACTCTTCTTCTTCTTTCTAATCAATTTATATTCATTCTGAATCATGTTGGACTCCGTCCGGAAAACATGGATATTACATGGGTGTTAGAGATATTAATATTAAGTTGGAGTCGCGAACAATCGCCTAGAGAATACTCAAAGCCAAAATAGGCCGATAGCGCATCGTGTTCAGATGTTATATGGTATTTCACCTTCCATCAACTCGACCCCGTGCTTGTCTGTCTGCGTTTCTCATAAAAAGAGAGGAAAAGCGTAATCTGTATTCGGTTTTCAAAGTTACAATAGGTCGAGAGCTCATTGTGTTTAGATGTTTACTTGTTTACTTCATCTATCATGAAAAAAAATTTGGTCGTTCCCGTCCACTCGTGAGCACGGCTACTTAAAGCATTTTAAAACGTGGTGTAATAGTTAAAATATATTTAAATTCTATATTTCGCGTTTTACACCGTTTAAAATGGTTTTCTTTAATGTTTATTTACAAACTTACGTGAACCGTCTTCGTGACTTCGAATATGATGTAGCAGACCATCGCGGAGTAGTGGCAGGTGACGGGAAGGTCGTTTGTGATGTTACCTCGGAGTTTTCTATAAAAAATGTTTTCGATAACTGTAATGTTTAAAGGAGGAGGACCAGCGTTGAAAATGGGACGACGACACACTCAAAGTCGCTGGAACCGCCTGGAGAGAAAAAGCTAAAAGTAAATTTCTCCAGAAGAGCATGGAGGAGGCGTTTTTTCGAAGGAGGTCTATGACATTTATGCAAATAAAAAATAAATATCTTACTATGGCCCGACGTAAGTTAAAATAAATTCTAAATCAGTTAACTAATATATTTCTCAATATAAACCGATAAAATTATTCTATTTAAATGTTGACTACTCGCGTAAACTACAGACCGAGCTTAGTAGTTGTCTCGTTGTAGACTTCACGTTTTAAACCGTTGAAAATGTTTAATTTAAATGGATACTATTGGCGTAAACTAAAGGCAAAGCTTATGGTTGTCTCGTTGTACATTTCGCGTTTTAAACCGTTGAAAATGTTTAATTTAAATTGGTACTATTCGCGTAAACTAAAGGCAAAGCTTAGTAGTTGTCTCGTTGTACATTTCGCGTTTTAAACCGTTGAAAATGTTTAATTTAATGGGTACTATTCGCGTAAACTAAAGCCAAACCTTAGTAGTTGTCTCGTTGTACATTTCGCGTTTTAAACCGTTGAAAATGTTTAATTTAAATGGGTACTAGTACTACTCACGTAAACAACAGACAAACCTTAGTAGTTATTTAGTAGTGCCTTTCGTTGTTATGAACTACTAAACTTATATCGATGTGGTAAGAGACTGTAGTGTAAATACTAACGACAAAGCAACATCAGCAAACGCCACAGAATTGGTGATGTAGCAGGCTCCGCTTTCAGTCATCACCGGTGTCCATTGGAGAGGTAACGGTTGTGATGATGACGTTTTTATCACCAGTTCAGGCATCACCTAAATTGACATAAATTGACAGGCCCGTTGGTCTAATGGTAGCTTATGGCTAATAAGGGGTCGCGGATTCGATCCCCACCGGGTCCAAATGTTTCTAATCAATTTCTAATTGTGTCGAAACAGGTCGAATTTCGACTAGAAATCTGGCTATTAAATAGGTAGGTAGAAATATCGAAATCGAATCTGGGTGAAGAATCACTGTCTATAAATGTAGCCGTGAAATACACTCGCGTTTCGGCTGCAGTCTGTTGTCGAATATCCAAAAGCAAAATACTGACAGTTGAGATAGATCCCCATCCATTCGTGACCACGGCCTTTTCAAAACATTCAAAACGATTTTGTTATATTTAAAATAAAATATACAATATCCTTTTAAATAAAACACTTTAACGGCTTAAAACGCGATATATTAGGTAAACTTTGCTATCCCTGTGACCACGGCTGCTGTAAAGCATCCGAAACGACGGGCCGAAGTTTCAAACAAGTTTAACTAATATATCGCGTTTTAAACCGTTAAAGTGTTTTATTTAATTTTTTTTTTTTTTTGATTGGATTCTTACGTATTGTGTTCCTAAGGAGCCACGAATACTAACCGGGCGTTTTGGGCGAGCGCGATAGCGCTCGCCGTGTTTGCGGCTAGACCAAGGGTGCCCCGAGGGGGGCATCGGCCTCGGCTTGGACCGCCGCAATGCGGGTGGGAGCTAGAAGAGCTGGACGGAAGCTCACCCGGGTGAGCGGTACGCGAAGCGAATGACCTCGCCTACGCCGGCGTAGGCGGTTTTGCGGGCGATCGGCACCGGTGTCGGCCGATCGCATAGCAATAAGTAAGTCGACGGCTTTGGTTAAGTCGTCATCGGGGTCGGTGAGAACGTTACGCGGCCTTCTCCAGCGTGTATTAATGGGAACGGTGTAGTTGGCGGCCCGGGCCACCAGTGGGTTCGGATGGTGTACTACTCGCGTAAACTATAGACAGTATGCAATTTACTTGACTGATATACTACGCGTTAAACCGTTTAAAATGTTTTATTTTAACTTTATACACGATTTCAAATACCAGATTGTGTATTATATACATATGTTATTATATTATATTTATTATACCTCTTTAACCAGTTCTAGCAAGTCCACATTAAGCGAAGCATCTCCTCTGAACTCCTCATAACCCTGGAGGTGGAACAGGTCTGAATTGGCCACGGTCAACACGAAACGCGTGTAATAAGAATAGCGAGGGTCTTCTGGTGACACGCGCCAGCGGGCTTTGATGGCCTTCACCAGGTTTTCAGGGTCTGAGCGATTCTGAGGAATATCATTTTTATAGTTGATCCGATATTAATATTATGTTGATACAATAAATTATTGGTTATGCATTATGTAATCAAATCTTATTACCATAAAGACGACTTGCTACTTAATTTTAAAAGATATATACCGTCGCGGTTATTATTCGAGATCGTTTTAAGAGGAATCATTATTTAAATAAAACACTTTAACGGTTTAAAACGCGATATGTTTGTTAAACTTGGTTGGATATAATATTTTAACTTCCCCGTGCCGTAGCCGTGGTTGTGACCACGGCTTGCTGCAAAGCATCCGAAACGTCGGGCCGCAGTTAAAAATCATTTTCAAATAAGTTTAACTAATATATCGCGTTTTAAACCGTTAAAGTGTGTTATTTAAATGTGTACTATTCGCGTAAACTATAGACAGTATTTAGGAATCATTATGTCATATAGATTCTTCTTCTTTTTTGACGTATCGGATCAGAAAACCTAAAATTGTATTTGCCGCGTGTTATATAGCTTAAAGCCGTCGTCGATAAATGGTCTATCCAACACATAGAGTTTTTTGGATTCGAACCAGTAATTCCCGAGAATCTATCTATACTAACATATAAAGCTGAAGAGTTTGTTAGTTTGTGTGTACAATGCGGCCGGCAATTTGGCAGGCCTGATCTAAGCGCGAAACGCTGCGCAGAAACGTTCTTTAGGATGTTAACGGTGGTAAGAGCGAGGGGCGCGGGACGAAGATCTAGGCTAGTGATTGACTCAATGTCAACACAATCAACTGCTTATTTTATCAAATTTTGTAATCGATTTAATCGAGTTAGATTGTGGATTTTAAATCGTATGAGATATTGTACTAAATGGATTAATATACACAGTGAATGGCGTTGTTAATAAACAATACCATGATTACCTTTAAAGAAAAATAAAATCATTAAAATTTCTCATTATTGAACTACCTGATTTAGTTAAATATGAGTTATTTTTATATATATATTCTATTTATACCTTCTTTACGGCTTTTTATAAAATTATATTTTTACGATCCAATCTTATCTATTTCAATAAGAATCGATTAAACGACACTCTCAAGGATCGCGTATGGACATCTCTATTTGGTTATTTCGTAAAGCTTCTTACATATTCGGTAATGTTCGGTAAACAGTAGTGCGTCTCGGTCACTCCTTGGTGTTAATTTCGTTATCTCTGTCTTGAGCGCAGTCCGTTAGAAAAGTGATTGTTTATTGTTAAATTTAATATTATTATTTATCTTTTGTTATATTTTTGTTTTGTCTCTGTATTTTAGTGAAAGATAAGTGTTCGTAGCCCTTATTCTCTTTGAATCAATTATTGGTATGTTACTTTTGCTTGCTATAGGTAAAATTTTTCATTTACCCCAGTAACGAAAATTAATGGCAGTATTAGTTTTCTTTACGAGTGTACATGCGCCAAAGTTAGTCTAACCTCTGTTCATAGCTGCCAAATTACGTCGGCCGTATTATATGTTTGAACTGACAAAACAATTTTGTGTCTATCGAGGAAGTCTATAAATCTAGTGACTAAAAAAAGATACAGTGGGAAATGTGAAAAAAATTGGGAAAATTCACCATTATGGGTTCCCGAGGCGTACGCTGCAGAAACGGTTCAAGACACCCAAAAAATATGTATAAAAGAATAATCCCTAATTAAATGCTCAAAAAACAAAAGTCCGCGACGCTATATGTCTATCTTGAATGTGAAGAAAAATACAATGTAATGTTGGAACGCATTCATAACAAATTTGTTAGGCATTTGTACAAAATAATGTATAGAGTATATCCATTTTATCCTTTAACGTGTCCGATTGTTTTTATATAAGGCATGGTCGGGTACAATGAATTGAAGGTACGAATAAATACGAATCCCTGTGATATATCTGGTTAAAGTATTGCGGGCTCGAGAGTTGAACCCAGGAGTTCTAGAGCCCTTACACTTGTCTGTTCCGGACCGATACGTGTGGAGCTTGCGCTGCCGTACTCACGCACCAACTTGCTGATGAAATCTCCTCTTGCACCTGCTATGCGTGATATCAATATGCTGCCTGAAGGGATCGACACTTTTACGTGCGGCTTGGATGAATTGTCAAAAACATCACTCTAGGAAATATGTATATATAAGGTAGAATGTTTATAACAAGATAAATAAATCTTTTAAGATTATCTTGTAAGAACGCCGGGAAGGGACGCGACCGACGTCGCGGGTAACAGCTTAAGTTTATAAAGATGAAGGGATTTGCAAAAACGAATTTGGGTGGCCAAAATAAAGGTTCTCGCGGACGAAGTCGCTGACGTAGTTAGTAAATAATAAACTTAAACAGATATAACAAATAAATTTAAAAGATATTAAACATTGTTTATAATGCACAATAGAATTTACCCCATGACAAACGGTAACAGCTGGTAAAGAGAACCTCCAAGAACGAAAGTCTTTCTCCAGGGTCACCACAGTTGGATTGTCGTTGAACCGCTGTAGTTGCCCAAGGGACACGTTGAGGGCGCCCCAAGTGGCGAGCGCCACTATTGTAACCCATAAGACTCTGGAAATGAAGTTATATGAGGCTGCTAGAGGCAGAGTGGCCTAAACAAAAAAACATGATCTTCAATAAGGAGGTAAATAAAAATGCGCAATTAACTTAGGCGAAAATGAATTAGTACTATTATTTGTATTATTATGTTTGTCACTGTGCTCTTGCAGATTAACATTTATAGACTATTTAAATAAATATCGCGTTTTAAACACTTTAACGGTTTAAAACGCGATATATTAGTTAAACTTATTTGAAAATGATTTTTAATTTCGGCCCGACGTTTCGGATGCTTTGCAGCAGCCGTGGTCATGGCCGTCCAAACGAATTAAAAATACGTAACTAATAAATTTCGCGTTTTGAACTGTTAAAAGTGTTCTATTTTAGCATAAAAGTGGCTTGTTACGCAGTTGGCCTTTGAGTGTTGATTTTTTTACCTTTCAAACCAGTGTCGTCTCGGCATAGCGACGTGGATAAGGCCGTGAATACTAGATTTTAAACAAAAAATCTTTCCATACTTTAATAGTTTAAAAAACAATACTTCTATTAAACTTGTCTTATTATAGCCGGTCCTGTACATTGTTATTTAACAACATGCAACATAGAAAATACTGTTGAACGACTGTGCTTCTATGAAAATGCATTTTTGTTTGAAACACGTTTCGCGTGATGTTCACACAGTACTACAATCAAAGCACCAACTTATTTCAATGTGAAACCGTTATGAGTACCAAAACTGGAGTAGTTTGTATAAAACTAGCTATGCTCGCGACTGCGTCCGCTTCCCGCCATCTTTGCGAGTTAATCTTGAAAGATAGACATATACTGTCGTGGACATGTTTTAGATAATTTAAAGAGGAATTATTCTTTTATACGTAATTTTTGAGTATCTATAGATGAATAGAAGATGAATAGATTTCCCCGATTTTTTAATATTTTCCACAATTACTATGCTTGTATTGGTCGCAGCGTGTTGTTTTATAACATAGAGCCTTCCTCGATAAATGCTCTAATCAAAACAAAATTAATTTTCGATTCCAACAAGTAGTTCCCGAGATTAACGCGTTCAAACGAATAAAGAATACGATCTACTCTGACCTCTATAGCTCACAATGAACGAAGTCGGGGTTCAATTCCTGCCTAGTAAAAAATTTACACATTTCTAAACCTAATTTAAATTTTTGTGAGAACTGTTTTTTGCAGCAGGCACGGTTCGCGTTTTAATCCGTTACATTATGTTTTATTAAACTACAAACATCGTCCTTCTAGTTCTCACAATATTCTGTGGTTGCATAATGGTATCGTGTAGCAGAAAATTCCCAAACAAGGGCTGTCTACTATGCATGTTTATATTAATGCTTAATTCAAAGCTCTTTCCTTGATTATAAGTTTAAAAGGACTACCTTATCCAAGGGTTCCATTACCGGTGGTACGAACTACGCAAATCGAGTTAGACACCTATAAGCTGCTTTCGTATACTTTATCTTAAAAATACAACAGTGAAACGCAACAAATTTAAATAAAACACTTTAACGGTTTAAAACGCGATAGTTAAACTTGTTTAAAAATAATTTTAACTACGGCCCGACGTTTCTGATGCTTTGCAACAGGTCACGGGGAGACGTAGTTAAAAGAATTTTCAAATAAGTTTAACTAATATCTATCGCGTTTTAAACCGTTAAAGTGTTTTATTTAAATGTGTTCCTCACGTAAAGCACACAGTATTCACTTAATACATTTCACTTTTGTAACCGTTAAAATCGAACGATGACTTACACTTCCGGTTCGATATCGTTTCCGGTATTAGGTCTGCCGTCGAGTACCTAGCCCAATTCGATATCAACATCATCAATGACTCATCTATTTATAAGAAATATACTCATTCAATCCTTAGACCTGGGTTTTCATTGATAACCAAGAATCCTGAGTAATATTATAGATGCGAAAGTAACTCTGTCTGTCTGTCTCTTTTACGCCAAAACTACTAAACGAATTTGAATGAATTTTGGTATACAGATCTTCTAGACCCTGAGAAAGGACATTTTTATTGCGAAAAGGGGGTTGCTAGGGGTTAAAAGGGGGGTGAAAAGTTGTTTGGAAATTCGTGGTTTTATGAAGATAGAACAATGAAACTTTCTTCTTTAGGTTTTTTAGAAATGGGAGTTGGAGTGGGAGTAAGTGTAGCAATGAGAGTGGGAGTTAGAGTAGGAGCGATGTGAGTGGAGAGTGTTGCGGCAAAGTAGCACATACAACATAGATTGGCTGCCCTTACATAAATAAATAAACAGTCTAAATAAATAAAAATTCTACCCCAAGTCACTATTCCACGCGGACGAAGTCGCGGGCACAGCTAGTTATAGGTATATATTATTACGTCATTTGTTTTTTCGTAGAAAATCTTTTTAGATCCTGTTTCAGTCAGTAATATAATAGTGCCTATAGTTAATGCGAGTAGTACACATTTAAATAAAACATTTCAACGGTTTAAAACGCGATATATTATTTAGACTTACTTGAAAATGTCATCTTAGTAATGGAATAAGTTTAACTAATATGTCGCTCACTAATAATACAAAAAAAAAGTCTCCCCGTGACCACGGCTGCTGCAAAGCATCCGAAACGTCGGACCGAAGTTAACAATCATTTTTTAAATAAGTTTAACTAATATATCGCGTTTTAAACCGTTAAAGTGTTTTATTTAAATAAAAAATCATTTATCTCCTTTTTTTTCAAAAGGCAATTATCTATTTTCTCTCCGCGGTTCCGTTTAGACATTGAATTAACAAAAATCATTGTTTTCTTTTCATTGATAGTGACTATCGACAATGGTTACACTTGTATTCTAGGAAGCAACGCCTTATCACAGATTATATTATACCTTTAGCAACTTATCGTTTTACGTTGTAACATCGTACAATAATATGAAGAATTAGAGATGCACCGAATAACGAGTCCCGAGTTTTACTCGAGTACTCGGACGGTTCAATCGATTTGGCATTTCGCGAGCGTAAACAGGTACAAACAGGTTTGCACCGGTCACGACGTTGGCTAGCTCTAATTTTCTCGTTTGAAAACATTAATATTTTTTACATGTCATTGCAATATTTAAAAAAAAATCGACTCGGGCAGGACAAAAAAAAAATTTTTTTTCAATTGATTTTCGATTTTTAAATTATATAGTGCCTTCATGTGCAATAACATGTAAAAAATATTAATGTTTTCAAACGTTATAACTTTGTAATTTCATCTTCAACGATTTCTTAAGCTGCAAATCATTAGACGTTGAACCTTAATACGCAAGTGTTAAGGTTGAAATTACATTGTGCGAGAGGTGCATGTATCAATAAGTTGAAAAAATTCGACGATGAGGTGTAGGACTCGGCAGCTCAATTGGTTGGAGCAACAGCACGGAAAGCCGACGATGCCGGTTCATGTCCTGCCCGAGTCGAAAATTTTTTAAGTTCATTTTCGATTTATAAATTCTAATCTTCTCGTAATTTTGTCTCATTCATTAGCATAAGTTTAATTTTACAAAAAAATACTAAAACATAGATTACTTAAACAAAGTATACTCGTTCTCAAATAACAAAGTAAATATAACCAAGTTATTCGGCCGCGTATGAGTATCAGAACTCGCCGAGTAAGAGTACCGAGTATCAACCGAGTACTAGGCCCATCTCTATTAATAATTACTATTGAGATTACATGACGTCAGGTACATTTTAAAATCATTTATCTTTTTATAACGCGAGGTATATTACTAGTTCATTTATCATTTATACATATTATATCTACAATTAATTTTACTTGTGTTGTCTGTTTCGTAAATATTTTTATCAAACTAAATACATTTTCCAGTTATTTCGGATTCGTCTGTATACATGTCTGTGTGTATGTAAAATCCATAAAATCTATACTTCTCTACTAATATGTAAAACTGAAGAGTTTGTTTGTTTGAACGCACTAATCACAGACTACGCGTTCGAATTCCGAGGCCCGACGTTTCTGATGCTTCGTAGCGGCCGTAGTTTCAAATAACTTTAACGAATATAATTCCCGTTTTAAACCGTAAGTGCTTTGTTTAAATGCCTACATTTCTTTATGATTTCTAATATAATTATGTATTTTTGTCTGTTTTTCTCTATATACCAAATACCAACGCTGTAAGTAGCTATGGAATGGTCTGTATACATTAGTCCCCGGTTTATCTACGTTTTAAAATCGCTAGTTAACTGTCATTATTACGGTCTACTTTGCATGTATAGCGTGACATAATGTAACTTTAAATAACAATTTATATTCGTATTTGTTTATCATGCCTACACTATTCGCTCGCTAGAGGCAGAGTGGCCTAATGACAAAAAACATGATTTCCAATAAGGAGAAAAATGAAAATGCACAATTAACTTTGGCGAAAATGAATTTGTACTATTATTCGTGCAAGAATGATGTTAACAATTTTCGGTCACTGCGCTCTTGTGGATTAACATTTTTAGACTATGAAAAGATGAATAAGTGAAGTCATAAAATTGCAGTTAGGCCACTCTGCCTCTAGCGGCTGCATATATTTGTCTGCGCAATTCTCCTCTTTCATATAAAAAATAGGTAAAAATAAAACAATAAAGAAACTGTACAAATGAAACAAGTTTATTACAATATTTATAAAACGGTCCTACTTAGTTTCGTTTAGAATAAGTTAAAAACATTACGGGGGTTTTAGCACTGAATAAATATTGATCAGATAATTCGACGATTTCATCAATGGGACTTAACGAGACTCCCCCCCCCCCCACCTTAACAAAAACGTTAGGAACTAAAGTATTTAACTTGTAATGTTAATAAATATATACCCCTTTGTGTACATATAAACAGATTTGTAACCTTTAACAACCCCCCTCCCTAAAGTAAAAAAAACAAAAATTTCACTTGTTTATTACACATGATAAATAGAAAAAACTCGGTAGCTCTAGAGCAACAGCACGGAACGCTGACGATGAGGGTTCAGGGCCTCTTTATACTCTTTTGTTTAATATATGAAAAAAAATTAAGTTTAATTTACATAAACAACTTAATTGTAAGTGGGGGGGGGGGTTTGACCCAAGAATTCTTCATAAGGAGATAAGATGTGCTAGCGTCTGTATGATAACACTGACGGTAAAGAGAGGCAGTTGGAAGTGAGGGCATCTAGCAGAACCTAATAAATCCAGGGCTCAGAAATCGAGACCTTACCACCTTACCTTACCTTACAAGATACAAGTGTTTCTTTACCAAAGGGGGTACTTTTTAAAACAGTTGTAAAGGCCCCATCTAAAAGTCCCACCGTTGTCCCACAAACAAAACCGCCTGGAACACCATGTATTATTGTGCCATAATCCCATTTTACAATTTATAACCACAATGTACAAAACCTTACAATCTATAGCTTCATTCGATTAACTAAGGCAATTTCTGCTAAGTCTAGGAGCTAATTCAAGTTTTGTTAAAAGCAATATTCATCGAGACATTTCACTTAGATAACTTTGATTTAAAAGTTACATAAATTCACATTTAACGGTTCGAAACGCGAAATATATTTCTCAAACTTATTTGAAAATTATTCTACTACGGTGCGACGTTTCGGATGCTTTCCAAAAATGCTAAATAAAATTAAAATATATTTCGCGTTCTAAACCGTTAAACACATGCATATATACTGCATAGTTCAAAACAAGTATGGTTAATAAAAACAAAACTTACAATGTTTCGTGTTTAGAACCGTTGACAATAATTTATTTAAATGTGTACTCGCGTAGACTATAAACTAAAGGAGGTTGAAGTCATGTGGATACAAAAGTTTTGTTATTAGCTCCTAGACTATTTTATTTAATATGAAACAAATAATAATGTACAACTAAAATTATATATTAACGGTCGTTTTTATAACATACTTATATTTACAGGAGAGCCCAGTGTGACCAGTTTTCTACTAAAATAGTAGAATTGTTATGACGATAACTAAATATATGCTAAAACGGATACATTATTTATACCAGGTCATACATGTTTATTTATTTGGGTATATACTAACACCAGACTTTCCTTTTTATTAGCTTCAATAAAATCACCGATATTCAATTATATTTTGCTAGTGTTTTATTATGATAAATCGGTCACACTGTAGTACGGGCTATTTCGTATTTAGATTTTCTACCAAATTTGGTAGTCATTCTCCAATCCCCACTTTTGATCTTCGCCATTTCGTGTCATGGTAGTATTAATATCTCAAGGCATAATGGCGTTGTTTATCAACACAACCGCGATTTTAGCTTTTATAGCTTTGACATAAGCACTCTCTCAGTTAAAACTTATTAGGCATATTAAAACTGAGATTGTATTTCATTAATCCACGGATTAGCGCAATTTACAGATTGCACAAATATATCCCCGGATTTAGGTTATATAACTCTAATTCAATCTGCGATTAAATTAATCACAATCACCATTTCGTTTAATCCTCCGATTAAAGGATTGATCTAAACCATTTTGTGATAGCATTCACATATTAAATAACCACACTTCTTCATAGTGTCTTCATCGCATTCTTTTAATTGACTCTTGAGGTGTGTGCTATCACTGGTGTATCGCATGGTGGGGGGTGAGGACAGCGCCACCTGGTGGCAACACTGATGTGATGACAGGAGCGGCACCGCCGACGTTATTGACGCCGCCGCCACAGAAAATCACCTGGAGAGATATAGATTTATTTAAAAGGATCTATGGGACGTTTAACAAGCTTAGACCCACCACACCATTCGACTTTAACGACAACCGCCACGAAATGTTATTATAATACCGTGATTGCCGAGGCACATTTTTTTATATATAGATATTTCAGACGAAGTCCAAAATATTACAAAAAAAAACTTTGGATCCCGGTGGCGAACAAACCCACGATCTGGTGATTATCAGCCGTACATTACACCAACCCTCTGCGTTTACCCTCTCAAAACGATTACTTGGTTACATCTGGTGAAAACTAGTAGTGCTTCTCACCTGCGAGACCGGGGTAGCAGTCTGCCCTGGTGTGGTTAGTACATACTGCTGTTGTCTCACTCCACCCACCTGAAAGATATCCAATCGTAAAGATCTATTCTGGAACTACGGGTTCAAATTGTAAAATTATTTCTGTGTTGGACCGTTTAACGAGGAAGGATTTAGGCTACATCACGACCAATAGGGAATTCGGGGAAAATAGGGAACATCATTTAACTGTGACGGTTTGCTTTGCGTGCGCGCAAAAACCTAATTACGCTGATGTAGTCGTGGGCACTGATAGTTGTAAAATAGAATATAAGAATTATACGATACAGTTCAAGTATTACTAAAGCATATGTAACCTCAACTAACCCCCCCCTCCCTTGTCATCTAAAGTAAAGCACCCACCCCTCCCCTCTTTCATATTTACGTAAACATTATCGATATAATTTTTAGTTATTTATTAAGTGATATTGACTATTAATAGTATTAACGCTATCTGTGGGTTTATGAGATGAAGATGTCATTTAATTATAGTTAGTCTACCGACCTAGTTTTATTACAAAAGCCCCCCCTACCCACTCTCATTATCAAGAAGCAAAGTGAGGGCCCTCAATATAGTGAAAAATAGATTTTAAGAAGTAATACAAATAGCAGTTACAGGGTGAATTTGCTGCTGCTGCTGCGTAGTCCGCGCGGCGTCCGAATCGACTACAACTTGCTCCATATAGCTGCCGCTGCTTGCTGAAAATTAAATCCATCATTTTGTTAGCAACTACACTAACTAGCGTGGTTTTATTCCCGGAAAATATACATTAAAATGACTGAATTACATGTTTTAATCCGTTTAAAAATTTATTTTAATAATATTATATAAATAAATGAATAAAAGGGATTTAAAAACTTTTGTAAACAAAAATTAACATTTTTGTTTACAAAAATAACATTTGTTAACTTACTACAACAAATATTATATAAATATAATTAAGTATTTTAATAGGCCATTTACCAGTAGTAGTCGCGGGTGTGGTAGTGGCGTTTTCACAGCAGAACAGACAGTGTTGCACCGTCCATCGTGGCTCGAACGGTATGTGGGTTTTAACCTGAAATTAAAGAATAAACTAAGAAAGCGCGAAAGGCAAAATCGAAGTGACGCTGCAGTTCATTTTTTTTATTATTCAGTCATATTTTATGACAAACTGAAAACCAGCGCTGTGCACCATTTAGATTGCCAGCACATTCCAAACTTACTGAATTAACTTAAAAAATTCACATGTTCAAATGCGATTCCACTTATTTACCTTCAGCTCGGTGGTAAGCATGAGGATATGTCTGCAGGGCAACCGGAACACCTTGCTGAACAGGCACGAGCACTCTTGCGTGGACGTCCCGTACTTGCATATCGCCGCGCTGCTCTGTCGTCTAGTGAAGCAGACATTCATTTGAGCCTCGTTAAGATTGAGTAGATTAAGTACAGTATACAAAGAAACTGGACCCAAAAGTTAGTACCGGTGAGTAAATAACCTTAGAGTTAGGAACCGTGAGTGATCCAAAATTTAGTAACCGTAATTGATTTAAATAAAACACTTGAACGGTTTAAAACGCGATATATTAGTTAAACTTATTTGAAAATGATTTTAACTTCGTCGGATGCTATGCAGCAGCTGTGGTCACAAAATATGGAAATAACTAAGCATACCTTCCAGCTCGGTCGTCCAGACATTTCTGGGCTAGTTTGGTCTGATGGCTCATCAGGTTGTAGGCGTACTGCGTTATTGTGTCCGTGGGTGACTGCTTCAATGTAACCGTATCCTGGAACATAAGTTATCCCACTAAACTCAACAGGAGTACCACACGTGGGTCTAGGTCCCAGCAGATGACGTTCGAACAATAGACAGTCCATACAAATTCAAAATTATGTATTGTTGAATTCCGTTAGCCCAAGTTAGCAATGTATGGCTAATAAACAATGGGTCGTAGATTCGTCTGGAAATCTGGATATTTAATCTAGTAGTAGATAGTCGCGGACCACCGTCCACAGATTTAAAAGCTGTCAAATTTAATCGCGTTTCGGTTTCAGACTGTGGATTTTTGTATGAATAGGCCGACAGCGCATCGTATTAGATGTTGAATAGCTGGGGTTATTTCACCTTTCATCAAAAGAACCCAATCATTGTATATCCTCATCTATCGTGAAGAAAAAGCCTGTCGATTACCAGATGACAAAATGGGTCGACAGCACATCTTGTTATTATATTTCATCTACCACCACGCTCGCCTGTTCTTCTCTATCATAACAAATCTCTCTCACTCACTCGTAACCTGTTCAGCGCGAACGTCCGCCTCTCCTCCTCCAGCTGGTTGGCGACGTTGAAGAAGAGGGACACAAAATCGTCCGGCTGCATAAAGTTCCTCACGAGGCTCCCGAACTTACCCACCAGACGCTCCAGGCCCTGCGTAACGCAGTTTTGTTTATTTAGATTTCTGTTCGTTTTATCAACGATCACTTTAAAACGCGTTATTTATTAGTCGAACTTACATTTAATTTATTTTTATTACGAACATTAGTGATCACAGTGGGTATAGAGCCGTTAAGTTAAATTAAATATAGGTGTAACTTACATTCTTCGCGTTTTAAACCGTTAAAGACATTTTAAATTTTCCAAGTTCATCATCGTGTTATGAGTTCAATAACCTATACACCCAACACTAGTCCCGACGGTGGGAACGAATAACGAAACATACAAACCTTATGCAATATATTAGTATAGTTGTCCTGCTCTAGCCAGGCGTCCAATTTGGACAGTGGCTCGTCCGGCCTGTTCAGGATTTCCCAGAGTCGACCTGTCCCAGCCACAGATCCTATGATTCCACGTTTCAAGACCTGAAAGATTTATTTCAGTATCCAATAAGAATATTATTCTTTAGTGCTATATTTTAAAATTCTCACCAAAAACCTTTATGTATCAAAGATACATTTAATATTTTGACTATTCGAGAAAAAAATACTTTTAAATTAGACTCATAAATATAATAAACACTTAAATGTCATAATTCACACGAAATACGATTACGACTAAGAAGTTGTATTATTTTGTTTTTGACAATGGACAACCAGAGGGCATTAATTTTTAATGAATGAAATTCTGTGTTTATTGATTGATTTTGGTTTTTAAATTAAAAAAAATTAAGATCTTTTAAAAGAATATGAGGCAATATTAAGTAATTATTATTATTTTTAATTTATCATAATAGTGCTGGTTGTCAATTGTCAAACCGTCTTTCTTTTTGATCCGTTAAAAATCGTCTTTCTTTTTGATCCGTTGTTTACCATTTCGGCCAGTCACGAAAGAATATCGTACAAGTACTATATGCAAATCACGAAATACCTGTAACTGTGCAGGCGTGTGCTCCCCGCGCAGCAGCGCAAGCGCATACGTCTTGCAACGCGCTGCAATGTCCTCAACGGTGTATCGGGGCTCGTCGGAAGCAGCTGTGGCGCCGCGGGACTCTATCAACCTGCCCAGGGCGCGTGACGCCTGCCAAACGGAGCATGAGACGTGGGCTGTTGGGAACGCCGTACGTACTGACTGGAAGTTTACAAAAAGACGAAGATTGTAATCATAGAGAATAGAGGGTACAAAAATTGTGCGAGAGGTGTGTGTATGAATAAATTGAAAAAAAATTGATGGTGACGTGTAGGGCACGTTAGAAGGTTAGAGAAGCAGCACGGAACGCTGAAGATGCCGGTTCAAGTCCTGGATATGTCGTAAAATTTTAATCTTAAGTCGATTTTTAGTTTCTTTTCTAAAAATTACAATAAACTGTGCGTGAAATATATCTATATGTTAGTGTGGTTCAAATTACAATGGATGCGAGCTGCATTTATTAAATACTTAGGAAAATTTTGTTTGACCGGAACAAGGACTTTTAAGTTATTATTATATTGTTTTTTAACGGATTTGGATAGTTTTGTTGGAAAGTAGAATTTTTATTTACTGTTTCAAATTAATTTGTTTATTTTAATAGAACAGTAACCGCACTAATTAATTATACACATATATGTAATGTATGTGTGTTCTTTATATACATATTATTGTACATAAAGAACATTAACAATCATACATTTAAAACATGTATTCGAAGGGTTATAATTATCAAGAGGAGAAATTGAAGAGGATGTGCGGCCTACCTTGTCTGGGACATATACATTGGTTCTAAAATATGGTAATCTCCTACCTGTTGATTCTTGCCTGGATCGCAGACAACACAGCGAACCTGCCTCCATGCTGGATTGCAGGACTTGAACGTATCCAAGAGCCAAGTCAAATCGTCTCCTATTAATGTGGATATACCTGAAACATTTAAAGATTGGTGTTTAGATAAATTGTGTCGTCATAGTTAAAAATAGCAATAGATTAAAACGTAAAACATAATAGTTAAAATTATTTTATCTACGCCTTCGTGGCCACGGTGGCTGTATGGCATCCGAAACGTTAAATAATTTCAACTAACATATTTTGTTCAAAATTTAAACACTAGCTGAGTCACGCGACTTCGTACGCGTTGAATAATAATTTTGGATATCAATTTTTGTTTTTAGCGAAGCCCATCAACTCCCCTATCTATATATGGACTCACCACCGCTGACAATCACCGACTTGCCATTTCCATCCTCAGATAGGAAAAGGGTGACGTTGTGTTTGATGCTGGGATTCCCGGTACCACCCACCATTGGTATCGCCGTATTAAACTCGATACCTGAAAGTACAACATTACAAGGTGAAGTTATAGATCATAATTTTTTATAATGGAGGACAGACGAAGCATGGGGTTGACACGATGGAAGTCGTATAACATCACAACTAGATGCACTGTCTAAATAAAACACTTTAACGGTTTCAAACGCGATATATATATAGTTAAACTTATTTGAAAACTGATTTTTAACTTCGGCCCGACGTTTCGGATGCTTTGCAGCAGCCGTGGTCACGGGGAGACAATAAGTTTAACTAATATATCGCGTTTTGAACCGTTAAAGTGTTTTATTTAAATGTGTACTACTCACGTAACATATAGACAGTATTAAGATGCACTGTCGACCTATTTTGGCTTTTGGAGAAATCCACAGACCGAAACGTGATTAAACTTCACCACATTCATCTGTACTGACGGCACATCGATATTCCGCCCACCCATTTAATTTCCAGATTTCCAAACACCGTGTATCAGAAAACTAATAAAATTATTTAAAACGCGTTGAACCCGGTGGGGATCCAATCCACGACCCGTTGATCATTAGCCAATAGACCACGGAACCGGTAAAGCATTAAAAGTATACAAGAAGTGAAATTCCATTTTCCCCTCTGGGGCATGGCGTCTGACACAATTATAGATGACATAAATAGTAATCGGTGTTGCTTTACATTGCTTTAGACACTAGGTGTTGTAGATTTAAAACTAGGGACATAATAAATTGTTTCAATCGGGCAAGGCACAGACTCGACCGTAAACTGTCAACAACTTGCCTGTAAATATACAATTGTCAAAGCCCCATGCCCCACGAGTTAGGTGTCAAATTTGTTACCTGTCTCGATGCACAGAAACTGTGGAACTGCATTGAAGGCCATCTGCATGTTCGGTGTTGTGAAGTAGACGCACTGAATGCACCCGGACTGAGAGTGTAACAGCTTTACACCGGCATCTGGAAATTTCAAGGAGTGGAAGTGAGTTCAAGATTGGCACCGATCACCCAGCTATTGATGGAATCATGAATACTGAGTGATATAAAGGAAAAATGTTGGTGAAAGGTACAAAGAAATTTATTTGAGTTACTATTATTCTTTTCTATCGGCCTAATGTTGCTGGTTTCAACCTGTCTTCTTTTCCAATGTATCTACATTAGAATTTAATTCGGGCTTTATTGATGCTAAAAAAACTTACCATAGTTTAGTTGTAGCTTCCTCACAACAAAATCATATTTCTGATTCAACCAGCGCACTGCCCCAGATCCGGATGACACCAGCTGCGTCTCTGTCGTTATTACTTGTGAATCTGACCTGGAATTTTTAAATTCATATTACTATTATTACTTACAAAATTATTAAATTAAATTCTACTGACATAAAAAGAACTTATAGTCTAGGCTTTTAATTTTCGGGAAAACATTGTTTGCATCTAGCACTATAATACTAAGGCTGATGAATTTTTTTTTCAGTAAATTTAATTATTACAAACACAGAGTGAAACAGATTTTTATAAACGCAATTATCTGTTTATTGGTTAACAATAAACTCCCTTTGATCCAAGCATTAGTATTTTAATACATTACAAAATTACCGTTCGCTTTGAACATCGGAATTTTCTATTATGGCAACTTCATACTCCTGGTTGTCTACTTGATTGTTGCTGTTCAACTCAAATTGTTGATATGTGTTGCTTGTTTCTTCCACATGCGCCTTAAATTAATAAATAGTTCCAAGTTTATAATAATTCCTATATTTTAGTATTCAAATCTATGTCCAGGCAAGATTTTTCCATGCCTTAGTAGGTAAAACCATGATACAGATTGCAGAAGTCTAATCACAAACTATGGTTCAGATTGTTAAATGTAAAACAGAATTCCATTATACCTAAAATAACTTTTAGATTTGTAAGATCCTTTTGAATAAAGTATACCAACAGACTACCCACATTATTCACTTCTGCAGTATTCTGAACGAATGAGGCACTTTCTTCCTCCGGTTCACCCTTTACATCATAAATGGTCTCTGCCATAACAATTCGCCCCGATGAGTCCACAGTCCACATGCCACCGAAAGAGAAGTTTGATGGATTTCCACTTTGCTCATATAGTATGACAGTATTTGGACCTGAGGTTGTAAAAAATAAAAATATATTTATACATAATCTATACTGTACTATATTTAAAGCTAGACTTAAGTTTAAATGCACAAATCTTAGGAAGTAATGGTTTGAATTGAAAATTATTTGTGTTGGATAGACCATTAATTAAGGAAGATCTAGGGCTCTATAACATCCCACTGTGGCTAATGGGAGCAAAGAAAACATGGACAACCGAGAAAATTATTCATCTTTTAAGACCTTCCATTCCGTGTCAAAAAAAGGAAGTTTTATAAAAACACATACTTATATTAATGTCTGAAAACTTCAGCAATGTAAAGGTTGGGAAAGAAAGCAACCAATTTTTAAAAAATCTAGTGAACTAAATCCCTAACAACTTTATATGCTTATAAGGTTTCTTGGGATTTTATTTGGGAGTACACTAGTTTATAGAACTATGTTATGTTTCTTTTTTAACTAAGTAATGTTCCAGGAATTATGAATGAGACGTTGGATAAGCAACTCTGAGAAGAACAATAGTGAAACTTATAATTTTTATACTAATAACAACTGCAATACAATAAACCTACCTAGCTGCACTGGTTCCCCCTTCATGTTTACGAAGACTGGCTGCTCGAAGTTCCCTTCCACCAATTGACCAGTATGAACAATTTGCTGCCCCTGTTCCACAGGAACCTCCACTACCTGATTCACAATTTCCACTTTCTTCTCATCTTCAACTTTAGCGCGGTTCACCATCACTTTAACCTTTTTCTCGCCCTCTGCCGGCTCATCACTTTTCCGCTTAATAACAGTTTTCTTCTTGTTCTTTTTGTCCATTTTAACTAATTCGCTCACTACCACTAAAGCACAATATTACACATTATAAAGCAGCGCGTAGACCTAATTTTAACGAATATGCCTCGCCCCGTTTCCGACATCGTCCAAATATATTTAAATACTAATACAATCCAACAGTGAAGACCAAAAACCGCGAAAGATAAGCTTTTACGAGTTCATTATACGATTATTTACTGTTTTGATTGCGTTAAAATGAGAAAATTTTGTGTGAAAAGGACAACTCACGAAGGCGCCATTTGTAATTTACGATTTACGAGCGAGTCAACGGGCCGATCGTGAAATTCTTGTCTATGGCATATAGACATCTCTTTTTAAGATATATATGTGTCACTGTTACACGAACATTTATATTTACCGTTATCTGTATCAAAGAGCTATTTTTATGGTATATTCTATAATTGATATCAAATTTGTCAATTGTCTCTTGTTATTTGTCAAACAATACAGACCTATAAAAAATCAGCTGATTTGTAATTGTTTTTTAAGATATAAAAAAAACTGCCTATTTTATTAAAACGATTGTAATTTCAACAGAAATATGTTAATGAGATGAAGTGAGAGTACAAACGAGATAATGATTCATATTGAATAAGGGCAAAAACGCTTGACGTTGCTTTGAATTATGTATAAATAACTTGCGTGGAACCCAATGCTTATCCTCAATACATTTACAATTCTCGTACAAGTGGTGTTCATTGTGTTTATGTCCATAGTCTCCATGAACATAATACGACACTTCTCCGGAGTAAGAAAAATGGTTCTGGTCGCACCCGCTCTCTTCGTCAACCACGGCGGTGGTCCACTACCGTTGCTTGGAGATAAGGACCATATGGGATTGACGATTTTTCTTAGAGACGAAGTGAAAAAGCACGTTAATTTCAAGGAGTTAAAAGCCATTATCCTTGTGACAGCGCACTGGCAGGAAAAACAGGTGACAATATCGTCTAATGACCACCATGACCTTTATTTCGACTACTACGGATTCCCACCAGAATCTTACACTTACAAGTATAACGCACCTGGTCACCCAGATTTAGCAAAGCAGATACATTCAGCATTATCTGACGCTGGGATTAGTTCTAAATTGGATCCGAAGCGTGGCTGGGATCATGGAGTCTTTGTTCCCATGATGCTTATGAACCCAGAAGCCAACATCCCAATCGTACAAATCTCCGTACTTAAGAGTCAAGATGCAGCAGCACACTATAAAATCGGTGAGGTTTTGCACAAATTTCGAAAAGATTAGGGTATTGCCATTATCGGTTCAGGGATGTCATATCACAATATGATGGAATTCATGCATGGTCCGAGTGGGGACAATGTTGTAAATGTAGCTTTTGATGAGTTTTTAAATGTGGCATGTAGTTTAAATAATGAAAAGAGGAAAGAAAACTTAATAGAGTGGGACAAACAGCCAGGAGCAAGAGATGCTCATCCACCTAGGGCTGCGGAACATTTTATGCCATTGGTTGTGATCGCTGGGGCTGGAGGAAGTGGTCCTGGCGAGAGAATATTTAATTGGGATCTAAGTAAGGCATTTCGTTTGAGCGGTTTTATATGGAAGGACGAGTGAAACTTATTATACAACGTCTGACCCTATTTTTGAATGACAAAATAAGTAAGCTAAGAGGGAAATCGAAATATTATCTATAGATATAATTACAAAATGTCGGGGACCAAAAGTATTCAATGTAATATACTCTGTTATACACAATAAATTATTGCTTATTATCTGATTTTATTAATGTTACTACCAGGTCATTAATATCCCAAAAAATGGTTATAACCCCTTATAAGAAAAATTCAAAAAAAACTTCTATATTCGAATTATATTCAGCATTCTCAATGAAATGTCTGTCCCTTGTTAAAATATAATAATACTTTGGTTATAAAAAAAAATTTTTTGAAGGGGGAAAAAATATTAATACAAAACTGATAATTACAGAAAATAAGTTTAAGTCTTTTTTTTTTTTTTTTTTTTGTTTTTTTTTTTTTTTGTTTTTTTTTGAAAATTAAAAATTTTTGGTCCAATACATTGTTCTGAAATAGCTTAAAGGTAAACAAAATAATCTGATATACAATGACAAATAAAAACACTTTAACAGTTTAAAATGATTATTACTAAAACTTTGAATGTCTTCGGCCCGACGTTTCGGGGTTTTGCAACAGCCGTGGTCACGGGGAGACCGTTTAACTAATGGATCCGCGTAGTATAGTTATTTTGGGATATCAAATTCGATTGTTAAAAATAAAGTACTTTTTTATATATGAATAGTTTAAAAAATATAACCAATTAAGGTTTTACTTTTTATAAACACTAATAATTTTTATTATTAATTACATACTTATAAATACAGCAAATAAGTTTCACCACTGTTCTGAAATACTTAGGTGCGCAAATAAGTATACAATGACAAATATTAAATACTAGCTGTGTCAGCGACATCGTGCCGGCGTAGTGTAGTTATTATGGGATATTCAAATCTGTTTTAGTCTTTATAGAACTAATAATCTATATAATTATTTATAAATTTATACCCACGACATCGTGTCCCAACGTTCGCGCAAGTTAATCTTTAAATATATTTTTTTTATATCATCCAACAAGAAATACGCATCGGAGACTCACAGAGGTGAAAAATTCCCCCGTTATTCCCACATTTCCCCGTTTCTGAAATTAGCACGATCAAACAAACAAACTCTTCAGCTTTATATATATGTATAGATTTTGTACTTACATTATTACTTTTTCGTATTGTACATTATTAAAGAGGCTTCCGTGGAAAAAGGAGTGATTTGTTGCATTTTTTAATCGTACTTGAAAGAACAAAGTAAACAACTAAATTTGTAATAATTCCATATTAAATAATGTCTCAATTGTCAAACGCATCGTCTAGCATTACTTTGAGAGAGTTCCTGGGTTGCAGACGAATAATAAAAAAATCAAAGATTGGTCAAAAATAAATTTGATAGCTGTATACTTACATATCGTTGGATAATTTTTGACAGAAATAAATTTGTTTATTAAAATATACACAAATGTGCTTGTCTTTTGTCACACCAAGACGCATATGAATTGATATTTCAACCTTTTGAAGACACGATGTATTACAATTGTGGCTTAAAACACAATTCTTACTAAGTTTGAATCCCGGAAAAAAAATTAACTTCGATCAGAAATGAACGAACGAACATATTTCTGTGTTCGTTTTCCTAATTTATTCGCCCTGACAAGATGTTAATTTCCATTGTAAAAGATAGTAGTAGTTCCCCCATTAAATCCCGTTTCCCCCTGTGGGGCATGGGTCACACAATTCTGTGTCCGTATACTGATCAATTTTTAATTACAGACAAGCAGTTCGTCAGACTCTGCGCCCTGCTTGACAGAAATAATTTATTATTTCCCCAGGATTCGAACTCGAGACCTCTCGCGCTTGACGCATTGTATGTATAATCTTGTATTTTTTTACTTGCAGTCTTGAATTTTTATACGACGCCAACAAGTCATTTATCTTAATAATATACCAACAGACAGTTACTTAGTGCCAGTCTATATAATTTTACTACGTAGTTATTATATAATCAGTTGTGGTTATTTACCATTATATTGAACAGTGTAACTTAGTCATACGAGCGTTTAGACGTGTCGTCTGTCGTGTCGTCTATAAACCATCGTAACAGTTCGTGTTTTAAACCGTTAAGTGATCAACGTGTTACACTACCGCTCAGACAATGGACAGCTACATTGCGCCATCTTTATTTGTCAATCATGGGGGCGGACCCTTGCCCGTGTTGGGTGAGAAAAATAACCAAGATATGGCCGACGCACTACGGAATGTATCGAACTTGGTTGATTTAAAACGCGTTAAAGCAATTATTTTAATCACAGCACACAGAGAAGAGGATGTGGTCACAATATCGTCCGGCGAACGACACAATCTTATATACGACTACTCCAATTTCCCGCCAGAAAGTTACGCGCTGACGTATGAAGCGGTCGGTGACCCCGTTTTGGCGGGAAGATTGCACGGTGCGTTCGGAAAAGCAAACATCACATCGCGCTTGGACGACAAAAGAGGTTGGGACCACGGAGTCTTTATTCCCATGCTTTTAATCAATCCGAAAGCTAATATCCCGATAGTTCAAGTGTCGATATTGAAGAATCAAAGCGCGCGCGACCATTTTAATATTGGACGTGTTCTACGCGAGTTCAGGAAGGAGGGGATCGCCGTTTTCGGTTCGGGAATGTCTTTTCATAATATGGGCGCATTCAAACGAGCTAGAGTCGTTAACGATGAAGTGGTTGTTAATGATTTGTTCGATAAGTTTCTGAACGATGTGTGTTTGGGTGTGCGTGAAACAGAAGACATTTTTGACTGGGAGACAGCGCCGCAGGGCCTGGAGTCACATCCCTTGAACGAAGCAGACCATCTGATGCCGTTAATTGTGAATATTGGTGCTGGAGACAGCCCCGGGCGTAGAGTATTTTCATCTGTATACCTCAAGAAATTCAAATTGAGCGGATTCATTTGGGAGTGAAAAGCTTTTACACACAATTGAGGCCACTAGAGTCAGAGTAGCCTAACTGCAATTTTATGATTCGAGTTATTTTTCGTAGTCAAAAAAAGATTTGCGCATTTTTATTTTCCTCCTTATTAAAAATCATGTTTAGTGTTATTAGGCCAATCTGCCTCTAACAGCCTCAATTGTACTCGCCATGCTACTCAAAATAAAAATAATGTAAAATATATCTTTATATTTTCAAAAATAAAACAATACAAAATTGATAGGACTTTGGACAACACAGTACCTACTTTACCTGAAACAATGTAGTATGTATTATATTTTTTATTACAAGGCAATTAATATGCATGTCATTATAATGTACACCGTTACTCAACCCTCAGGTCACTCATCAAAGCCTAATATCCTATATCCAATTGATATATTTTTTAAATAAAACACTTTAACGGTTTAAAACGCGATATATTAGTTAAACTTATTAGAAAATGATTTTTAACTTCGGCCCGACGTTTCGGATGCTTTGCAGCAGCCGTGGTCACGGGGAGACACGTTTTAAACCGTTAAAGTGTTTTATTTAAATGTGTACTACTCGCGTAAACTATAGACAGTATTTGATATATTTTTGTCAACATTCATTGCATATTGTCCTAGGATAAGTCTACGTACACTAGGACAAGGTAAAGACTTAAATACTTTTCACATGCCATTATATATTAAACAAGAACGACTATAAATTAAAAACGACCTCCTGAGCAATAGCACATGTCAAAATTTTTTTTTCAGCCGATTTTGTAGGTAGGTCACTATTAAATACTGTCCATAGTTTACGCGAGTAGTACACATTTAAACACTAACGGTTTAAAATGCGATATATTAGTTGATTTTTAACTTCGGCCCGACGTTTCGGATGTGTTGCAGCAGCCGTAGTCACGGGGAGATTCGAAGTTAAAAATCATTTTCAAATAAGTTTAATTAATATATCGCGTTTTAAACCGTTAAACTCTTATAAAGGTCACTATTAAATAAATAACTATATCAACTCATTTGTTTCATTATAACTTATATCGTTTTATTCTCAAGCGCCCTCACTGGAAACATGTATCCTCCATATTATCCCATAACAGTGAGAGTTTGACCGCCTCTGTAGTCAAATGTTTAAAAGCATTGCCTGTGTTCGAATTCCAGGGAAACAAAATGATTCGGTCGGGCAGGGCACAGAAGTCTGATCAACTACTTGCCTATATATCTATGTCCTATATCCTGTATAAATCTGTCCGTATTGTTTAGCATGATTTAACAACTACCGTCACTGACGCGGTTATAACCAGAGCCGATGGCTTAGCGTACACTCCATGGGTATTAAATAATGGTTAATAAAAGTAACGCACCACAATAATTTAGGACGAGGTAGACCTTTTTCTTAGACGGTACCTCCGATCGCAGCGTCTGCAAATTTTAAACCTTCCCGACCTTGAGCGACATCTCCAGTTGTAGCTAATGAACAAACATAGATATATATATTATGCATAAGCACGTTGGTCTATTGGTAGCAATGTCGTGCGTTCGATCGCTACCAGATAATCTTTCTGAAACCTGTTGGAATTCATCTGAATATTAAATGAAAAACCCCCCCCGCCCCAAAAAAAAAAAAAAAAAAAAAAAAAAAAAAAAAATTTTTTTTTTTTTTTTGTTTTTCACCCCCCCCCCCCCCCCCCCCCCCCCCCCCCAAAAAAAAAAAAAAAAAAAAAAAAAACCCCAAAAAAAAAATAAAAGGGGGGGGGGTTTTTTTTTTTTCCCCCCCCCCCCCCCCCCCCCCCAAAAAAAAAAAAAGGGGGAAAAAAAAAAAAAAAAAAAAAAAAAAAAAAAAAACCCCGGGGGGAAAATCCCCCCCCAAACAGGGGGGGGGGTTTTCCCCGCAAAAAAAAACCCCCCCAAGCACAAAACGAGGGGGGGGGCTTCTGACTCTCAACAATTTTATTAAAGCAGAGTTTGTCAATAAATAGATATGTCGTAGTTTCAAACGAAATTAAATTTTAGCGTTCAAAAGCAGTTTTCGAGTAGTGAAAAAAGAAATATTTAATTTGGGGCCCCCTAAATCCGGTCCTGGCCATACTTTACCGTCCTCGACGCCGGCATGAGCGCGAGCGCCGTTTTTTCGAGCCACAGCCCTGGCGACAGCACGGCTGGCGTACTCGATATCGTCTGTCCCCGCATCGGCATCGCTTGAAGCGGCCTGACTTTGACCGACATCGTCTGCAATAAAAAAGTAAAAACCCATTTCCCCTATAGTTCTATACAGAGAGTAGAGGCAAAGCAAGAGTTTCTGTTATACTTTTATAACAAGCTAATCGAATAGACAGATGTGCCTTGGCCATTAGTAATTTAAAGTCAAAGTAAGAAATCATTCGTTCACTTATGATCGTCACAGCAGTAAAAAACTAAAGACTATAAATTTATATTTACTACAAATTCTCAAATCAATCAGCACAGAAAGAAAGAAAGAACTAAATACTGTCTATAGTTTACGAGTAGCGAGTAGCACACATTTAAATAAAACACTTTAACGGGTTAAAACGCGATATATTAGGCGAAACGTCGGGCCGAAGTTAAAAATCATTTTTAAATAAGTTTAACTAATATATCGCGTTTAAAACCGTTAAAGTGTTTTATTTAAATAAAGAAAGAACTGTCAAAAACCTCGCCGCCACCCCTTTTATCGCTCAGATTAATTTTACACTACATTCTACTACTACTTACTATTCAGTCTTCACCTACACTGTGCACCACATATTTATTTCTTGTTTGTGGGTTCCTCCGAACCGAAGCATTTTTATTACAATTATTAACTTTTAATGATATCTCAGAACCCCCGCGCTTATTGCAATGTTACGTTACACGTTTTTTAATTTGGAAGCAAAGCTTTTAACAATGAACACCAAATCAAATTGGTGCTATTTCTAACTGACCGTCCCACCCAGTTGCTCACAGACTCCCAAGTTATCCAACTTTAGGTACTCCAAGTTCAGGACATGTCAAGTTACCTTACGTATTCCTCTACCAAGAACCGAACGAGAGTCCCCGCCTCAAGTCGTGTATTAACTGCCAAATAATCACTTACCACAGATAATGTATTTGAATGGACTTACGTTTTGCACATTCTGAAAGTAATGTTTAATTTATTTTCTACGTTATTTCCAGTAGCGTAGCTAGGTGGACAAGGGCCCCGGTCTACCTAATCCTAAGGCTCAAGAATGAATCGGGTTCTCATCCCGTCTTTTAGCTTAGCTAGCTTGAATTGAATGAACCTCCACAATTATAAATAGCAACAAGAACGTAAAAAATGTTTTTTATTTTCTACGCTTATATCTTCTCAAAGATAAGGATAGAGGGCCCCCAAATTCCGGGGCTCTGGTGCTTTGCACCACCTGGCCCTACTATAGCTACGCAACTGGTTTTTTCCATGTTATGTATTGTTTTGGAGCAGTTAAAAATATTAATGTAGTACACATACTTTCTCTTTTGACGGCATCGCGGCATTGTGTATTTTTCCTGTGAAATTCCCTTTGTCAATAAAATATTATTTGACTTGACAACAGCATTTTAAAAAATACTTACCTTTGTCTGAACAAAAAGCCTACATTGAATTTTAAATGTGTAACCTACATCAACACATAAAGATTTATTTCAAAATTATCTTATAAAGAAATTGAATATCCCAAAAACGTATAAATCATGACAATATGTAGAGAGATTCTATTTTCAAATTTGGTCTGTCTACTTTTATTTTAAATCATAGACAATAATTTCCTACAAAAAGTGTTTATATATTATAAGTTGCTAGTGCAAATAATAACAATTAAAACAAAATAACATTTTTATACATGTATTAACATAATATACAGAATACATTTACAGACTTAAATATTCCTATAACAGCCAAACATTTATTGCTTAAAGTTAATTTTGTATCCTTTCGACTCAGGATCCTGTTCCAGTTTAAAGTTCTCTGTCGACAGTCCAAATGGCCGTAAGATCATATTACCTAGAAAGAGACAAGGTTTTGTGGAGTTTAAATAATAAAATTTTATAGAGGAGGACAGACAAGCACGAGGCTCACGATGCCCTGTCGGCCTATGTAGGCTTTCGATATTCGGAAATCCAGACTTAGAACCAAAAGGTGATTAAAATTCACGACTTTTTCATCTGTGGAGGACGGTGGTGGTGGTGGACCCGGGCGGAATGTTGATATTCCTACCATCCATTTGTTATCCAGATTTCCAGCGACCCGTTGATTATTACTGAACATTGCTAACATTACAATCTATCGAAAGCTGTCAATGAGCTGTTTGAAGATTGCGATCCCCATAGATGAAATAGATCTTAATTTATTATTGATGACACTACGATGCCTACATGGTGATGATTCCATCTAATATATAAAGCTGAAGAGTTCGTTTGAACGCGCTAATCTCAGGAACAACGGGTTCGAATTGAATAATTATTTTGTTTTGGTTAGAGCATTTATCGAGGGAGGCTATAGGCTATAAAACATCGCCCTGTGACTAATACAAGCGAAGATACGGCGAGAAATGTGAACAAAAATGAGAAAATTATCCATCATTATGGCTTTCCGAAGCGTACGCTGCAAAAACAATTCAAGATACCCAAAAAATATGTTTGAAGGATTTAATCCTCTGTAAATGATCTAAAACAAATCCGACGCTATATATATCTTAACAGATTATGCAAGAACGACGGGAAGGTACGCGACCGAGGGCTTTGCAAAAACAAGTTTGGATGCCCATTGATAACGATTCTCGCGGCCGAAGTCGCTGACTTAGCTAGTCGTAATAAAATCAATAACAACACTAATTTAAATAAAACACTTTAACGGTTTAAAACGCGATATATTAGTTGAACTGATTTGAAAATGATTTTCAACTTCGGCCCGACGTTTCGGACCTCCCCGTGACCACGGCTGCTGCAAAGCATCCGAAACGTCGGGCCGAAGTTAAAAATCATTTTCAAATCAGTTCAACTAATATATCGCGTTTTAAACCGTTAAAGTGTTTTATTTCAATGTGTACTATTCTCGTAAACTTTAAACAGTATTTAACAACATTAAGCAAAGTAAATAAAAATCTATTGTAATCTATGCAGTGTGTAAATTATGCCATAGATAATTATTATTTATTTTTTTATTGGGGACACCGATAAAAGGCCCGGTTATCACGCCATTTGCTAACCACATCCCCATTCCCTCTTTGCGGAGGTCATTGGTAGGATCCCTTCAAATTCCATAGAAAATGAATACTCTATCTCATTTTAAATGCATTAAATGAATTACTTTGCGAAAACTGGTAACATCATGATAGAAAACACTGTCTGTAGTTTACGCGAGTAGTACACATTTGAATAAAACATTTTAACGGTTTAAAACGCGATATATTAGTTAAACTTATTTGAACCACGAGTCGTGACCACGGCTGCTGCAAAGCATCCGAAACGTCGGGCCGAAGTTAAAAATCATTATCAAATAAGTTTAACGAATATATCGCGTTTTAAACCGTTAAAGTGTTTTATTTAAATCATGATAGTACGTAACACTCACCTAAGTCTTTCAATTTGCCCATAACCTCTGTTTTCAACTTTTCATTTCTTTCCTCAATCTTGGGAGGTAGTCTCACACTGGCTTCTAAAGCTTCCTTATGTTTCGGATCCAGTTCTAGTACCTTCTTATAGTCCGCTAGGCTTTCATCTAATTTATCTGTTAGTTCATAGGCACATGCCCTCCTAAGGAGATATAAAATTTGCCAGAATAAACTATAAAATAAAATAGCACTAAGTATTATCTGTAGTTCACGCTAATAGGACTCATTCAAAAATCTATTTTAGATATAAAAAAATTACGACAAGGGCAGGACTCGAACCGGCATCCACAGCGTTCTGTGCTGTTGCTCTTAAAAAATTAAGCTACCGTGCACGTCCTACACGTCTCGCGCAATTTAATCTCAACCTTTCACATTTAAATGAAACACTTTTAACGGTTTTTAAACAGAGGCGGCTAAACCTATGACTCGTCGCGTCTGGTCGTGTATAAAATTTATCGAAATTCAGTCATTGTTTTAAATAGTTAAATGTATTAAATTTAAAATAACATAATAGAATTGCATACATGTAGGAAAAAATACTGTCTGTAGTTTTACAAACGAGTTGAACAGAATAAATAACGCGTTTTAAACCGTTAAAGTATTTTCAAACACGTTGAAGTAAAAATTTAATTAAATATTTTCAAAAGGTTTAACTAAAATATATCGTTTTAAACCGTTAAAGTATTTTCAAACTAACTAAAATATATAATATATATAATATCGCGTTTAAAATCTTTAAAGTATTTTCAAACAAGTTCAACTAAAATATATCGCGTTTAAAACCGTTAAAGTGCATTTATATGTGTAGAAAATCATATTCAGGATCCATGATGTACAAAGTGCTTGACACAGTAAGATTTTAATATCTAATTTTCAGATTATTTTTTTTATCCCATTTTGTGATCAGTCATTAGTGAAGCAATAGAAAAAAAGGATTAACCTGACATAAGCTTTCAAATAATGTTCATCCAACTCAATAGCTTTAGTACAATCTTTTATTGCTTGTTTGTATCGTTCTTGCTTAATTTTAGCAGCGCTTCTGTTGCAGTATAATATTGCACGCTGTCTGGGGAACTGGAGCGGACAGATTTTTAAGCCTGTAACAATAATAATTACAAAATGTAACTTTGGTATTTGGAAATCTTCTATTGGTGTTCCCTTCCCTTCTCTTGGTTATTAATAGATACTGTCTATAGATTACGCGATTAGTACACATTTAAATAAAACACTTTAACGGTATAAAACGCGATATATTGCTTACTAACTTATTTGAAAATGATTTAAAAAAACGGCTGCTGCAAAGCATCCGAAACGTCGGGCCGAAATTAAAAATCATTTTCAAATAAGTTTGACTAATATATCGCGTTTTAAACCGTTTTAGTGTTTTATTTAAAAGGTTATTAATAGCCAAATTCAATAGTCGATAGAAACTAAGTAACTTAAAAATTTCTATGTCCACCGCAAAGGAAGAATAGGGAGATGGGTGTGTAATTGTTAGCAGACGATTTGGGCAGATCACCCAGCCTTTTATTTGCGTCTCCAATAGGAAACAATAGTATAATAAGTTAAAAATAAACACCTCGCTTGTTCTTGCAATCAGTATTACAGAATTCTGAGAGATGTTAACACTTATAATCCATGTAGGATGACCTTTAAACTTTTGACGACTTCATTTGTCTAATAATAGCAACATATGTCAAATAACCAACAGGTCTTGGGTGCGATCCCCACCAAATCCGACATGTTTCTATTTTTTTAATTCTCCGAAACATGTTGGACTTTGTCTCGAATCTGGAAATCTGGATGTGATCCGACCGGGGCACAAACCAACGTCCACAGATGAAAACGCCGTGGGCTCAATCGCATTTCAGTTTCGGCCTGTAGATTTCCAAATATTGATAGCCAAAATAGGAAGACAGAGCATCTCGTGTAGTTGTTAAATGGCTGGGGAATACCCCACTTGATAAGATGTGAAATATCACGTCTCATCAAGTTAAACACATGGTTGTCAGTTCTCCTCTTTGATAAAAAAAAATATATACAGTTAGTCACACTTACCTTCCGTGTATTTCTCTATACTACACTCATATTCTCCAAGTTTGAAGGCGTCATTACCGACCACTTTCAATTCCTCAGCTACGCCTTTCCTCTTTTCTTTCTGATCATCTGTCAAGTCCATTTCGGCATCTTTCAGTGATACCTCATCTATAGAATCTGAGTCACTGTCTTCTTTGTCATCTTCATGGGGGTCAGAAGTTTCAGGTGCATTTAATGGAATGTCTTCAAAATCTATAATGGAAAGAAATTATTACTTTTACTATTAACTAATTTTATTGATCAACTAGGTGACCTGGCAAATGTTATTTTAGCATATGAAGTATTTTGACGAAATTTGATTTCCATAACAACAGTTCTTGTGGGTTAACCATAAGAGATAGATATATGCCGTCAGACATTATTTAGATTATTTAAAGAAAAAATATTTTTCCATTAATTTTTAGGGGTATCTTAAACTGTTTTAGCAACGCATGCAATGGTAGTCTTCAAACATGAGTAACTTTCCCCGTTTGTTCCATGTTTCCCACTATTTCTTTGCTCCTAATTGTCGCAATGAGATGTTTATAACCTCTAACCAACACAAACAGATTTTTTCAATTCAAACCAGTAGATTTTAAGATTATATATCAGCTGCAATGGTAACGACTTTGTTATTATTATATGAAGGTACTCTTTTAAGTAAATAATACCTCAGCTAAGGCTCGCAGATCATCAAAGTACTAATAAAAACTAAAACTACCTGGATGCCTTTCTTTTCTATCGCCTGTGGCGTTTTCGGAGTCATCCGCAGTCTCTGAACCATTTAGATTATCTTCTGGGGCGTCTGAACGTAATGAAAACTCTATATTCTTTGTTAAATCTTCAATTACATCCTCATTGGAGATATCCGAAGTTTTCAGTCGTTCAGACATAGTGGCAGTGGGTTTTTAATGTCTGAGTGTTCACCCAGATAAGTCAAAATTTATAACTACTTGTTTTCCCACGCAATATTAAATTGCCTTTTTAATCGGTCATATAAATAATAACGATTCACGATAATGTTTTGTAAAATATGAAACACAAAACACAGCTATTTCAGACTGTAGTATAGACCAACTTCACCAATACTTCCATAAATAAACTGTCAACTTTTTGACAGTTAACGAAATCGCAGTCACAGTGGCAAATGTCAAGTAAAATTCTATGAAAATAAGTAGAAAAAGATGCAAACACGAATGTGAACATTTTTTAAATTACATTCTTATAAATACCGTGTTTTTTTTTCAATACCATTGGTCAAGAACTAAAATAAAAATAACAATAATAATTCATACTATCACGCTTTGTCATTCCTCTCATGGACACACGACATTGGCAGAATCTATTCAGAATGGTAAAGCCATTAAATTAAGAAGTGGAAGAAATAGAACATCGTGATAACATTGACATTGACATTCCGCAATGACTTGTTGCCCTAACTTGCTCGGTGTTGTTGTCTTAATGTCTTGTTACAAGTTTGTTCAAAGTTAATAAAGTTGTTACTTGTCGAAAGGAAATTATTTCAAGTTAAAACTAAGTTTTATTAAACTGTGTTGCGATTGCTTTTAGTATATATGTGAAAAGAATTTTTTAATTGTCTGATTAATCCATTAATTTTGGATGACATTGTTAAAAATATCCTGGACTTTCCGTGTTTTTAATGAATACTTTTTAATTTATCAATAATGGTGTTATTAGAAAAAGAGTGGTTCATCGAGGCTCCCTGGGGAAGGATTTGCAGTAAGTAGTTATCCTTTGAATGTAAAGATTCAAATTTTCCTGGTCAAAGTCCATATATTCAAGTGCAAAACTTGCTTATCATATTGAATGAAATTGAATATTTTAGGTCTTATCCTTATCTACATTGCAGGTTTCAGACACGACAATTTTAAGGAACTTGAAGAGTAGACTTTTAAAATTTAAGTTAAATGTTTAAATTATTTTTACTGTACTCCTTTCAAACTAGAAATCTATTTAAATTTAAAATCTTTACTGCTCTTATGTAATTTTAATTTATACATACTCATAAAGATTAGTTAACAATGGACAAAGTTCAAAAGTAATAATTAAGGATATATTACTTCTTGTCTATATCATAGATTAAAGTCTAAAGTCTTCCCATGTGTTATAAATATTATACATAGATAGTATGATGTCACTGTGTAGTTTGATATTATATAGACAAAAAATGGACAGTCATTGGAGACATAATTTCTTTTACAACAGCATTTCATGGATCTGGGATGTTTTAAAACTAGTCTGTGCCTTACTATTTAGAGTACATATGTTACCACAAGTATTGCTGGCGAGAAAAATTAAATATCTTTTCAATACTGTCTACTACTACTATAGTTATGCGAGTAGTACACATTTAAATAAAACACTTTAACGGTTTAAAGCGCGATATATCTGTTTAACTTATTTGAAAATGATTTCTAACTTCGGCCCGATGTTTTGGATGCTTTGCAGCAGCCGTGGTCACGGTGAGACGTTAAGTGTTTTATTAAATAACATTTCATACATTTTTTTATATATGGATATGACTGCCAATTTAATTGCCATTTTAGTAAGATTCCACTGTAGTATACACTTTTTTTAATGTAGTAAGTAATTATTTTATACAACAGTGGCAGCTTGGCGGTGTAATCTTATCATAGTTTTAAAATACCTTAATGATGTTAATTTACGCACTCCTTGGGTACAGTTGAAAAAATATATCAAACACAATCAGGATTTGATTTCTAAAATGATATTGCTACTGCATTTTCACTATCACATTTAATTCAATCAGCCTGTTACTCCCACTGTTTGGATTCGGCCTCCCCTAACCGTAGACCATAATGTAGAATGCATAATATTGTCAATTATTAGAATTCTACAAGATGTATATGTATTAATCTATACTCTATACTAATATATAAAGAGTTTGTTTGTTTGTTTGTTTGAACATGCTAAACTTAGGAACAACTGGTTAGAATTGAACAATTTATAGAGTAAGGCTATAGGCTAAAAAACATTGAAATTGGTAAATAAACTTCCAATAACGACTGGACGCGAATGACACCACCACTAACCGCTTAAATTTATAAGACAGCAACAACTTTGAATGACCAAAATAAATTCGACGATGCCCTGTATGACATGGTGTATTAAAGTTCAAGTTCTGCCCACGTCGTTGTTCAATCTAAAACCGATTTTTAATGCGTATTTGTTATTTTGCAGTTGTTGCATGGGGTAACTGCTATGACCCACCGCTCCTCGCCTGCCATGGATCTATAGACTCAGCTGCCTGCTTCAGACCACTAATTAAACTATTGCCGCATAAGTTTTACTATATAGGTAACTTGAAATAACATTAGTTTGTTGTTTATGGAAGGGGGGGGTTTCTACAAAGTCGCTTCTCAAATTGATATTTCCATGAATGTATATATATATATGCTTAGTAGATGCCTCGTGTATAAAATACATTTAATTAAAATACTTTACAACGGATTATTAAGATAATCTTTGTAGTGTATACATTAAATTAAAACATCTTTGACCAACATATCTCAAACTCGGAGAGTTAAAAATATTTTATTTCTTGTTATAATGGCTGTATTGATTTTTACACTGGGTTATATAGAACATACCGGGTTCTGACAAATTTTGAATCACTCGTAGTTAACACGGTGCTAGCGTATTTTCCAAATGGGGCGAATGGATACACAATTAGCCTGATAGTAGTGTTCGCAAATTCGTTTCGCGCCCGTGTCATCGAATTTTATATTCTATTGGTTCACATAATTTCCAGGTGTAGAGTTGCCAGGAAATGGAAAATCTGATCCGTTCCCGCCTGGAGTAGTACTCTCTATTTACGATTACGTCTATGCCATCCAAGTCGTTGTACGCCATTTTAGATGGGAGAGGTTCGTCTTCATGGCACATTCGTTCGGTGCTGCTGTTGGTAAGAAAAATGTATTTTATTATATTTTTCACATGACAGCGTAATATAAATTAAAAATCGATTAGGTATATTTACTACAGTGACTGGAAACTGGAAAATGTTAAAGTTTTACGTAAAACTTTGTAATTTCAGTCAAGTAAATGCTGTCTGTAGTTTACGCGAGTAGTGCACATTTAAATAAAACACTTTAACGGTTTAAAACGCGATATATTTCAATTGAACTTGTTTGAACGTCGGGCCATAGTTAAAAATAATTTCCAAACAAGTTTAACTAAAATATATCGCGTTTTAAACCGTTAAAGTGTTTTATTTAAATTTCAGTTAAGGATGAAAGTACAATTCCACGACGACGTGTAGGACACGGTAGCTCAATTGTTTAGAGCAACAGCACGGACTGCTGTGCCGGTTGAAGTCCTGCCCGAGTGGTATTTTTTTTTTAATTTATAATCTCTTTTTATGTACATACACAAGGATGGAACTCACTTGATGGAAGGTGTAATAACCCAATCGTGTAACATCTAAACATGATGCACTGTCCATCTCTTTCGACTTTGTATATTCTGAACTGTCAATCTCCATTCACTATCATTTTGAAAATCTTCATAGGGGTTAGATTCGAGGACGACTCGGAAACTTTTGGGGTATATCGCAAATTTGCGCCACCGTCACTATACTATATATATCACTTATATTAACCGGCCTTCTTTCAGTGTCCCCAATAGAAAATAGTAATGTCTGACTCTTTATGTACATTTCAGCGAATATCTTCAACTTGTGCTATCCAGGAAAAATAAGCAAGCTCATTCAATTCGATCCAGTGGCGGGAAAAATAGTGGTTCCGCGAGATTTTAGTACATGGTATGATACAAAGCTACGTCTATAGATACTTATATATAAAGTTGAAGGGTATGTTTGTTTGTTTGAACGCGTTAACCCTAGGAACTACCGGTTCGAATTAAAAAAAATATTTTATAACATATTTGCTCATACAGTGCTTGTAATTACACAAATTTCAATATAGTAATGTATCTCATTACGTAGGTACTTGTGCGATAATGTAATGTAAAATGCACGTGTTCTTTTTCTTAGCAAAGAGGTTTTATGTCAAGAAAGTGGTCAATATTTTATAAATAAAATTAACTTTGGGAAATAAAATATAACAATTAACATTTAATTCTTTAATTTAATTAATTTTGACAATAAATTACAACCATTTATCTATAACAAAAACACAAAAATATTAATTTACTTTATTACTAATACTGGCTGTTTTTGTACTTTTGCTTAAAAAAAAAACGTTGATGCGCGCGCATCGCTTATTTGTGGACAAGTAAAAATAATTCCGCGCGCTTTTTCTTTTCGCTGTATTGTTTTTATTTGAAAATATCGTCATTTCCTCGTAAATATGTTATAAAACGTCGTATGACATACGTGCGCTTTGAGAATTACAGCCTTTGCATTTCTTATAGTAATATTGCCTCGGCTGTAATTTTCAACTTACCGCACTTATATCATAATGTACTATTATGTTGGTTAGAGAATTCATAGAGGAAGGCTATATGCTATAAAAGATCGCGATGCTATTTGCGGAGCATAGAAAGAATCCTTCCGTTTCCGTTGCGTACCCTACGAAAATGCTTCAAGATATGCATAAAATGTGTATCAAAGAATTATTCCTCTTTTAATGATCTAAAAAAAAGTCCGCGACACTAAATGTCTTTTAAAATTAAAGAAGGGACGCGACCGACGTCGTGGGTTAACAAGTTAAGTTTATAAAGAATTTGGACGCCCAAAATAACGATTATCGCAGACGAAGTCGCTGGCACAGCTAGTGTATATATGACCAATTGTAATACTTATGTAAACATTAAACAAATTATAAACTCATACTGGATCAACCGAAGAGGGTCGGTCCGATAGGGCACACGGGCACAGCAATGTGTTAGTACCTTGCTACACGTGTTTCATTTTTGGGACCATGTGTCAAATCAAAAACCGTGTAGGTACACTTATACACGACAATATTGTATTTTTTTACATTTACTCCCAGTTTAAAAACAAATTTTTTAGCCCTCTGTTTATCTGTGGCAACAACTATACCCTATAAAAGGTCATCGCTAGTTCTCTATGGTTTGACATCGGCCATATTTGTTTTGGTATTTTCTATTCTCTTTGGTAAATTAGAAAGAGTACCCTATGTGTTCTATTTATTGCTGGCAGATAATGAAAAGAGAAGATCAATAATAGATACAAATACTTGACCAATTATCCTCTTCTTCAGGTACGAGAAGAGCTACGGTGAATATTTTAATAACATCGATTTCTTCAATGCGCCTGTCGAGAATACGAAGAAGGTTTTGAGAGAGGAGGTAAATATGCGACCTTATTTGAATATCTTATATATCTGTGTAAGTTGTTATAATTCATATTTAAATAAAACTCTAACGGTTTAAAACGCGATATGTATTAAACTAACTCGCATAAACTACATACAGTATTTATATAATGCATATATGTGACTCTTAAGTTATTATGATTTATTCGTGGTACTAATCTAAAAAAATACTACGTTTTAACAAACAAACTGTACAAACATTTTTCATACATGTATATAAATAAATATTGTAGTTTACGCGAATAGTACTCGTGTAAAAACGTGAAATATCTAAGTAACTGTTAAGTTATATTTAATTGTGGCGTTTCGGATGCTTTCGAGGACTGAAGATGGCGGGTGACCCAAATCGAAAAGTCAAATTTGCTACACTAGCGCCATCTGTTATCTCGTAATTGCTATTTTGAAAAACTAGCTACAAAGATTTTGAAACTTCGGGCTGTGTTTAGAAATAAATGTAATTACTATATTTTGCATTTATAAGCCGTTAAAAGTGTTTTATTTTCATATGTATGTATATATAGTTGTAGACAAGTATTAGGAATGCCGTATTTAGAAGTTAATAATATTTACTTTCAGGCTCTACAGAATATGATGAAACGCAGGAGTTTGCCGCTAGAGTGCGCTGAAGCAACTCTAGAAAGAACCAGTGTCTCGGCTGGTAACGGATTTGTGAGGTAAATAAATAAGAAACTATATTGTGGGTAATGCGGTTTGTTAAGAATATTTTTTACTTGAAAATAAAAATAAAAATTCGTGGCCCATGAGGGGATCGAACCCGCGACCTTCGCGTTATTAGCACGACGCTCTAACCAACTGAGCTAATGGGCCGATGGTTGCTTCCGTGAATCTTGGCAATGGCTTGGTTTGTTACGAATATAAAATTGCAGTCTGTGGTTTACGCGAGTTATATATATTTAAAACCGTTAGTAAAATTTATTTGATAATTATTTTTAACTTCGACCCGGCGGCGGCGAGACCGTCTCCCTGTGAAAATGACTGCTGCAAAGCATCCGAAACGTCGAGCCGAAGTTAAAAATGATTTTCAAATAAGTTTAACTAATATATCGCGTTTTAAACCGTTAAAAGTGTTTTATGTAAATGTGTATATTATTTTCAAATCTTATTGCACTTGGCATTATATAAACTAAAACAATATATTATGATACAAAAAAAATGAAGTTTGAACCAATATCAACAACTCACCTTTATTGGATAGTACAACGCCGGTGCATGCCGGTTCAAACTTCAAATCCCGGCCGTGTCATTTTTTTCAATCTTAAATAATAGTAATAAATCTCTTTGTGTGGCCTTCATTTAGTATTCTAGATAGATAGATTAAAATAATTTAAAAAAATAAGGATTAAATTTTATTTTAAGAAAAGTGATGCCAAAAGGGAATGTTGCATGATTTTTTCTTGTTGAATGGATTTTTGCTTGATGTTTATACTACCCTCACTAATTTTTCAGATACACACACGATCGTCGCATGAAAATACCACAAATGCCCCCCTTTTCTATGGAACAATACAAAGATATGATGAAAAACGTAAAAACACCCACCCTGACAATTGTAGCTCAGGGTTCCATAGACCACGGGTACTACAAATTGAGCAGTCTGGAGATGGACGAAGAGAAGTATCCGAATAGGAATTGTAGGGTCCGGTTTGTCGAGGGTTATCATGATGTCCACTTCTCTAATCCGGAGAGAGTTGTACCGTTTGTCGCTGAGTTCTTAATGAATGGAGACTCTAAGGCGAAATTATAATACGATACTAATATGTTAAGCTGAAGAGTTTGTTTGTTTGAACTCGCTAAACTCAGGAACTACTGGGTCGAATTTTAAAAAAGTGTTGGAGCATTTATCGAGGAAGTTTTTAGGCTGTGAAACGACCAATAAACGACCACGACGAAAAAAAGGGGAAAATGTGGAAAAAACGGGGAAAACTTAATCTTTGTTGGTTTCCGTTGGTGCACTGCGAAAACGGTTCAAAAAAAACAAAAAAATAAAAAAAAAAAAATTCCGAATCTAAGGTTACCTTGAAAGAATATCGGGACGCAGGTGACGTCATCATTTAAAAAAAAACATGACGGCCTAAACGATCATTCGCACAAACTAAGTCGTGGACACAGCTTGTAATACATAAATGCCATACAATATTAGAAGGATCTATTTGTTTATCTATTTCAATATTGATCGATAATTACACTCGAAATTGAGTAGAAATCACAGCACGACGGCGCAGGCTTGCGTCGAGCCGGCTCAATAGTAAATGTAATTTACTTCGAGCATGCTCGATGCGAGGTCGATCATGAATCGAGCATGTGTGAGTGACGGCGAGGGGCGCGTATATGGATGACAAACAAATTCACCGTAAATTTGTAGAATCAGGTCTGTATATATTTAACTTATATATCACATCATCTTTTTGTATATAGATAAATACAAAATCATTATTCACCAAAATTGTGAACATTTCATTATTGAGTGTGCTAGTGTGGGGACACTAGAATTCCCTGTGGGGGCCTAAATCTGATAAACGTGATGTGGTATAGTATATTATCATATGAACGCAGTTTTCTTATCATTTTTAAGACAAACTACATGTTAACCGTTTAATAAAATAACTTTAAATATAAATTACTAAATAGATGTGGAAATGCCACAACATTCTTCTTTTCATCTTTATTTTATAAGAATTGCGAGACTTAACGTAGCCGTGTTTTTGAATTGAAAAGTGCTGAATGTTTGAACGAAAGCTCGAGCTGTGATTTTTGCTCAACGTGTTTGCTCGATCGAGTAAACCGTCTTTATGCATTTATATAAGAAGCAGTGGGATACAATTGTATCTATATAATTTTTTGCATTTCAATATTTGTACTTAATTTTGTATGTGATACATGTGCAATGTTACCATTTTTTTACTAGTGTTGGTAGTGGAAATTAAATAATTTTGGTTATACAGCTGATTTTTTTTTCAACTTTACTTTTAATCTAAGCGTTTTTAATGGCAAGATAAGACAGTCTAGCATAGGATTATCTAGATTCCATGTTTTAAACTCGTGATTAAATTCATGCAAGCAGTTAAATTTAGATATCTGGAATTCCGTAGACTGATACCTACAAAAACTGCGGACTCAGTCTACAACTTTAAAAACAAGTATTAGAGCATATATTTCTGTTTTATTATATTTAGATTGTGTAGACGCGATTTAATATGGTTTGTTCTTGAACCTGTGAGGTAGCGAACTCACGATCCCAGGGTTATTATTAAGCTTTGGTAACTCATAGTATTGAGCGTCTGAGCTGGCGAGAGGCTACCACAGAGTTACAAAACTAGTTAAAAGGTATAATCTATGGTGACTACAATGTTAGTATATATGACAATTGACTCATCAGCTGACTGTCAATATGTCAAATATTGAGATGTGCTATTCCGGCAAATAAAATATTAATAACATTATATGTTATATTCTCATATTAAATAATTAATATATAATAAGCAAATGGTTAATTATTATAACACTTTGTACTTATTAAAATGGGATTTATTTTAAGTAATATTTGTATAGGCAACAGCTGATCATTCGAGCACCGACTTCTACGTTAAATCTATATAGAATAACAAAAATAATGTAAGTACTTTTAAGAATATAACTTTCAATTGCATAAACTTTTAATTAAAATAAAGTCAATAGATTGGCCAAGTATATATTCAGATAATTTTTAGCTGGGAAGATGGCACTATTCATGAAGCAAGATTTTTCTCCGCCAATATTGTCAAGGAAATGGATAGCAATAAAATTCCGGCCGAATATGGTATGGTACTTTTATACTTTTTTAAAAAATTTTTGTTTATATTAAAATAGCTGTGCGCTGCTAGCCGCGACTTCGTTCGCGTGGAATAGTGAATTGGGCTAGAAAATTTGCCCCAACACTCTCACCTCACATCACTCCTACTCTCACTCTCATTCTCACTCCCTTCCCCACTCCCACTCCTATTCCCAAAAAGCCAAAGAAGAAAGTTTCATTGTTCCTGCTTCAAAAACCAAACCAAATTTCATACAAATCTGTTCAGTAGTTTCGGCGTGAAAGAGTAACAGACAGACAGAGTAACTATCGCATTTATAATATTAGCAAGGATTAACAATGCTGTGTACATCAGTAATTGGGTCCTACATAGGTATTTTACTTATTATAAACTATACTCTATTATATGTAAGTGATCTGTTGATGTACAATATATAAATGAATTAATTAACACCCTAGTGTGGTAGGAATATTGAAATTCCATCCCACTATCCACAAATTAAAAACCATAAAATTAAAACCACAAATTTAAATCACATTTTGGATTATCTATAGCCAAAATAATTAACAGTGCACTGTTTTAATGTTATATGGCTGAGGTATTCCATCCCGTCAAGTTACTTAAATGCTTGTCTGTATATTAAAAATAAATAAAAATCATTTGATTCCCAATAGTTGTAACGGCTTTTTTATTCCGCCTGGGATAAAAAGACGTCACATCTAATGGGATCAGTCAGTAGTTTCTATTTTAGTCTGTGGATATTTGAATGTCCAAATTTAAAATAGGTCAATAACGCATCTTATCTATGTGTTTTATGGTAGTAGCTATCATCGAGTAAACCCACGCTTGTCTGTTCTCCTCTATCATAAAAAAGGCCATGACAGGAAACTAAATGATATTTGATTCTAGTTGTAATTTGCTTTCAGCTAATATACAACCATGAGAATATAATAGCAGTACTCGAAAGTGGCCTTCTATTCCGTGAAGACAGTATTGAAGTTGAACAAGAGGCACCCTGCGCTGAAGTTGTTGGGGGTAACGCTAGCGTTTGTATCGGGGGGTGGCTGACTAAGGGGGAACGGAATACTACTCTACTAACCATAGCCATTGCGTTGATGCTAGCGCCACCTCGAAAGTGAGTATGGTAGCTCAATTGGTTAGAGAAACAGCACCGGACGCTGTAAATACATTCTTCCCATAGGATTTTTTTTCACTTCATAGTGTATATACATTTGGTACAGACAAAAATTTGGCTCTGCCATGTCTTGTCAGAAGTATGTTTTAAAATTAAGTCCGTAGGAAGTTTTAAACGGTTTATTCATTTAAAAAGAAAAAAAAAAAAAAAAAAAAAAAAAAAAAAAAAAAAAAAAAAAAAAGGGGGGGGGGGGAAAAAAAAAAAAAAAAAAAAGGGGGAGAAGGGGGGGGGGGGGGTAAAAAAAAAAAAAAGGGGGGGGGGCCGGGGGTTTTTTTTAAAAAAAAGGGGGGAAGAAATTTTTAAAAAAAAAGGGGGGGGGGAAAAAATTTGGGGGGGGGGGGGGGGGGGGGGACCACCAGGGGGGGAAAGGGGGGGGGGCCCCGGCGGGGGGGGGGGGGTTTTTCCTTCCAGGGGGGGGGGAAGGCGGTACAAATTTAAATAAAACACTTTAACGGTTTTAAACGCGATATATTGATTTAAACTTATTTGGAAATGATTTTTAACTTCGGCCCGACGTTTTGGATGCTCTGCAGCAGCCGTGGTCACGGGGAGACGTAAGACGTAGTTAAAATCCAAACAAGTTGAAAGAATGTATATCGCATTTTAAACCTTTACAGTGTTTGCCTTTGTTTCTTCCAGCTTAGGTAAGCTAACCCTAGCTCGAGTAGCATCGCTTGCTTTAATCCCTGTCGCTATCCGTGCGACGCACCGTTCGCGATGTCGCGGTGGATTGCGACTTTTAGTCGCAGTGATGCGCGACTACATGTCTTTGGCACGACGGGCGATGGCTTGCTGTCGCGAGTACGCGGCATTACATGCTCAGCTGTAAGTATGTTTAGCGAAACTCTATGGTTTAACAAAAAGTAGTCTAAGTCATTAAATAAAACACTTATTTTGAAACCGTTTAAAACGCGAAATTTATTTATCTTGTTTAACAATTTATTTTAACTACGGCCCGACGTACGCTCTCAAGCCATTGTGGTCCCTAAAGTCAATGTCAAAAATCTGCTACGCTAGCGCCATCTGTGTCCATCAGCAGAAAATAGCTGGATCCTTACAAAACTATTTACTAGTCCCACTACTAGTAGTAAGTAGTCCGTAGAGAATTAGTAAACAGAATCTATTTTTCTCATGTCCGGATTTTTGCTGCTTTTTGAAATAAGCCTCACCCATCCATTCCATTTTGCAAAAAACATAATGAAATGAAATGGAAAAAATTGAAGGCTTTTATTAGTTTTTAACTTTGATAGATGATCTCTCCCTTGTTGCTCTTCCTCTAATGGTCTAGCCATTCCATTTTCAGAGGGTCTGTGACGTCAGCGATAGAATCGATGCAAGCGATGTTATGCCAACAGCAGAAAGAGCTCTTATTGTTGATGTCACGCGCTTCTTCGGCGTTGCTAGGCAACGCGCCGTGGTTAAGAGGTGATATCGCGATTGAATGCGAAACAGATAACTTATTGGTTAGTATTAAAGAATATAAACAATTGGTCCTTCGAGTCAGATCAGGCTCTTTGCTAATTTAAATAATGTTTATTACAGAAAATACACCACGCCTTCCTAGTAGTCCAATCTACACTACTAAAATATATTGCTCTCGCACACTACATACCGCCACATTTGCAAAAACTCTACAAGAACCACAATGAGAGAATATACTGGATACACAACGTACTCATAGATAGTCTTATGCGGGAATTCAAAGACAATTTCGACGCTCTAGAACGCATGTACAGACTGCTAAAGAACTATGGTACAAAGGACAGCGAGGTCGCTATGAAAAAGCCGGGCACAGCCATAAAGGAATCTTGGTATTATTCAGAAATACATACAGGGGTCGCAAGGTCGTGCTTAGAATTGAAAATAGCTTTAAACAAATGCAACGATCTAGACATGTTCCTCGATTCGTGCGCTCTGAACAAACAAGAATTAGATTTAACAATTTTAAATAAAGATATCGACGAAATTATCGATGACATAACGAAATCCTTAAATACGATACAAAGTTCCCAAATAAGATTGAAGAAATTGCAAAACAAATACCAAGAAGAACACAAAGCTGAAACACCCGAAGAACACGTAGAAGAGGCGATTCTGGTAATAGAAGACAGAGAACCAGAGATAACAGATGAAGTCTTCTATTTCGTTAGAACAGATGACGACGATGTCGTCCACCCGGTAGCTGATGTTGTCACAGCTCCTGGCAAGAAAGAAAAGGAAACAACGAAGGTAGTTTTGAACGAACTAAAGAGAAAACTCGTGAAAAGAGAAGATCTAATGAGGGAAAGAGAGAGACAGGCGTTAGCCAAAACGATGCCACAGCTGATAAATCCACCAGAGTTCCCTAGGCAAATTAACTTAGAAGAATACGGTGAACGCAAAGGCTTGATATCCAAAATCAAAATAGAACGGAAGAAGATAAAATCGAAGAAGAAGAAAAAGATGAGCCACAAATACAGTTTGAAAACCTGTAAATATGCGAATGAGAACGACTTAAACGGTGTTTACGAAGCGAACGCGAAGCTAAACGCAAAGAGTCGTCTTCTAAGTTTTCGCAAAGATAAGAATAGTTTGATATTAACTAAGTGGGTCAAGAGAGTTCACGTTAACAATAACGATTTGGACTCCAGCGGTTTGTCCGAAGGTCTTAGTGACGTGGAATCGGACGCGTTAAATTTAAACGTCAAAAAAGTAAATAATATCCCAGAAGCGAGAAATTACAAGTTCAGCAAGAAAGATTTAGAATTATCCTCCTCGGAAAGCGATTTCGACGATGTGCAGAACAACGACTTATTGCATGACGTAAGGAGATATAGGGCTGTCAGGAAAAAGAACTTTCCCGCCAAACGGGCGTCCATAGACAAGGACGTGGACGAGAGTATGAAGCCCATAGAGTATAGTTTTGGGACGGGCATGGCGATGGCGTCCGTTCTACAGATAAATAATAATGCGCGAATCGGGAATATGGCGGACGAAGAGGTTTTTATTGGGAACGGTGAAGTTTCTGAGGATAGTGGTAATGATGAAGACGCGTAAATATAGGAAGCCTTATTATATAAAAAGTTAAAAACTATAAATCATTTAACTAAAATAAAAATGTATATATTTATTTTGCCACGCACGATCGCCATTTTATTACCCACTAGCTGTGCCAGCGACTTCATCCGCGTACTGGTTATTTTGAGATTTATTTAAGAAGATCGAAGGCAAAGAATGTCAGGGGCATTTTTTAGATCATTTAAAGAGGAAACATTCTTTCACACATAATTTTGGATTTCTTGAGCTGTTGTCGCCGCGTACGCAGTGGAAACTCAATTATGAATAATTTTCCCCGTGTGTTCCACATTTCCCACTGCTTCTTCCCTCCTATTGGTCGCATAGTGATGTTTTTACCTTAGTCTTCCTTCATAAATGCTCTAACAACACAAAAAAATGCAGTTCGAACCAGTAGTTCCCGAGATTAGCGCGTTCAAACACAAACTCGTTTACTCGTTTCGGATGACATTTTGTAGATCAAAAAAATGCGAAGATTCTGGCTGAAGGCTATGTATGATCGTATTATAAATGAAAAAAATGCTAGTATTAAAAAGTAATCAGTTTTAATATTAGATAACAACCTATTTTACTTAATGTCCATGCAAACTACTTGATTTACGATATTTTATTGGTTTAAAACGCGATATATATTAGTTACTTATTATTACTAACGATTCGGATGCTTTGCAGCAGCCGTGGTTACGGGGAGACTAAAGATGGGGGATGTCTCTGACGTCAAAGTAAAAATCTGCTACACAAACGCCATCTCTTCGTCGAAGTTGGTATTTTAGTATTTGGCGAAACTGGCCAGTTTTCAAATAAGTTTACTAATATATATCGTGTATTAAACCGTTAGTGTTTTACTTAAATGTGTACTACTTGTCAGACCTACAGACAGTATTTGATATTTTATTGGTGGAATAAAATGGCCGATATGTTAAAATGCTTATGTAATTAAATTATTAAGCTAGTCATTCAATATGAATAATGTTTAAGTAAATTTAATTAAAATAAATATTCAATTATAATTATTGTAAATATGTTATTTAATGTTTTTATGCAATAAAACATTTTTATGTAAGAAGTTTTTCTTAAATCTTTTATAACAAAAAAAAAGTTTCCAAATATAGTATAACAAACTTTTTGCGAGATCCTTCCTAGATTTGAATTGGACAGAAATATAAATTAATAGTCTAATTGCATATAAAACACTATCTGTGCCAACGACTCAGCGTAGAATTTGCAACGACAAATTTAGGGCATCAAAATTTGTTTTTTGCAAACCTTTCTCTACAAAGTCATAAATTCAAGCTGCTACCTACGAAGAAAGACGAGTTCCGTCGTTCTTGGAAGTTAATCTAACAACGGAAAAATGGGACATTTTTTTAGATTAGTTAAAGAGGAATCATTATTTTTTACATATTTTTGGGATCGGAAACACACACAAATTAATTTTCCAATGTACGGCTAACAATCAAAGAGCCGTTGTTCGTGGGTCCAATTATGTCTAATCAATTTATATTTTTTTCTGAAACATTTTTTTTTTTTTGATTGGACTCTTAGTTGTGATGCGGTGATAGAAATATCCAAATTATGTTCATATCATGAAACTCCGTCCACAGATAAAACATCCGAATTGCATTTCGGTCTGTGGATTTCAGAATATCTAAAGCTGAAATAGGTTGGCAAGGCATCTCGTATAGATGTTACATGCTTTTCATTATAACACTAACGGTTTCAAACACGATATCTATTAGTTAAAAATTGTTTGAAAACTATTTTTACTACCGCGCCATAGTTCACAAAAACTTTCAAATAAGTTTAATTTAAATCGCGTTTTAAACCGTTAAAGTGTTTTATTCGAATGTGTCTACTAAACTAAAGACAGTGTTAGAAGCTGGTCTGTCCCCCTCTATCATAGAGGCATAGGGTTCCCTTGATGGTCGGTGATACCTATAAATATATAAATGTAACCTCTAATTGTGTCGGTCGGACAGTGGTCAGAATTTCGATCACATTGCTTGTTAAGTCAGTGAAAAAGCCACACAAATGTGTCCGCTCATGCCTCGCAGGGGCGCGGACACTTCACTAATATATGTCAATTTAATTACACTTAATGATTCTATTAAATGATTTATTAATCGACTTGTGATAATGTAGTCAGTGCTATTTGTGTCTTCACAATGGACGGCAGATTTATTATGTAAGTAACTCTATAATTACTGGACTGTGTTTCAAAGTGTAGATGTATCTACTGTCTGTAGTTCACGCGAGGATTTAAAGAAAACAATTCAACCGTTTAAAACGCGATATTAAACTAATTTGAAAATTATTTTGACTACGGCGTGACGTTTCGGATGCTTCGCAGCAGCGGTGGTCACGGGGTGGCTGTGTTTTGAACAGTTAAAAATGGTTTTGTGTAATGGAGCTTACCGATCAACGATGTTCTCTGTAATAATTAGTAGTAATAATTAGCTCCGCGCATTGTGGGGCGTAGGGGCATTTGGCGAGGTTCTTGGGCAGGTTGACTGGGATCTCCACGTTTCTGTCACGTCGCCATCTTGGATTCTATGCTTATGTCTTTCCATGGGCTGCTGCATCCGAAACGTCGGGCCGTAGTTAAAATATATTTTCAAATAAGTTTAACTAATATATACCTACCGCGTTTTAAACCGTTAGATTGTTTATTTATTTATTAATTATACGACAATTAAAATCGCAATAGCCAGTTACGTTATCTGGATACACACATAGTTAAACAATTTTATTTGAAAGTGTATATCGAAGCAATAATTAACCCCAAACGAATATACACTAATATTATATAGCCGAAGAGTTTGTTTGAACGCACTAATCTCAGGAACTAATGGTTGGAATTGAAAAAAAATGTGTCAGTTAGAGAATTTATTAAGGAGGGCTTTATGTTAACATCACGGTGCAAAAAAAGGTAGGAAAAGTGGAAACGGGGAAAATTACACATGTTGGAGGGCGTTCCGTTGCGTTGACTGCGAAAACGGTTCAAGAAAAAATATATCCGCGACAGTATAGGTATATGTTCAAATCGAATGGTTGTATGTTCGCTGTCTAACAGACGAAGGGTAGGGGTTTGCTGAAAATCAGTGTTGGGGCATAACCGTGCTGCAACTTATGCTTTACGTAAGACCTTTTGGGCATCATTTTTAACAGAATTTAATTTAATCTTGTCGCAGTATTATTATTTTACCTTTATTTTTACTACGTCTAATGATTGTACAAAATGAATGCTAAATAAAGAGATTTATTATTATTACAAGCTTTCCTAGATACATGGTCTACCCAATACTAAAATGCATTTCTTAATTCGAACCAGTAGATCCCGCGATGCGCGCGTTCAAACAAACAAACTTTATAATATTATTTTAGATTACTTGAAAAACGATAACTTTTAAATAAAACACTTTACCGGTTTAAAACGCAATATGTACGTTAAACTGATTTGAAAAATAAATATATCGCGTTTTAAAACGTTAAAGTGTTTCATTTAAATGTGTAATACTCGCGTAAACTATAGACATATTTAACGATAACTTGCTAAGTGCATATTATGGTTACACCAGCGCAGGCATTTCTGCGGTCGGTTTATATATGGAATGTTAGGGACGAGCATAGAACATGCATACCTATCTATAATGTGTAGCAGTCTCATTAGACATATTTAAATAGAGGAGGATAAACAAGTGTGGGGTTCGTTGGATAGCTAAAACAAAAAAAAAAAATCCTTTTTTTCCTTTTTTTGGTTGGGAAAAAAAAAACCCAAAAAAAAAAAAAACCCAATTATTTCTCCTGGTTTTTTTTTTTGGGGGGGGGGGGGAAAAAAAATTTTTTTGGTTAAAAAACGGGAAATTTTTTATTTAACTTAATTACGAACGCTGGGCCGTGAAATAAATTGCAAATGAATTACCTAATATATTTTATGTTTTAAACCGTTAACAGGGTTCTACTCGCGTAAACACGACATCCGTTTTCCCATATCACCTAATCTCAATTTTTGACGGTATTTATAAACAGACAAACTATATCCATTTGTTTTCTAGTATAGATGCGAAAACATCTGTTCAATATTATTATCTTGCAAGTTATCACGTCGCGGTTAGGTCAGCGACCTATATAATATAGTATGAAGGTCAACATGCTCGTCTCGGATTCGATTCCCACCAGGTCTTACAGTAGTAAGTATTTTAATCAAAATTCTATTTTCAGTTTTTTTATCGCGTGTCTACTGTACATACAGGTGTCTGTACAAGTACCGCAAAACACGGAGACAGCAACCCAGAAAGCTGTGGCACATAAAAAAAATGGTAGAGAACAACATTTTTCACACTGTCTATAGTTTACGCGAGTAGTACACATTTAAATAGAACACTTCAACTGTTTAAAACGCGAAATATATTTGATCACGGCTGCTGCAAAGCATCCGAAACGTCGAGCCGTAGTTGAAATAATTTTCAAATAAGTGGAACTAATGTATATCGCGTTTTAAACCGTTAAAGTGTTTTATTAAAATTTTTATCCTTTACAAATTAAATCTATAATCGCTGTCTGTGAAAGTCGTAGGGTTCGATTCCGAAGAGAGCCAACATGTTTCTAAAACTGGCTACACATTCGAATCAAAACACTTCTAACGGTTTAAAATGCGATATTATATATTAGTTAAACTTGTTTGGAGATTAGTTTAACTACGGTCCGACGTTTCGGATGCTCTACACCAGCCGTGGTCACGGGGAGACTGAAACGTCGGGCCGTAGTTGAAATAATTTTCAAATAAGTTATTTTTATCGCGTTTTAAACCATTAAAGTGTTTTATTTAAACGTGTACTACTGGCTACAGAGAACAGGTATTCAATGTCACGATGTGTTGTCGACCTGTTTTGGCTTTTGATATTTAATTTCTTATTTTCATTTACAGCTACAGAGTCTGTACCGTGTGTCAGCGGGAAAGGAGACAAAGGACTGTGTACCAGTCGCAACTTCTGCGACTACGGTACAGCGGCCATCGACGTAACGTTGTATGCTAAACATGGCTATAAAAAGTAAGTAAACTAGGCGTTAGATTTGACTTTGAGGGACACCCTCCATATTCAGCCCCCACCCCATGACCACGGCTGCTGCAAAGTACCCGAAACGTCGGGCTGTTAAGATAATTCTAATCGGACACATTTATGCAAATAAAAAAAATGGCTCGGTGGTGGTAAGGAAAGATATGTACGGCTAATAATCAACGGGTCGTGGTAACGTGGTCGTTGGACTTCTTGAAATCTGGATATTAAATGGATGGTAGGAATATCAGGTAGGAATAATAGGAATTAGAGTTTCTAACCACCGTCCACAGATGAAACAGTTGACGAGTGTACTCACGTTTCGGCCGATAGCGCATCTTGTTTAGATGTTATATGGCTAACGTGAACTTTTCCCCCCCTGATTCAAAAGATAACATGGTCTATCTCTAGCTTAAGGGCTCTAGGACCAAATTTAGAGGTAAGTAACCGCCTAGAGCCCACCACGAAAAAAAATAACCTCACAATAGAGATCTGTTTTTTTTTCGAATTGCAAAAAAAAAACACTTAAATTTTGTTTCAATAAAACACTTTGACGGTTTAAAACGCGATATATTAGTTAAACTTATTTGAAAATGATTTTTAACTTCGGCCCGACGTTTCCGATGCTTTGCAGCAGCCGTGGTCACGGGAAACTTTCAATTAAGTTTAAGTCGCGTTTTAAACCGTTAAAGTGTTTTATTTGTATGTGTACTACTCGCGTAAACTATAGACAGTATTTACTTTAATTATATTGTAGATTTTTTGTTTGGAAAATGTTTTAGGGTCAGAGGGGTTGTTTGTTGTTGCGAGGCCTCCACAATTTAAGTCCACTTTAAATAAAACCCTTTTTAACAGTTTTAAACATTTTATTGGGTACTTCTTTCACTGCGAACATTTCTCGGATACTTTTATGTACAGTCGACACTAAAGCGAAAATTAATTACTTCTTGTTTAAATTAAAACTCGATGCAAATTGAAAAAACCTTTCTTACACGGACAGGACTTGAACCTTGAGCTACCGTGTCGTAAATTTTTGCCAATCTAAAATCCATTTTTGATTTATATAGTGCCATCATGTGCATTGGTATGTGAAAAACTCAGGTTTTCAATACTGGTTGAATCAGTATTCTGTGGACACGCCTGTTTTCAGTTACTCTTGACACACATGCGACCACCAATTCCCCGCCAATCCCAGCATTGGGAATGTCTGACTGCATTTAGTACACGTCCAATCTGGTTCCGTGCAGTGCTCCTCGAAGTGTAACCTCAAACACGAGATCAAATCTACGCCGGAAAAGATCACTTTGCAAGGCATACACTCCACTTTTAAACTATCCTTTTCGACAACCATGTAAGACGAGAAGAGATCGCCTACGCAGAAAAAATCTTCTGTACTTTACGCGAGTAGTTTTTTATAAAACACTTTTAACGGCTTCTACTCGTTACAAAATATATAGAGTTGGTTTGTATGAAAAAAAATCTAAGTGAAAAATTATTTTCGTGCCGGTCAGAGCATTTATCGAGGAAGGCTATTATAGGCTATAAAACATCGCCCTGTGACTAATACAAGTGAAGATACGGCGCGAAATGTGAACAAAAATGAGAAAATTATCCATCATTATGGCTTTCCGAAGCGTACTCTGCAAAAACGGTTCAAGGTATGGAAAATATATATATGAAAGAAATCTCCTCTTTAAATAATCTAAAAAAAAAGTTTATGACGCTATATGTCTATCTTTTAAGACTACCTTGCAAGAACGACGGGAAGGGACGCGACTGACGTCGTGGGTAACAGCTTACATTAATAAAGATGCCGAGAAGGTTTGCAAAAACAAATTCGGATGCCCAAATAACTATTCTACGGGGACGAAGTCGCTGCACATAGCTAAGTTATAAATAAGTTAATTTATACATTTCGCGTTTTTAACCGTTAAAAGTGTTTTATTTAAATCTGTACTACTCTTATAAACTACACACGATACAAAACAGTAGGAAAAATTTAATATAATTGGTTAGTTACCACAAGTCTTTAACCAATTTTAAAGGACAAATGTTATTGTTTCAAAAATCTTTAAATAAATTGTGTAAGGCTTACACGGGCATCGTTCAGCATATCATTGTCTTTCGGGCTGTACGGCCATGTGTGTCGATTGGTCGACCAATCGAGGAGTAAACATCTCCTGATAATGCCGTCCACACGTGATGGCGAAACGTCGAGAACCTCCTCTCGCTCACATGGGCTGAACAGCCCGAAAGACAATGCTATGCCACATCTTTAAATATTCAGTAAGATACAAAGCCAACGATACATACCAATATACAACTTGAACATTGGTGAAACAGTTTCCTCCAGTTGCAGGTCATATTTAGGATCCGTCGGGCCTTTCTCCTCATCCTTGAACAGGTACCGGATATACCCACACTTGTTCATATACCGTTTGTAACTAGCATACGAATATAATTGTTCTGGCAACGAGGAAAGGTCCTTCCAGATAAACTTTAAAATTTCCCTAACGGCATCTTTGTTCGGATGATCTCTTGTGATGTTGTCAATTGACTTTAGCAGACCGGTCTTTGGGACAACTCTGCTTCTCTTAGTCTTATTAAATAAGAACTCTTGGTTTAATTCTACCGGTTCCTTTTTGGTAGAATTTGCCTTGTTTACCAGGATGTGCTTTAGTTCATGGGAAACCTGGAACAAGGAGACTATCTATAATAATATAGCTGGTACTCAAATAAAACACTTTAACGGTTTAAAACCTATATATGACATGTGTTTGGCTTCGTTGGGTATGCTATTTTTTTTTAAATCCAGAGTATCCAGCATACCAGCAAACGCGAAGACACTGTTAGTCGATTCTGCAAGGACCCGGTCGCCAAATACCAACTTCGACGTCTTTACTTTGACGTGCGTGACACCCTCCATCTATAGTCTCCCCGTGACCACGGCTGCTTTAAAGCATCCGTTGTTTTAAAAAAAATCGAACAAATTTAACTAATATATATGGCGTTTTAAAGCGTTGAAGTATTTTTTTTTATTGTGTACTACTCTCATTAACTACAAACAGTATTTAATATAGCTTATTTACTAATTATTTCTAGACAATATTTTTGCAGAAAACCTAAGTAAGTAACCTAGTGTCAGTGTGTGAGGAGATATGCGAGTGAAAAACAGATAAACACCGTTTCACAAGCCTAACGCAGGTATATACAAAATTTTATCAAAATCGGTTCAGCGGTTTTGAAGGAGTTTGCGCACAAAATCGCGCACAGGAGTAATTTATATATTAGGCGTGCTTTTGGTCCAATTATATCAACGTATTAATCTTCGGGTCTTGGGTTTGATGCCAATGGGTCTAACTGTAACTCTAAAAAAGTTATAATATTTATAACAAATGGGATTTCTGGAAAACTGGATATTTAAGTAGGTGGTACGAAAATTGGTTAGTGATACACACATAGAAATTAGTTTGAACCACAAACCGTCCCTGTAGCTAAATAGTAAAACACTTAGCCTAGCATTGTGTCAAGCGACAGGGGTTTGAATTTTGGGGAAAAAACAGATTATTTCAGTCGGGTAGAGCACAGATGGTGAACTGTTTGTAAATAAAACCGATTGGGGGGATACAGAAATGGGTTCACCCCCTGCCCTAACAGGCGCGAGTAGTAAACATTTAAATAAAACACTTTAACGGTTTAAAACGCGATATATTAGTTAAACTTATTTGAAAATGATTTTCAACTTCGGCCCGACGTTTTGGATGCTTTGCAGCAGCCGTGGTCACGGGGAGACGTCGTACCGAAGTTAAAAATCATTTTCAAATAAGTTTAACTAATATTTTGCGTTTTAAACCGTTAAAGTGTTTTATTTAAATGTGTACTACTCGCGTAAACTATAGACAGTATTTAGGATTACGCTAATAGTATTCCTACTCTATGTATCTTACCTCTCGTTTATATAATAAAACATTTCTCTGTGACTTTTTACTTTTACATGAAATTTCAATTTTAAAATCCCACCAATTTAAAATGGCTTCTATTTGTTTCGTCCCTGGTACTGTAATGGTTGTCTTCTTATAGTTTGCGTTAAACACACAATTATCTACTGGATGTCTGTAAATTAATGAATTCAATTGTCTTCTTGTTGCGTCTATTTCTAACACAACCGTATCACTAGACTGTAAGGACTCTTTATTTTCAGAGGCCGTCACTTCCTGCTTATTAGTTCGATCCTTCAAAGTTAGTACTGCCTCTTTCCCCATCGGTTCAGCGATTGCAATCACTGAACCCAAGTGGTTCTTTAACTGGTCATACTTAATTTGTAACTGGTCATCTATATTCAATAGATTATTTGCCTTCTTAGCATCATCCACCAGGCGGTCAAATTCGTCCCAGAGCGGCCAATGTTTTAGGAACCGTTTCATCAGAGTGATGTAAATGTCTATTTCTAGATTGTGCAATTTGAATATGTTAATGTCGAATTCAAATTTGAGCAGATCCAGTATTTGGTTGTTTGTTAGAATTGTGCTTTGCTTACAATTGTTGCTGATGAGACGTTTGAAGAGTTTTTTTATTGGTTTATCTGGAAGAAAAACACATTTTAATAGTCGTAATGTATGGCTAATAAATAATAGAAAGTGGGTTTGGGCCCCACAAGGCCTTTTTAAATATAAATTGTAAAACATTTAAATTTTTGTCCAAAGATAGAAAAACCAAAAGTATATATTCAGTGTTTCGGACTGTAGATTTCTGAATGACAAATGCCAAAATAGAGAGCATAGAGGCCTTTCCACCTTCCATCAGGTACAAGCTTGTCTTCCTCCTCTGTCTCACTCTGACTCCTGACTCATTAACCCATATCGTTTAGTGATTAAAACATGTTAATATTTAACAGATCGGGAAGCCCTATTTATATTTTCATAGGTCAAAATAATATGAAAAAAATGCCTAAAATGTCTTAAATTTAAATTTACTGCATATAGATTGCGGAATACTAGGCTTATGTTATAAAAATAGCGCTATATATTTTTTTTTTCAATGCAACTTACCATCTTCTTCATCAGAATCAATGGCTACAACGGATGCTTCATTTGAAGATTCGTCCATTTTCTAAGCAGTTCATACGATGTCTCAGACACGTCTCGAACTCGCAATATGTGCTCTGTCTAAGCTGTTGTCACTACCAAGTGGAATATCGTGTGAATAGAATATAATGTATTGAAATAAATGATGAACAAACCTATTAAAACTTCCAGTAGTCTCGAAAATGGACTAAAGTATATAATATGTACTATACTTCAGTTACTATATTTTATTTACTAGGGTTTTGAGTGAGTTTATAACAGTGAAAATATATTATATTTACGTCGTAAAGCAAAGGACATACGATCATTTAAATTTCGCAGCAAAAGTAAATTTTGTATCAACGAAAGTCGGTTTCAACTTACGTCAAGCTCAGATGTTTTGCTGTCAATGCCAAAGTCAAGCATAGAAGTACAATGTTGTTAAAATAAGACAGACTACAGCACGCACAGAGTATGTCAACCACAACGTACTATGAAGTCTTGTTTTGTAAAGGATAGTTTTTGCTATTTTATTCCAATTCCAATACCATTATTTTCCATTAACTTAAGTTTTAAGTAGTTTATGAAATGGATAGCATTAATGCATAATATATAAACAATCACAAAAACTATGAACTGTCATAATTGACCTTCTATTATTCTTTATCTCATTTGTTACCTTTTTTCTATTTCAGTATCTGTCAAAACGACGAAGTTTGCTGTCCACCAGCATTCATAATCCAACAGACAGAAGACAAACCGGAGAATAAATCTGACGACTTCAGTTCTGATGCTGACATAATATAAATAATGTTTGTGGTTATTATTTTTAAATTAAAAAAATCACGCAACATTTTTCTCTATTTATTCGTTCCCGTCCTCCATAACAATAAATTTATAGTCTACATTTCGTTGTTCATATTGCACAGGCTGCAGTCGGGGCAACGTCTCGTAGGCCTTCGCCCGCGACGACAGTTCTTGTCGCACGCCCTGACTTTAGACCTTGAACGAGATCTGAAAGAAAAATAATATATATTGAGTTCAACTTTGAAATTTATTTTTAAACACGGCCCGACGACGACGAGGGGATTATGCAAAGAGCAAAAAAAATAATAATTTTCGATGAAATTTACTTTTGTTACGCAGTAGACATTGTCGGAATAAGACCACTGAAAAAACCATAAGCAGGAATAAAACGACTCAAGCGAGGCTTAGATTGCTTTAAAATTCATACATCTATACTAATATTATAAAGCTAAAGATTTTGTTTGTTTGAACGCGCTAATCGTGGGAACTACTTGTTCGATTTAAAAAATTGTTTTTGTGTTTGTTAGAGTATGTATCGACAAAGGCTTTAAAGCATCACGCTACGACTAATAGGAGAGAAGAAACAGTGGAAAAAATTCATCTTTGAAGGTTTCCGTTACCCAAAAAATATGTATGAAAAAATGCTTCTACTTAAAACAATCTGAAAAAAATGACTGTATACGCCTATCTTTTAAGTTAACCTCTCAGGCACGAGGAGACACGGGCGACGTCGCGAGTATCAGCTATAATTCACAAAGGTGAGGAGGTCCCCTAAGACAAACTTTGATGCCCAAATTAACTATCCTACGCGGACGAAATCGCGGGCACGGCTATCGCCCTTGGTAGGCTAAGGTCCTACGGACCTCACGCGCTTACGTCAATAAACATTCTTAACGCACGCACCTAGACCGTGACCTGGAGAGGCGACCCGCGTGCTGGCACAAGTCTTCTTCATCTCTCAACTTGAAGAGGGTGTCTTTGTACTGATACATCAGGTAGATCAAAGTCAAGACAGCTGCAACCTGTAACATGGTGGTATGTTTAATTATTATTACCATAAAAGTTGATTATAAATTGAAAAAATTAACGACCCGCGCAGGACTTGAACCGGCATCTACACCGTTCCGTGCTGTTGCTCTAATTGAGCCACCGTGTCCTACACAGGTCATCGATTTTTCTCAACCTATTGACATTTAGATATAGATCTCAATGTCCGAAGCCGAAATCGGTCGACTGTGCATCCTCCCATATCTTCAGTTGGACTTTAAATATTCAAATAAAACACTGTTAACTTATTTACAATTTATTCTAAACACCGTGCAGCATTTGAAACGTCGGACCGTAGTTAAAATAAATTGTAATTAAGCTAAATAATACATATCGCGTTTTAAGCCGTTGAAAGTGTTTTATTTATATGTGTACCGAATCGCGGTAACTATAGATAATACCTTATTAAGTAAAAAAACCAATTTTAGCGTTCCGTGCTGTTGCTCTAACTCTGAGCTACCGTGTCCTACACGTTATCGTCGATTTTTTTCAACCTACTGATAGAAGCACCTATCGCGCACCATAAGGATACTAAAAATGGTGACTTGTAGCAATAAAAAGGTTTTTTTTTATGGACAAAACTCGAACCGGCGACCACATCGTTTCGTGCTGCATGTACACATTTTTTGAGCATTGTATCATTTTTTTTAAAGTAACACAATATTAAGCTTTATATAAATCCCATGAGCGGGTTCTGGTCGTTGAAGTAATGGTAGCAATGAATAGCTAATAATCAAGGGGTCTTGGGTTTGATGCCCAACAGGTATCAAACCCTAGTAGGTAGGAATATCGGAAATCTTGGTTCCGTCTAAGTCACGAACCATAGTCCTGAGATTAAAAAGGCGTAAAGTTCCCTTTACGGTTTCAATTTGTGAAATTCCAAGTATCCAAAGACAAAGAGGTCGACGACGTATCTTGTTAAAATGCTGTATGTCCGGGCTATCGGATCAATCGAGTGAATTATAATTTAAAAATCGAAAAATAAATTAAAAAAATTTTCGACTCGGGCAGGACTTGAGCCGGCATTGTCAGCGTTCCGTGCCGTTATTTTCTATTTTTTAAATTATATAGTGCCTTCGTGCGCAATAACATGTAAAAAATAATACAGTTTTCAAGTGAATTATGTCTAATATCTATAAAAGAATAAGAATTATATCAAAACAGTAAAAATAAACAGATAATATCAAAATTTCTAAGTTATATTTTAGCTTTGAATAGAGAATGTACAACTGTAATTGATCTACATTAGTTAAACTGTGCCTAATTACACTAATGGTATCTGTGATATGAAAACTTATATAGAGGGTGTCTCAAAATTAACGCAATGAAAAGGAATCGAAGCACGTAAAACAACGTCGGGCCGTAGTTAAAAATAAGTTTAACTAATATACGTTGCTTATATAATTTTGTTGGTCCGACATGTTTCGTTTTACGTTTAAGTTAAGTTTACTTCCAAAACTTCCTAATTACGTATGTACTTAATAATTACCTAAACGATATATTAGATATTGTTTGCTAGACGGGACACCCTGTAAACCCCAAGCTCTTTGCTACGACCAAAGGCTACGTTTTTGTAAAAGCTATATCAGAAAACGAAAATACTTGGTAGAGCTCGGAACGCAGGGCTTGAATCCCGCCCGTGTCATCGACCGAATAAAGAAAAGGTATCATAAGAGATGCGTGTGAAATATAATAATGTGGGCATAAACACTTTGAAGTTTTGTTAAAGTTCAATTACGTAACGCGTTACGGCGGCTCTTTTAATCAAATAACTTTGATGCCCATTAAACAATACACTTTGACGGGTTAAAACGCGATATATATTAGTTTATTTTTGGAGATTACATAATACTACGACCCGTGACTGCGACAAAGCATTCGAAACGTCGGATCATAGTTAAAATATTCTAATATAGATCGTGTTTTAAACCGTTAAAGTGTTTATTTAAATGTTTAAAAATAAAATTACTCGCCTAAGCTACAGACAGTATTTGTTGTCTTTTTTACTTTTATCTACTGGCAGCCAGTTTTATTTATCTCTTAATCATCTGACTGTAATGTTTTTCTCTAGAACTTAGGACCTATCGTGCTTAACTCTAGGCCGTTGATGCGCCGAGGCGGGCGGCGGTCCAGCTTAGTAATCTTAGATAAAAAACACACTTAACGAATTAAAACGTAAAATATATGTACATGAGGTAGTTACTGTGTTGTACGCTTTGCAGCAGCGGGTCTCCGCTAGTGTGTCAATCGTTAAGTGTTTTTTCTAATGCGTGACGGTCACGTAATACAGTCTATATGAAGCCGCTAGAGATAGAGTAGCCTAACTGCAATTTTATGACTTGAGTGATTTTCATAGTCTAAAAATGTTAATCTACAAGAGTACAGTGACCGAAAACTGTTAAAAATTAATTCTTACACAAATAATAGTATAAATTCATTCTCGCCTAAGTTAAATGCGCATTTTTATTTTCCTCCTTATTGAAAATGTTGTTTGTTATTAGGCCACTCTGCCTCTAGCAGCCTCGTATTATTGTTATTTCTATTATATTCCATATCCATAGATTCAGGAGATGGAGAAAGAGGAAATGCAACGTACCGCGATGTTTAGTTGTCGCACGCGTATGAAATCAACTATAGCATCGATTAGGGTGTCCATACTTTTCGTGGTTTCAATGTACACAAAATTTTGCGAGGAGACCACGCTACATGGCCTAAAGCATACTGTCGCGAGGAATTTTCACTTTATCGAAAGGTAAATAATAGTGAGAAAAAATACTATAAAAAGTTACATCTCTTGTTACACTCTGAAAAATTTTGACGTGCACTTCGGGCGGCTAGATTCTTTTTTCGAATGTAACGGCCAGCATCATTCATAGATAATTGTTTTTCTTTAGGTATGCATATGATATGACATGGTAGGGAGGCTTTTAGGCCAAGTCAAAACTTAAATTGCCCTTTTTTAAGAATATTACAGACGCGAGAATCGTTATTTTGGGCATCCAAATTAGTTTTTGCAAATACCGTCATTGTTATAAACTTTAGCCGTTAGCCACGACGTCGACCGCGCCCCTTCACGTCGTTTCTTTTAAGATTAACTTGCAAGTTAATTTTAAAAGATAGACGTATAGCGTCGCGTTTAGATCATTTAATGAGGAATCATTCTTTCATACAATTTTTTTAGGTATCTTGAACCATTTTTGCAGCGTACGCATTTAAAACCCACAGGGATGTAAATTTTCCCACGTTTCGTTCACATTTCTCGTTGTATCTTCGCTTCTATTAGTCACAGCGCGATGTTTTATTCCTGGATAAATGATCTAACCAACACAAAAAGAATGTTCAATTCGAACTCATAGTTCCTGAGATAAGCGCGTTCAAACAAACAAACAAAGAAACAATTTCTTGTGATTTTTATATTAAGTATAGATTTGTTAAATAAAAATTTGGTGCCTTAAATTAAGTGAAACTAAGTGTTCTCTTAAGTTTAGTGAATATACGTAAATTTCACAATAATTTCTGACGTAATTTAATAGCTTTTTCTTATGAATGATGACTAAAATATTTACTTGTTTCATTCATGTTAGTAGTAAGTTACGGTCAAGTCTTTGTGTTCATAAACTGATTATTTATCTCCGTAACAGCTGGACCGGTTTATATAAAATTTTGTGCTAACATCTTTCAATACTTGCACTTGGTTTAGTATACCTATTTATAATAATAATAATAATTCTTTATTCAGGTACAAACGCGCATCTTACAAATATGTCATATAAAAAATGAGAAAAATAATAATAATACTAATTAGTAAACATTACTGTTTATTTGCGGTTGCTGTCAGCGTGCACTTTTGCCCAGTTTCTTAAAATGGGATTGCTTAGGTACTCGGAGAAAGTTTGCACTATGAGATTCGGTGATGTGTTACCGCGACTCCAAAATGATGCGACCCTCGATCTTACGATCGCGTAAAAGTCCGATATCCTTGCCTCGGCGAACATGCCGGACGCACTGCAAAACCTCGGAAGCCCCATTAAAATACGAAAGGCATCATTATACTGAACTCTTAACGCATTGTAGGACCTCCGAGTAAAATTACACCAAAGTTGACATGTGTAAAAACTCTGGCAATACGCTTTAAATAAAAGTGTTTTTATGGTAGCCGATCTTTTTTGATAGAGGAGGACATAGGCACAAGATTTACTTGATGGTAGGTGATATACTCCAGCCTATAGCATCTAAACAAGATGTGCTGTCGACCTATTTTGGCTTCGGATATTCGGAGATCCACAGACTGAACCCGAAACGCGATTAAGCTGCACGGCTTTTTTATCTGTGGACGATGGTTTGTGACCCGGACGGAATCTCTATGTTTACTTATCCTACCAACCATTTAATAGACAGATTTCCACACGAAGTTTAACATGTTTCAGAAAAAAATATAAATTAAAAAATTTGAAACATGTTTCAGAAAAGTTATAAATTGAAAAATTTGAAACATGTTTCAGAAAAATTATAAATTGAAAAATTTGAAACATGTTTCAGAAAAAGTATACATTAAAAAATTTGAAACATGTTCGACCCGGTGGGAATCGAACTCGCGAACTTATTATTAGCCATACTTTGCTACCAGTCAAAAGCCAATATACAATGACTGAATCTTGATTTATGAACTGGGGTTCTTCTTCTTCCTACGCTTGTTCCTCCTCCCCGATGTAACTTTCAGATTGCTATGGTTGATTTTAACCTCACTGGCGTTTACTGGTGCCGTCTACTGTGCGCTCAGTCAGTTAACAAGATACAATTCTGAGCCCGTCGTGGTTTACCTGCAACGGGACTATCGTCGATGGGCCTTCAGCTTTCCCGCGGTGACCGCTTGCTTTCTGGAACGTTCGGACCAGGAAAAAACCAAGGGGGTTATACGAAGGTTAGTTGGTTTACTGTTAATTAAACTGACGTCAGAGACATCCTCCATCTTTAGCCTCCCCGTGACCACGGCTGCTGCAAAGCATCCGAAACGTCGGGCCGTAGTTAAAAATCGTTTTCTCGCGTAAACTACAGACAGTATTGGAAGGTTAATTATTGTTTTGTGTTTAATTACAATAAAAGTAAGAACAGATAAAACAATTTCTTGACTTTCAGAATCTGGAATATAACGGAGGACTCGGATCCGGAGAAATTTCAATACTACCAAGAGTTCGTGGATCTTATCTCCGACGTATCCTTTCGTGAGAACCTTCAGAACTTCTGGAAGTACCAGAACGATGAGAGCCTCAAGGGTGTTGATCTATTGCAGCTGGCTATTGACGTACACCCCGATGTCATCTTGAACGTTTCAGTCTCCCACCAGCTAGAGGTATTTTACTAACCTCTGCCTTAAAAAAAAAACACTTTAATGGTTTAAAACGCGATATATATTATTTTAACTACAGCCCGACCTTTTGTATGCTTTGCAGAGCCGTGGTCACGGGAGACACGACAGGGATAGGTTTAACTAATATATATCGCGTTAAGGTTTTTATTTATTTATGTACTAGTCGCGTAATCTACAGAGGAATACCGTTTAGTTTAAGCGTTTTATTTAAATAACACATTTCGTGTTTTAAACCGTTAAAAGTGTTTCATTAAAAGCCTGAAGTTTTACACAGAATAAATCCAAGGCAAATGAAACATGTTCATTGCTTCGCGGGGATTTGAACCAAGAACTAAATTTGTGGACGGTCGGGGGTTCGAGTTCCACCCGTGTCATTTTTTAATGTGAAAGTTGTCTGAGGACCATCTTCAACAGATTCTCTGGGTCCCGGTGATGACTGAAGAGGGGCTCTGCATGACCTTCAACTCCGTCTACTCTCAATACCAGCAGGTCGGTGACGTCACGGCACGACCCGGCCTGATGACGTGTCACTACCACAGCGAGTTCTGCTTTGTCAGAATAGATGCCATGAACCGGGGAGTCAGGGTATTTCAGTATATTTAATAATAGAGGTGGCAATGGTGGGTGAAATCACCAGCCCAACATCTAAACAGAAGCGACGTCGACCTATTTTGACTCTATATTCGGAATTGCACAGACTGAAAACGAAATGCGATTAAAGTGAGCGGCTTTTTCATCTGTGGGCGGTGGTTAGTGACGGGCATTATTTACAGCGTCCGTTGCGCGCGCAGCGAAATAATTTAAGAAACCAAAAAATATGTATGAAAGATTATTCCTCGCAAAATGATCTAAAATGGAGGAGCTTTGCAAAAGCAAAATTTAGATGCCCGAAATTCTAGTCGCAACACAGCTAGTTATCCATTCATACTTTCATACTAATATATAAAGCTGAAGAGTTTGTTCGTTTGTTTGTTTGAACGCGCTAATCTCAGGAACTACGAGTTTGAATTGAAAAAAACTTTTGTGTTGGTTAGAGCATTTATCGAGGAAGGCTATAAAACATCGCCCTGTGACTAAGACAAGCGAAGATACAGCGGGAAATGTGAAAAAAGTTGGGAAAATAACGGTTTTCGCGGACGAAGTCGCTGACACAGCTAGTATAACGTATATTTTATAGAGTTATGGAGTTGCATGTATGTTGACAAAAATTCGACAATGTGTAGGACACGAAAACTCAACTGGTCAGAGCAACAGCACTGAACGCTGTGCATGCCGGTTCGAGGCCCGCTCTTGTCGGTTTCCTTTCCTAAAATTGATTTTTAATTTATATTTTATTTTAACAGTATTTCATTCATTCACCGTATGAAATATCGACAGCGATTACGAATCCCACCGGGGAAATATATCCTGGCGACGAACTGCAAACGGATTTCAAGGTAAATAAGGTCGTTCAGTTGCTCAGCGACTAAATGCTGGAATAATATTTCACCAGCCCATAATTATAATAGTTTGGCTTCAAAAAATTCTATAAAGCATTTTTATTAGAACACTTTGCCGCTGGGCGCAAGAATTTCACCCTCCTATTTACGCCAATAATTGCTATATTTAAATAAAAGACTTTAACGGTTTAAAACGCGATATATTAGTTAAAATTATTTGAAAATGATTTTTAACTTCGGCCCGACGTTTCGGATGCTTTGCAGCAACAATGGTCACGGGAAGACTGAAGAACTAATATTGAGAGAGGGAGAACGAATATATCGCGTTTTAAACCGTTAAAGTGTTTTATTTAAATGTGTACTACTCGCGTAAACTATAGACAGTATTTAAATAATGGCGATGTTTCACATCTGCCAGGCGTCCCGTGACGGCTCACATTTTTTTTTTATTAATATTTCTTTTGTAATTACATTTATTTAAACTTTAACGGTTTTTAACGGGGGTCTCCCCGTGACCACGGCTGCTGCAAAGCATCCGAAACGTCGGGCGGCGAAGTAAAGAATCATTTTCAAATAAGTTTAACTAATATATCGCGTTTTAAACCGTTAAAGTGTTTTATTTAAATGTGTACTACTCGCGTAAACTATAGACAGTATTTAATTACATTTATTTCTACTACCACTTCTAATGAATGCCAAATAAAGAGATTTACTATTATTATTAATTATTTGTATAAGATAGATATTTATATTATTTGTATATTAGGTACTCCTTACACCTGCCCACTGAATAGATCTTCTATTTCTTTTCTCCTGTAACTCAGGTTCTCTGGAAGAGATCGCTGCTTAGCGATAAGACTGCCGTTATGTATAAGTTAGTACGTAAGATATTATATCTTTGTTTTGTGGTGTATTTCAAACAATAAAGCTATAAGAAATAAATGTTATAAAATTGGTGGTGGTATATAGGTGGTGGAAATTGAAGCAGATGGACGTATTAAAAATTTGAGACCAGAGCAGAGAAGATGCCAATACCCGGACGAATGGCTGGCGGATTCCATTAAGGTCGGTGTGGTCACGGGTTCGAGTCTGGCCCGTGTCATAATGTTTCTACAATATATACTAATAAAGTATTGGTTCGAATTGAAAAAATATTTTGTGTCGGTTAGAGCATCTCTCGAGCAGAGCTTTAGACTATAAAAAATACGGTGCGATCAATAAAAGCAAAGACACAGAGGGAAATGTGGAAAAAACGAGGAAAGTTCATCTTTGATGGCTTCCGTTGCGTGACATGCGAATACCAAGAAATCAAAAAACTATGTATGAAAGAGTGATTTATCGTTACATGATCAAAAAAATCCAGACATGATATTTTATTTGAATATTAACTCGCAAAAAATTTATCAACGCGAAGAGGTGTGCAGAAACTAATTTAATTGCCCAAAATAATCATTTCACGCGGACAATGTCGCGGGCACAGCTAGTTCTAAACATTGATGAACTTTCAGGCCTACAGTTTTGGTCTATGTCAAATGAATTGTAGAAGCAGAATGGCCATGATGTTCTGTGGCTGTCGGCCATATTTTCACATCAAAGGCGGTAAGACTACATTACCTACATATAATCTGTGGTCTACATATAAAATGTGAATACATGTAAAGAAGTAAATTGAACGGTTAAAAACATTACTAATATAAATTAATCCAACCTTTTCTTGATGCTTATCTTGACAACACAACAGACATATAAAAAATCGAATTAACAGTTATTGACTGCTGTATACACGAGAAGTACACATTTTCATAATACTTACAAAAAGCAAATTATATATAACTTATTTTTAATTTAGTTACGTCGGGCTGTAGTTAAAATAAATTAAAAATTTGCGATCTCACGTTATCGCGTTTTAATCACGTGTTTTACTTAATATTAATAATTGAAAAATCTAATCAAATTAGTTATAGGTACTATTTCATGTAAATACTTTCTATAGTTTACGCGAGTAGTACACATTTAAATAAAACACTTTAACGGTTTAAAACGCGATATATTAGTTAAATTTATTTAAAAATGATTTTTAACTTCGGCCCGACGTTTCGGATGCTTTGCAGCAGCCGTGGTCACGGGGGTCTCCCCGTTTTAAACCGTTAAAGTGTTTTATTGAAATACTATTTAATGTGTTAACCGTTAAACTTGTTTTTTTATATGTATTCGCGAAATTAGAAAAGTAGGCACATCTAGTGCTAAGTATATATAAAGCAGAAGAATATGTTTTGTTTGTTTGAACGCGCTAATCTCAGGAACTATGGGTTCGAATTCTTTTTGTGTTGGTTAGAGCATTTATTGAGAAAGGCAATTTATGAAAAACATTGTCTTATGACTAATACAAGCGAGAGATGTGAAAAAAAATCGGTAAAATTATACATCATTATGGGTTTCCGAGGCGTATAAAGAACTTTTTTATAATCTAATAAAAATAAAGGATCCGTCAGAAAGTGACAGTTCGTTTTGACAGTTCTTCTGTGTGAAGCTTACGCTGAACGAGAGTCCAGAAAAACAATTACATGTAGTTAATTTGCGCGATGAAATCCAAGATGGCGAAGTCTGCGACTCGGACGGCATGGCGTGCATCGGCAGAAACGTGGAGATCCTTGTCAACCTGCCCAAGAACCTCGCCAAGTGCCCCTGCGCCCCACAATGCGCGGAGCTCAACTATTACTCACACACAAAGAAGATCGTTGTTCGGTAAGACGACTTTTACTTTTAGTGTAAGTAGTCGCAGTATTTCAAGCGATATATACTAGCTGTCACAGCGACTTCGTCCGCGTAGAAACGTTATTTTGTGCATCGAAATTTGTCTTAAAATCGAAGTTATCTGTGTTAAAAAGTGTCGTGTGAACATTTTTTAGATCATTTAAAGAGGATTAATTCTATCTTACATATTTTTTGGCTATTTTGAACCGTTTTCGCAGCGTACGTATCGGAAACCCACAAAGTTGACTAGTTTTCTCCGTTTTTTCCACATTTCCTGGTGTTTCTTCGCTCCTGTTAGGCACAGCGCGACGTTTTATAGCCTATAACCTTCCTCAATAAATATTCTAACCAAGACAACAAAGCATTTTCAATTCGAACCAGTAATTCCTGATATTAGCGCGTTCAAACAAACAAACTCTACAGCTCTACATATTAATATAGATATATATATATATGTTCGTTTTTGGCAATAGTAAGTGGTAGTTATAAAAGTAAGTAGCTTGCCATAAAGATGATTAGATTCATAATATAGTCTATTCAACTTTAAATATTGTCTGTAGTTAACTAATTAAACTTAATATAACTTAAAAGTGACCAATTAGACCAGTCTTCCACTGTTATAAGGTAAATGTTCTGGCTTCATAGACTATATTCCTCTATACCTTTTCCTCTCACTCTATCCTACATCTGTCCCTCTCCCGCGTTTACGGTTGCCCAAGCCTAAGCGCCGGCGCACTATGAGGCACGAGCTGTCTTATGAAGCAATAGCCATCCAATTTGCTGAAGTAAGCGATTGGCTGCACGGGAAGGGTTGACTTTGTAGCGTTTTAAACGAAGAAGGATCCCCGGCCGTGAGAGAGGCGCCGTCAATCTTAAGCGTAAGTCCATTTATTTTATACCTATTCCCAGCTTATGTGGCCAGAACACTCCCACCGCCATTTATGGGATCATAGATATTTAAATAAAACACTTTAACGGTTTAAAACGCGATATATTAGTTAAAATTATTTGGAAATGATTTTTAACTTCGGCCCGACGTTTCGGATGCTTTGCATCAGCCATGGTCACGGGGAAACGTCGGGCCGAAGTTAAAAATCTAATAAGTTTAACTAATATATCGCGTTTTAAACCGTTGAAGTGTTTAATTTAAATGTGTACTACTCGCGTAAACTATAGACAGTATCATAGATATACCTAATTATACAGTCCTCCCTGGAAGGCTCCACCAGTAAAAAGTCCTTCCAGTAAACAAACATGTACTAAATAAATAATTATTCTACATGAACGAGACGGAAGAGGATCCTGGGGCAGTTGTAAAGTTTACGCTGATGCCGCCAAAATTCCGCCTCCACAGAGACGTCATTTTCAGCTTGGATGATCTCTTTGGTACGTCTGACTGATTGAAATGATGGCTTTTATACATATAAAATCGAAGACACGGGCGGGATTTTGAGCAGGCATCCACAGCGTTTCGTGCTGTTGCTCTGATATTGTTTTCAATCTAAAATCGATGTTTAATTTATACAGTACCTTCACGTGCAATGTGTAAAAATATTAAAGTTGTTTTGTTCATAAAAATTAAAATCTAATTAAATTGGCTAAAATTGTTGACACGGGCGGGATTTCCCATGTACCACGAAATAAAGTAACTACATAGTTTCAGTATACATTAAAAATCGTTACTAAATTTTTAAAAATATGACTTGGGCAAGACTTGAACCGGCGTCCTCAGCGTTCCGTGCTGTTGCTCTAACCAATCAACTGTAGATATCTAGTTCAATATAAATAGATATCAATTTGACATTACGTCTTGCTGGGTTTAATATTCTATCGTCTATTTCAATCTTTCATAGGAAATTGTGAATGTTTAAGATGATTTGGCATCTCGATTAGAGTGCTGAGGTACCTTTTTATTGATTTCTACTTCTTTCTTTGTTAAACGGATTTATTTAGTTCGACCCGTACGGAACTTATTTATTTGGGTCAAAATTAGAAATTGAATTTTAAGCACTTGCCCGTTGTCGGATTGATCTGAAATGTAGTACGTACACATTTATTTGAGATTACAATACAATATAATAAAATCCATAATATATAGGATTTCATATTTTTCCATAACCCCCTCAATATGGGTATCAAATGAAAGGGCTACACTAGTAAATCACGATAACTGTGTCAAAATTTTATTTTTTTTATTGTTTTCAGTGCACAAAAAAATAAAACCGTTTAACTTAAAAGATTTTTTATCAATTTTTATTTATCTATTCGCAAAAAGTAGTTATACCTATAGTATTGTAAATAGGAACGCTCTTTACCAAATTTCAGAATTTAAACTGTATGATGCATTAGCAAAAGTTAAAGCAGCACGGATGGCCGTGGATGCCGCTTCGAGTCCCATCCGTATCGTAAATTATTTTCAATCTAAGATTTTTAATTTCTATCATGCAATCATGTACAATGACAAATATTTTTCAGCAGACAGCCTTTTTAATACAATAATGTTGTTTGCGTTTTAAATTATGAGAAATAAGTCATATTTAAATAAAATACTTTAACGGTTTAAAACGCGGTATATTTTAGTTCAATATGTTTGAAAATTATTATGCGGGTCAGTCTCCCCGTGACCACGGCTGCTGCAAAGCATCCGAAACGTAGGGCCGTAGTTAAAAATAATTTTCAAACAAGTTTCACTCAAATATATCGCATTTGAAACCGTTAGTGTTTCATTTAAATGTGTACTACTCGCGTCACCCACAGAGACTACTTACTTAAGTAATATTTGTAAAAATCTTTTATTTAGCATCTCTTGGTGGGACAGCGGCTCTCTTCGTCGGCGCGAGCGTTTTGACCGTAGTGGAAACGATACTTTTCATCATTAGATTTATAATTTCACACATTGTAGAGTCATACAATAATAAAACAGTGGTTTTTCGCAATTAAACCTCTTTGGTCTCTAAGTATCGTACATAGATAGTACTATACAGTATGTAGATATAATGGCAACATTGTAGCAATGTAGAGTTTGGTTAGATTTTATTTTACACTTTAAAAAAAATTAAAATTGTTTTTAAAATTTTACGTTGTTTACTTAATCGCTTATAACTTGATACAGGCCCCAAATGATTGCATAATAATGTTTATTCGAGGTGAGTTCAAAACTTTTCAGGGTTTTGGTATACTATATACAATATTATGAATATATATAATGTATTTTGAGGTTATTTTTTTATAAATATACTATAAACGAGTTATAGAAGTGAAGGCAAAGATAAATGTTGTCTTTATTTTTTAATCATAAAAAATAATATAATTATGTCTGATTAAAATATAAATGCATAATATGCGACTTATCATTATGTAGGCAACCCAACAAAAGTTTTTTTGACAATTGACATACAAACTTGATCACAGTAAGTGCTGTCACTGTTATTACAAGTCAATTGTCAATAAGCCCCGCCCTTAATTCGATTTATTTATTTTCGAAACATTTTCTAACCCAATGTATTTGCGAATAATAATTTTTCTAATAAATTAACTAAACGAACGAGTGAAAACATGATAATTACGACGTTGAGTCTCATGTTTAACAGTCTGTATTACGCTTTTACGTTTTTATTGACATTCTTCCTGTATTTACACTCAGTTTTGCCACTCGGTTTGGATGTGGGAATACTTGGGATAGCTGCGTACTTTTACACTAAATTGCCGAAACCAGATTCTAGTAATGTGTACAGTATATTTGGTCCGGAAGCTGGCTCGAAGGAGAGTGAGAATCACCCAGAGAGAGTTATCAAATGTATAGCCCACAGAGGTGCTGGGTTGGATGCCCCAGAGAATACAATGCAAGCATTCAAATACGTAAGTTAGTGGTTCATTTGTAGGTCTACCTCCGTGTTTCAACGGTCCTGAGTTTAACTATGGGGGTAAGCCTAACCAACAGTACAAAAGGACAGGGCAACTTGCCTTTATATTAAATTTAATGATACAGAAATAGTGTTCCATAAGACATCTGGACTAATATCATGGGTGAACACTACAGCATACATACAGCACTTTTAATTACATTTTTAAGTGACTAAAGTTCATCTAACACGCACTGCCGCAGTGAAGGCTCACTGTGCTGGCCTAGCGAGTGATGGACCAGTACATTTTACTATTCTCCTAAGAGAGAAAACCCTGCTGTGGGATTTTTATAGGTTCAAACCAAATTCATACATAGAATTGAAATCCATAATACAATAAGCAAATTGTTTTTACAGTGTGTCGCTATGGAATGTAACTTTGTTGAAATAGATGTGAGAACTTCTAGAGATGGGCAGCTGGTGCTATTACATGATCAGGGTCTCGAGAGACTGGCTGGAACTGACATCGCTGATGTAAAGGTTATGGACTGGGATAGCATTAAAAATATTGATATAGGTGCTACTCACCCTAATAGGTATGTTTTGCTTATTAGCCAAAATTTAGGATATGTTATCTATATTGGTCTAGCCGTTAATTTAAGAGGAAAAACTGCTTGTGTACATCCATCTTATTAAGTCACATTTGTAGTATTAGGGTTTATATTTGGTTATGCAGTAGCCTCTTGGTGAAATAGTCAGCTGATATTGTGGACTCATCATCCAGCCTCCTATAGGTATATATTTTAAGCTTTATATATTAGTATATGTCATGTTTTTTAGACAACAGTACAAAGATGTAACACTGTGCTTATTGGACGACGCCATAGACTATCTGCTGGCTAATAAAGTGAAGATGATTATTGATGTCAAAGGAGAGGACAAACAGGTATGATTCATCACCAAAAAAATGGTGGAGGAGTGTGGGGGTCAGTAAGCTTGCCCCGTTACCCACCAATTGATGATGGTAGGGTGTGTGAAGTGTGTGAAATCCTACTATACATGGAGCGAACACATTTGTGTGTCCGTTTCGCTGTGTTCAAGACCTCGCCCTGTTTGCTAGAAATCATTTATTGTTTGTTTAACATGTGTTTAACTATGGTGGTATGGTCTTCTATTCTTCATAATGAGACATAATTTTTTTTAATTTTACAACAATCAATTATATGAACGGATTACGAAGCGCTGTCATACATCAGGATTTCTATTTGTAACTCGTGTCACCGACTTTATTTAATTTAGATCATATAAAGAAGAATCATTCTTCATTCCCTTCATTGCATTATTCGCGTGTCGATGTTTTATAGCCCCGATTAGCCTTCCTCGATAAATGGTCTATATCAACTCAATTAGAATTTTCAATTCGAGCCAGTAGTTCCTGAGATAAGCGCGTTCAGCTTTATATATTAGTATAAATATGTGGTTGTATGCTGCCAGGTGATAAATGGTATTCTTCGGGTCTTCTCCTCAAATCCTGTGCTCTACGAAAATGCAGTCGTGACCACCTTTAATCCTTTTATATTATATCAGGTGAGCTAAGTGTTGTCTGTAGTTTACGCGAGTAGTACACAATTTAATAAGATACTGTGAACGGTATGAAACGCGAAATATATTAATTACCGTCTATTTAATTTATTTTATATTTATTCTTGTTTAAAGTTACGAAAATCTTAAAGTTTCAAGCGTAGATATCCGTTATTTCTCTATTTAAATAAAACCGTTTTAACGGTTTAAAACGCGAAATATATTCGTTTTTTTTTTATTCGTCGATTTCATTTAAATTTTAAAAAGGGTTTTTTTTTATTAAAACCACTTGCGAAAAATGTACCATCTTCAACGATTTCTTCCAACACAACGCTGAAAAGTGAATGGAACCTAAGTATAATATTAATGTGTAAGACTTAGGACTAGAGAAATAGTACTAGTGTTAAGTTCAAATATAAATAAATATTTCATGCCGACGAGGGTTCGAGTCCCGCCAGCGTTATCAAGGTTTTTTAGTCCAGATTTTCAATATATATATAATAATAATACCTATTTACTCGCGTAAAATACGCGAATATGTGTCTTGTGTAACCGAATTAAAAATCAATAATGATTTTCGCCTTTTCTCAAATTTTGCGACTAAGACTAATTGTGTAAGCCAACCAAGCCAGTCTTCGGCATCCACCTCCCACGGTCCAGTGGCCATCTCCTTTGAGAATTGTCCACCCGGGTGTTAGCGAAGTATTTAAGGGGGGAGCCGTACCGAAGTGGGCATAATCGAATTTAAAAAATACTAAGGCCCCACCAGAATACACGAACAACAAATATTGGTTGGTTACAGATACGCAAGAAAGATCCCAATATAGTTGGTGCGATTAGCTATCGTCCCTACTGTTTTAGTTCTATAAACTATGACGCGGAGAACGGACCCACCAATCCTAGGTAAGATTATGGAAGAAGACAGAAAAGCATTTGAACAGGATTTCTATATAACCAAAGCTAGTCACATCGATCGACAGCTTCCATCGATCTCTTCTGGCCCGCTCTGTCATAAATTATGTGCTGTCGATCTATTTTTGCGTTAGTAGTAGTAGTTCAAAAATCCACTGACTGAAAACGAAAGGCGTGATTAAACGTGGATTCGTATCCCGGGAAAGGATAATTTGTTTCGGTCGGGCTGGGCACTGATTGGTCGTCAATTTCTTGCCGGCATATGATCTGTGAAACGGACACGAATATGTTCGCCCCACAGAAGAAGCGATAAATTGTGTCGGTCGGGCGGGGCACAGATTTCTCATCAATTTCCTGCCGGCATGTGATCTGTGAAACTGACACAAATATGTTCGCCCCACAGTAGAGGCGATAAATTGTTTCGGTCGGGTGGGGCACAGATTGCTCATCATAATATACTTATCGGCAAAATAAAATATCAGTCACAACAAAGCTAAACCAGATTTGATTTATACAATTATGTGCTTTTGAATCTCATAGGTTCGCTGGTCGTCTCGCGATGCACGCCCTGGTTCGAACCTTGGACTTGATCCACTCGACGTTCTGGCGCTGGACGGCGCGGTGGTGTTCCGTCAGTGCGGTGCTTCTGCACAAGGATATCGTCAGCCCGTGAGTACCACAGCGGATACGTTGTGGGATTTGAACTGGACTTGAAATTACAAAAAAAGTACCTTCTCTTAGTAGTCAACTTATTTGCAACAGCTGTGGATTAATCCCCCCCCCACCCCCCCGCCTACAAAATTTACCTTATTCTTTACGTTTTAAACCGTTTTATTATATTAATATGTATAGGGAAAACTACATAATTGAAATTTTATTAATAATATTTAGTGTCCTATTATAACATTCAATCCTTTAGTTGCACTTCTCCTTAATTGACCAAGCGTGTGTTGGCCGACATTTTTCCTTAAGGCATGGCCAAGCAATGTCTGTTTCACTGATCGGTTTTATTTACAAGCATATAGTTGAGACTGTGCCCTGCCCGACCGAAAGAAGTTTTTGTTTCCTGGAATTCGAACCCAGTACCTCTCATGCTTAAAGCAATACCATGCTACAAGTGGTTAGGTGACCTTAATTTCTTTTTTGTGATAATTTTGTTAATAAATAAAATTAATAAGAATCCGATGAATTTTGATATATTTACGTGAATATTTTTTCTAGAAGCGAAGTACACTATTGGCGGTCGCTAGGAGTGAGAGTCGCTGGCTGGTGCGTCAATAGGCCGGTCGAGAAGTTGTACTGGCGCGCGGTTCTGCGAGCGCCCTATCTTGCAAACACGCTTTGCGGGGAACCCGAGGTGATTATTGCAAAGGGGCTTTCGGGGTAGTCGTAATCATTTAATATAACACGTTGTCTATTCGTTTTTAACAAGGACAAATGATAAGCGAGGGATGTGAACAAAGTCAACGACAATAGAAGGTAGAATCCCTCTCATGTATGCTCGCTAATATCGTTACAAATAATTAGGACATAAAAAAAGTCGTCATAAATGTTATTTTGAATATTGAGGCCCTTTGGTCCTTATTGGGTTTATAATGGATATTTCTTTAACCCTATATCATCTGTGGCAATGACTACACTCTATAATAGGGCATCACTAAATGTCTATGGTTCGAAATCAGCCATATTTGTTGTGGTCTTTTGTCAAGTTAGAAAAATACAATATATTCATACTAGTGTCTCAGATGGGCGAAAAAAAATATTTAACCATATTGAACCATTCAAAGTTACAATTACTAGAAGTAATTAATTTATTATTCAATACACTCGAATCCGTTTTTGCTCTCGTACCTAAAGACCGCGAGGCAAAAAATCGAACAAACTAACCAACCCGTTTCACTGTCGTCTGTCAAGCTGTCAACTTGACTGTTGACAGCTTGACAGAAGTCAGCAATAGTCAATTTACTATGAGCGCCTCTGTAGCCAAATAGTTAAACGTATTGCCTAGCATTGCGTTAAGCGCAAGAGGTCCTAACAAAACAAAAACTTATTTTGTCTCATCTGTGGTCAGAGTTAGACTGTGTCTTTCGGTGTCATAATCTAAGCACTCAAGCCAATAGATATATTTAGGTAACAAATGTTAGTTCATTTTTTTTAATGTTATTCCAGATCGAAAAGAAGGATTTGCGCCATGAAGAGTATTCTGAGCGACCTTTAGAAGATAGATACCTCGAGCCAGAGAAGAAACTGTCGTCTGGTCAGAATTAGTAATATTATCAAAAAGTTTTTTTATCACCTCTAATAGGTATATTACTACGTTACGTGCGGCCTGAACAGGCTTTTTCTTTAGTTACCACTTTTATACCGGTACCTTTGTTTCCTGATATAATTTAATACCAAAAAATTAGTTCTAACTCTTATAGAGAAATAATAAGATATAGTGTGTTCTAAAAAAGGATATACTGGATGATAGAAAAATATTTTGCTATAAACTTGCCTTAGAAGAAACAACAGTTATTAGAAATAACTGTTCTAAGCAGAATAAATTAAAACAATTTATGAGTTTTAAACAAAAAAATTAGTTTATAGTCACATATATTTATATTAAAAACGAACGAACTATAGGTTTCGAGCTTATGTGCAAAATTTCATTAATATCAGCCAAGTAATATAAGCGCAATCACATTTTTCCAACAAAGAACTAGCTACAGACATTAGACTAGATGAAAATCATTTTCAAACATAAAAGGTGTAGTCAAATTAAACGACTATCGACCTACTTTCTGTGTATGAAAGAAATATATTCAAATTAAACGAAAATAATTTTATTACAATGAGTATAAATTCTCAGTTAAAATTCATGTGATAAGTTTGACCGCACAGCCTGTATAATTTAGTTATCATCGTTGCAGCTAAACTAAGATAACGTTTTGGTTATCTTTTTAACGAACAAACAAAATACTGAGTCATATTTTTTCTATTTTAGAATGAAAAAGATGGAAAATGTGATCTCTGAGTACAAGGTCTGTTACTATTCGCTAAATTGTAGTCGTAGTGTTGTCTCGCTCACACCTTAACCTACAGAGAGAGATGGAAATATTTTAACATTCGATTATCTCAAAATACTGTCTGTAGTTTACGAGAGTAGTACATTTGACAAAATTATTTCAACCACTGCCCGACGTTTCGGATGCTTTGCAACGGCCGAGGTCACGGTGACCACGAAAACATTTCGCGTTTTAAACCGTCAACTAAGTGTTAATTATAGAGAAGGCCCCATTACATTAATAAATTAAATTGATAACATTTAGCAATTATTTGCTAGTATGTGTAGGTTGTTTTCACGAGTAGTACTCATTGAATAAAATACTGAACATCATGTCAGGCTGGGAGTTTCCCCTGCAAAGCATCCGAAACGTCGGGTCACAGTTTTTAGTGTTTTATTAAACAGTTTTCGTATTAAAATTCGTGTATAACAAACTACTAGATACTAAAGAAACTACCAAACTTCGTTTAAAAATTTACGTAGACATCAAACTGTACCTATTTTAGTTTTCGTATATGTTTAGTTTTTTTTACGATTAGCAAGTAGACAGATGCAGTATTGTTGTTATAATTTTTTTTACCTTTTATTTCTCTTGTTTTACTTTTAAATTATTTATTGAGGGTAGTTGTTAAAAAATTTACATTCAAACTGCACAATAAGAAAAAACACGTCGTTTTTCTCGAATATATTTTTTTAATCTTTTCGACAACAGTTAAATTTTTGGCAATAATATTTTACATTTCGACTATTTTATTGTAAATGTCAAATTCACATATCACTTTGAATAAGTCTTGTTTTATAAAATGTATTGTCTTTTACATTTTGAGCCAAAGTATTGAAATAGTATTAATGGGGGGAGGGGGGGATTGGAGATGTTAATTACGAAAGTCGGTAACTTGCTTATTCTATAGTTGCGGAAACCTCCACTAAATTACATTTGGGGGGGGGGGGGGCAGACTTGTATACTTTTGTTGACGAGGGGGGAGGTAGGAGAAATTAAAATGAACAAAACTCCGTGTAGTCAATAAGAGGACGTTGCCCATACTTCTTTAAAACAGTGATTTTCTCTTTTCAGTTTTTGTACGTCGTTTTGTTATAAGTGTTATTATATTTATTGTAATTTATTTCAAATATATGAATTTTACGAGTTCCTTTGTTTTATTCAACTACCCAACGCCATTGAAAATGTGAAATTCCGCTTCCCCTTCGCAAGTTTAGACTTCTGTGCCCTGATCGACCGAAACGAAAACATATACTTATTTTCCATGTGTGGAGGATATTCCAAGACTGGGTCGCAATTGTCATGGTCCTGTCTTGAATTTCCAATCATAAAATGATTTACATCCATGTTGGATCCTATGAGAAATCGGACCTGCTTTATTTTTAATATTCTGTTGGATATTGTTTGGATATAATAAAATACAACTACATGTTAAATTATAATATTCAAAGCAACATCGACACTTCATTTTGTTCCGGCAAAATACATTGAAAATGTTCCATAAAAGATATGCTTCATTATTTCACTCGCTTGAGAACTGAAAATAAATTTAAGTGTTTAAATTACATGAAAAAATATGGTAGGGTTCATTCCCCCCCAACCCTGGGGGCAGAGGAGTAATTTTTAAAGATGCCCTATTACAGGGACTATCGTTGAACCCGAAAGTGGGTCTGTGTAATTCTGTCTCCCTCAGTGGGGCAAAGGGCAAAACCAATTCTGTGTTCCTTAGACAGATTATTTACTGTAACATAAAATTTAATATAAGTGGTGATCGCCTGTACCTTGCCCGACCAAAATAATTCTTCGCTCCCAGGATTCACCCTAAGACTTCCTTTTTTAACCCAATGCTACTTTGAACTACGGAAGTGGACTTAAAACTGTGGACTTGTTTCAAAATGTTAATATATATGCTGCTTTGTCCATAATGTATATATTTTAAAACTAACCCGGTATATGGCTGACTTTCTTAAAATTCTGAAGTGCTTTCAACTTCGATGCAATGCCTGTAAAAATGTAACAATAATTAAATTCTAATATTTTTATATCTCTTAAATTGTAATGGGCTTTTGGTTGATGTATTGCCAATGAATGAGGGTGGGGTTGATCCCCGCTAGGTCCAAAATGTTTTTAATTAATTTATCTGAAACATGTCTGTGGATTTCCAAACATACAAAGACCACAAAGGTCGATAGTGCATTATTGCTAAGATGTTATGTGGTTGGGATTGACACTAAGTTTCTTAAGTAATTTTAATCACTCCTGTTAATGTTTAAAATCAAATATATGACTCATTATATTTTTAACTACGATCTTAGGATGCTTTACATCAACACCGCGTTTGTAACGTAAATATATGTCACTGGTTTTCTCTCACTCTCACTTTCAAAGGTTTAAAACGCAAAATATATAACTACGACCCGAGTGTCGTATATTTAGCAGCAGCCGTGGTCAGGAGGGATTAGACGTGTTTTATTTATATTCATAGTACTATACTGCAGAAAATTATTTATTTCATGTTTTAAACCGTAAGAAATGTTTTATTTCATTTATATTTCCATAAAATAATGTAATAAACTTACGTGGACTGCTTTTCTGTGAATTTTTATTTTGTACTATTGCTTTGGGTTTGCCATTTTGAACTTTAATGTTGCCAGCTTTTTTATTAATATCCAGCTTTGACTTATTCTCTAATACTGGATTTTCTCTTTTTTTACTGGCAACATTATTTATCTTCGGTAATGTATTTTGATTTGTTCTTCCTTTATCTGCAGTAGTCTTCTTAGTACGAACATTATTCTTATTGCCTAAAATCTTTGCTTTTTGGTTGTTTTCAGTAGACGCAACATTAGCTTTATTTTTTTGGACATTAGTAGAACTTGTTCCACTCTCTAAGTTTTGTTTTTCATTACTGGCAATATTATTATGTTGATCGGTCTTTGATTTTTTACTTGTATTGTCTGTATTGTTTGTCTGATTTTTATTTAAATTCTTTTGATGTTCATTTCTGTTGTCTGGTCTAACATTTTGTGTCTGAACTCCATTAGTTTTGGTATTGATTGTACTTTTTACATTTGTCTCCTTGGATTTGGATGTAGTTTCTATTACGCCGTTTAAAACATTATTTTTACTTTTCTTAACGGCTGTATTTTGTGTTTCATCTGTTAACTTTCTTTTATTATCTGAGCTTTTGGTGTTCCTATCAGTTTCAACTCTGTTCTTTTCATTTAAAACATTACTTTTCTTAATTGTATCTTCGTTGGACTTTCCACTTTTATCACTTTTTCTAGCAGCTGTCATTTCTTTATCGTTTGGCTTACTATTTTTAACGCCATTATTTTTTTTAACATCCGTACTGGATTTTTGGGCATTTTCTTTATTCGTTTTTGTCTTTTTGGGTATAAGTTTCGGCGGAGCCATGATATTAGCATCGTCGTTCTCATCGATTCGTGGACGTTGTGAATCATCTGTATTCTTTTCACTAGTTATTCCTCTAGCTTGCAAACATGTTTCTATTATAGTTGAAAGTAAGAGAGTTCGTTCATCTGTATGTATCGATTGGTTTTCTAATTTCCTGTTTGCTTTTTGAATAACCCTTAAGTATGATTCATCTGTAAAAAATGCCATCATGCATGTAAGAGATTTGGGTGAGACCCACCAAGTTACTAATACGATTTATATTACTACTAAATTTATGTTGTAGTTTCGGAGTAGACACATACAAAAAACTTTAACGGTTTAAAACGCGATATATTCCGCGTTTAAACCGTTAGTGTTTTATTTAAATACTAGAGCTATTAATAAGGGGCAACATCTGGACCCGACGGCAATTAACCACTTACCAATATATTCCAAACTGAGACTCATTTTGTGATGGAATTTCGAAAGATAGGACACTTTGTTCTCCAGCACCCACGACAATTCTAGAACGTTCGCGCATTTCAGCAAGCAACCGCCTTCAGGCTGAAATGAGCAAAAGAAAAATTGAAAATAATTTATAACAGTGAATACAGTAGCCTACACTAGTATGTAGTATGTACTATATTGTTACCCTTGCTTCCATATAAAGAGAGTCGCCGTATTTGTCTGTCAGTTTAGCCAGAACAGTGCGTCTGCAGTGGTAAGCGGTGTTGTAACTCTGGATCAGCTGCAATTAAAGTAATCCAAAATTAGCTCGATCGAAGAACACTATATCCCAGTTTGGAATGTTGGATTGGGTCAAATGATAATATAATCCTTACTAATATTATAAATACGAAAATAACTCTGTCTGTCTTTCTGTCGGTCGGTCTGTTACTCTTTCACGCCAAAACTACTGGACGGATTTCAATGAAATTTGGTATACAGATTCTGTCCCAGACCATGGGACCCTGAGAAACGACTACTTTTTTTGACTTCCGTACCCCATAAAGTAACCAAAGGAGTTGATAATCGAGCGCAGAATCATAGAAGAGACGAACAAGTGATGTAAATTTCGACTGGCAAGGAGACAGTCGAAAATGTTCATACGTAGCCTAGAACAAAAATAAGACACAAAAACCTTATGAGACTAACGAGAGCGAACATCCGTTAAACTCATCGTAGAAATCATAACAGGACATTGCCGTCTAAACAGGCATCTTACAATGATAGGAATAGGTAGCGGTCTCCTATGCCCGGAGTGCAGAGAAAGTGAGGAATCAAGCATCCACCACTACTGAATGCTCTGCGTACTCGAGACAAATGCATATGGGCTACTTTTTATTGCAAAAGAGGTTGAAAAATGGGATGAAAATTTGTATGGAAATTCGTGGTTTTTGAAGCTTGAACAATGAAACTCTCTTCTTTGGCTTTTTGGGAATAGGAGTCGGAGTGGGTGTGGGAGTGGAAGTTAGAGTAGGAGTGATGTGAGGCGAGAGTGTTGCGACAAAGTAGCACTTACAAAAGAAGTTGCCTTAAATGCGCCTTACATAAATTAAAAACACCTCAAAATTCAAAATCTACCCCAAGTCACTATTCCACAAGGACGAAGTCGCAGGCACAGCAATACAATAATATTTGACAAAAAAAACAACTAGTACCAAACCTAAATTTGGTTTCATATCAACCAGTTCCTTAGAGAGCATGTTAAGCCGACAGGGCCTAGTTATTATCAGTAGTATAGTGTTGGTAGTTATATCATGGTGGGTCCAAATGCCCACTTGTGGGCATAGAAGTGTTAGTTAATAGATTGAAATGCCCATTGACACAATTAAACATATTTTTGGTGTCATAATTAGTTACACTATTGTATATATAAGTAATAGGAAAGGCTTTCATGATGCAGTGGTAAACAAAAGACCTAGGTTCAAATCCCTACAAGAAAAACTTGTTCTACTGTATACTGTCTACAGTTTACGCGAGTTGTACATTAAATAAAACACTTTAAAACGCGTAATTAGTAAAACTTATTTGAAATTTTTTTTAACTTCGGCCCGAGGTTTCTGATACTTTGCGGCAGCCGTGGCCACCCCGTGACGACAGCTGCTGTCGCGTTTTAAACCGCTAAAGTGTTTTATTTAAACTATTCTGCTGTAACGCGAACAATATGTGATCCTATATATATAATATGTATATATATGTGATCCTTTCCATTAATTTAATTCTAAAGCTTGTTATGTAAAAAGAACAGAAGCTCTGATCTTTTTAGCTTCATACTTCCACATTTATACATCATTTGAGAAGAATGAAAAGAGATTACATGAACCGCATGCACTGGTATTCTCAGCTGCGGCAACACTGAATGTGACAGCTCTCTCTCCTGCGATTTTTTTACCGGTAACACTTGCAAGCCCCTGTAAGATATTGGCGCGAATTGACGTTTCTGGAATAAAAAGTACATATTCAGAAGGTTATGTTTTCAACGAAAAGGTTAACGATAGTACATTTCTATTTTTTTAAGATTTAATCACTAGGACAACGGCATGCTAACATCCTTGTTGGTAGTAGCTATAATTTATAAAGGTGTGGAGATATTTTGCAGCAGTATCCAATAAAGTTATTTATAGTTATAACGCGAAATATATGAATAAATTTATTTGTGACATGTAAAATATTAAATAAAAACATGTCAACATAATTATTAGTTCTCGCATGATCAAACGGAATGATCATACACCTTTATTGGTTCAAAAGATAACATGAAAAAATACAATAATAACATTTTACAAAAGCGTAATACGATACCGCTGCGCATGCGCCGTCATACGTTTTATAGTATTTCTTTTACACCTTGGGCTGTGTTACTAAAATTTTAGTAAGGTACTTCATAATAAATATAACTATGGCATATGTTACTCAGGAAGGATTATAGCTTTCTAATGGTGTAAGACTTTTAAAAATGGGAAAAGTAGTTTTTGAGTTGATTATTTACAACCATACATACAAAAATAAGCTTTCCTCTTCATAATATTAATGTAGATAGGTTTGTTGGTTTGAGAGCTTGAAGAATTATATAAAACTATACTAACACTTTGATGCGTAAAGAAGCTTATTGAGATTGGGACATAACCAATCCGACACTCAGCAACCATCTCCTTCCATACACCAGCTTCAGATATTTGCGCCTCACTGCAAATTAAAGGTATTGCAGTGAGAAATTAGGACCAGTAGTGGTGTTGCACTGCAAAATTTTGTTTACAGGCCGAGTTTAGAGCGTTTGCAGGTATTTAATGGGATTGCTTTGCATGATGGTGATTAAAAATTGTGTACGTAATATAAAATGTTAAGAGTTGTTTACCAATTATGTGGGTTAAACAGCAAGTAAATATAATCTAGTGTGAGTTCATTTTCCCACTTTTTATTGGTGTTACTAAGTAGGAGGGTATGATTCTGTAAAATCTCTTTTTTTTGATTTGTTATCAATAAAATCCATAGCAGGCTTACCCTTCTATAACTGGTGCTTCAACTAATACATTCATCTCTGACTGAACAATTACTACATTTGTCAACTCCTCTGTCGCCAGAACACAGGTCCTAAGTCGTTTCTCTTGCTGAACTAAATCGGCGAGAAGTGGTTCATCTTCTATGTTAAACTCTGTTTCCGATTCTGAACTGAAATGATTTAGTTATTAAAGTTAGAGTATAAATTATAATCAGTAGAGACCCCCCCCCCCCCCCCGGGGGGGGGGGGGGGCACCCACCCCCCCCCGGGCCCCCCCAAAACCCCCGGGTTTTTTTGCAGAATCTTATTTTTTTTTCCATCTGTTATTCTTTGATCTCATCTTCTGTAACTTCGTCCGAACCCATATGGTACAAATAACAATACATGTAGTTTTTTGTACTGAATCATTATTATGAGTAACACGTACGTAATAGTTGAATTTTGGTTGAAAGAGATGATATCTATACTAATATGTAAGGCTGAAAAATATGTTTGTTTGTTTGAACGCGCTAATCTCAGGAACTATGGATTTTAATTAAGAAATTTATTTGTTGTCGGAGTTGTAACTACGAGTATTTATCAAGGAAGGCCAATCCTATAAAACATCGCCCTGTAACTAATAGGAGTAAAGAAACAGTGGGAAATGTGTAAAAAATTAAAAATTATTCATCATTGTAGATTTCCGATACGTACGATATATAAGATACATAAAAATTTTGTATGAAATAGTATTAAATAATCTAAAAAGAAAAAGTCCGCGATGTTATATGTCTATCTTTAAAGATTAACTAACAAGAACGCTGGGACACAACTGACGCCGTGGGTAACAGCAGTTGATAAGATGTTTGCAAAAACAAAAATACTGTTCTTCGCAGACAAAGTCACTGACATAGCTAGTGTATTATATTTTAGCATGCTAATTTAGTAAATTTGTTGACAAAATTCAAAAGTCCTACCTATCGCTGTCAAAAGCCGCAGTGCGCTTGGAACTTTTAGTCTCTTCTATACGCTGTTGGTAATATTTTATTTCATTTAATAAACGTTGCTCTTTCTCCAATAATTGTTGCTTTAGATCAGGCTTCGCTGATAGATGAGCCATCATGAACGTAGCAAACGATTTTTACATATCAATTTAATTAAGAATGAAAATATATTTTCATAATACATCAGTGAAAGCCCGTTAATATTTTAAAATTGGCATGACAGAAAGGATGAATATTTTGTCTGTTATAAATATGACAATTGACAATCGGGTTGGCGATATTTTTCTCTCACGTAAAATTACAATTTCAATATAATATAACATGAGATTCTATATAGAATTTAATAAAAATGCTTAAATATGAATAAAATTAGAAACAGAATTTATATTAATGTTCGCATTTAATTCTAACAATACACGTTGCACAGATAACACATAACGTCTGTATTGTGAAAATAACATTCATAAAGAGTTAATTGTCATGTAAGCGAACAGTCATTCAAATTTTAGCAATGCAGAATTATTTTTATTACAAAAACTTTTAAATTACGTGCAATAAATAATTTATACGAATATTTACATAGTTGATAAGTAAAAGGAACTTTAACGTTACCGGGAATAAGTATGAATCTGTTAAACATGGATAAAAACTTATAAGATTCCAATACGAAGGATTAATCCTCGTGTTTATCTGAGTCTCGTTGAAAACACATCAAACATACAATAATGAAGTTCATAGTTCTCTCTTAGTTCGCGTCGAATGAATAAACAAGACCCCGTCCTTATGCTTAAGTTTTTGTCCAAACAAACATGTGTTAAGTGAAGTTCAGGAACCTGGAAATTGTGTGCGAGTCTTCGAAAATGGGTCAGTCTGGAAGCGCCTTACCCGGTAAGTGTAAATTACTTATGTTATAAACGTAAACATGAACTAATTACTTAATAATTGCGTTCTAATCGCTTCCTCTTTAACGTAACCTACATAACGGTGTTTATTAGTAAGTTCTAGGAACAAGGGTTATGAAACAAAGTAAGAATTAATAGCTTCAAAATTTCATAAAGCTGCAATCACGCATTTTTAGTTTAATGTGTAAAACTACTAATTAAATTTGTTAACTAGCAATAATTGTAATAATTATTATTAATACTTTAAAACACAAAACATTTGTTGACAGTTTGAATATTTTGCATTTTTAACATTAAAAGTGTGAAATATAAATTTGAACTACCTACATATACTACAGACAGCAGTTTTAACATTAACTACTCACAAAATTATATAATTTCCTGTAAGTTGGTATGTTGTAGTTGAGTATAGTGTAGTGACACTATATGGATGAGATCAAAATTATATAACTTTTGAAACATATTTACTCTAACTAGCTAGAAATGTTAGGTTCAAAATTCAAATCAAATGCAAACATGGTATAAGGCTCAATAGAGGGGGCAGAGAAATTTAAACAATAACTCACCTGTAAAAAATGCAACAAATGATATGGACTCAGAAATTTGTTTGCCCCATGCTCTTAGAAAGGAAAATTTACTTTTAATTTTAACCTAATCTGTCCATGATATAGGTAAACAATGTTATTTATTTTGTGAGTAATTCTACAATTACTCACAAAATAAATAACATTGACTACTCAAATATATTTTATATTATCTAAATTTTATGTGGCCTGGAAGAGATTGCTTGTTAGCTCATAAGGTCGCTTATTACACTCCATTCTAGCACATTTGTTTTATCTGGATTATTACTACTTTAAGGCAATAAAACATAAATGCCTAAATAAAAGTTTTAGAATATATCTATATCTAATTATGCTAATTTAGGTACATATATATACACTCTTAAAAGGTCCAAAAGGGATAACCACAACTAGTCCATCTGTGTACCAAATTTCATTCAAATCCATTCAGTAGTTTTGGTGTGAAAGAGTAACAGACAGATAGACAGACAGACAGAGTTACTTTCGCATTTATAATATTCGTAAGGATTGCCCCATGTAGTGTGTAAAAGACAGCATTGAACTTGTCATTAACTAATTACTCACTAACTGTAACCAAAAAATAAAATAAAACCCTGTTATCAAGACTTTGCTATCTGTCTGTCCCCAAGAACTGTATTGGTTAAAGAATTGTAATTTTCATTGTTATTTTTCTATTGCGGGACACAAGTAGAAGGCCAGTCCACATTTGCTGCTCACCGGTTAACTCAATTCTCTATTCTTTCTTTACAGAAGACATTTGCTTATCCAATTCTCACTGTGTCCCATAGAGACCTTCCTGTAAAGTGCTCTCGGAGCACCCTAGGTCTAACCGCAGGCATGTCACATATGGTCCAGTTAGTATTGACGGCCCAGGGCCACAATACTCTTAAAAAAACTGTACAAATTTTAATATTTGTAGCTAATATTTATTTATTATTAATAAAACACACCACAGAAAATACATATTAATGAGGCAAATTTGTACGTAACTAACTTATAAATAAAGGTGGCCATATAGCTAAGTAGCGATCTCTTACAGACAACCTAAAGTACAGGAGAGAAGAAATCGAAAATAACTTATATATTACGCAAAGGTATATGGTAAAAGTACACACAACAAGTAGGAGAAAAATTAACTTAAATTAAAGAGCGAACTCTCAAAAGAACGGAGTGATTGAGCTTTTCTGATATTAGTGGGAAGGGAGTTCCAAAGAAGTATAGTTTTAACTATTTGATATTATCTTCTGCTATACTCGGTTCCCATGTTTTCCCCTTTCGCTATGACAGTTAAAATAGAATTTTGCAATAAATTGTATTATTTTGACATATATTGCTCTGTATTAATTAAGGAAACCGAGGTAGGCATTTAAACATTCACAAATTACTCAGTTGTATTTATATTTTAATAATAATTAATCATTAGACAAATAAATTGATTATTTTTATCATAGTTGTTGTTATCTGAAACAATTAAAAGATTGTAGTCCAAATTTACTTTAAAAATTATTATTTAAGTGGGGCATCTAAGCATAGAATGCCATCTATTTTTCCTGGTATTAAATGTTAGGTAGGTAGGCACTTAGAATAGATAAAAACACATTTTAGTATGAAATGTGTGCTTTCAATGTTACGGAACTCTTTCGTACAAAGACCTTACGGGCTTAGCCAATATATTTATTTGCATCACTACTTTAGCTTTCTGTGTTTCTTAATTTCAAGAAACATATTTCACATTGAATTTATTTGTATAGCAATTGCAAAGTAAAAAAAAAAGTATCTATTTGCAAAATAAATTAAAAACATTTTCATTAAAGCACTGAAATCAAAAAGGTTTCAGCTCAAAGTTAAAGCCTAAAATCTCTTACTAGCTTGTATGTCCTAAGTCTCATGTTATATTGTTAAAATGAAACAAGCTAATTTTAAATAATACACTTTAACGGTTTAAAACGCGATATATTAGTTAAACTTATTTAAATGTTACTACTCGCGTAAATTAGACAGTATTGTCTTTTTGTAAAATAAAGGTTTTATGCAACCCTTAATCATGAACAGTTGTCTTTGTCTACGCGAGTAGTGTCATTTATAACGGTTTCAAACGCCTACTTTCTTTTAAATTACGTCCATACATCTGCCATGGTCATTTAAAAAATGCAAACAAAAATTACAGTGAGAAAAGAAATCACAAGAAATTCAACAAATACATTAGCAAAATGTATACTAATTCTAAAACAAACAAGTTGTTCAATAATATTGGTGTCAGTATGCAAATTTCTTCACTGTTTTAAATAAAATTGACTACAAATTCCAGCGTAGTGCGAAATGTTAATAAATGAAATTGGTCTAAGATAATTTTTAACACCGGTTAGTAATTTGCAAGTAGGGTTGGTAGCCCTTATCGTCATTATTAAATCCTACCAACCCGCGTCGGTGTAGCATGGTTGGTCACTATAGCTCTCTCTGGTCTGAGAGGTGATACCTGTGCCCATCTATTGGCTATTTAAAGTTATGAGTAGGAACAAGAAAATTAATAGTTTTGGAGAATTCAGTATTTTCTAGATTTTCAGATATTGAGTAGCATACTTTTGTTTCATAGCATTGATAAGCCCTACCTATTTCCATTGTTATAATAATTTGTCGCGTATAATAAATACATTTCTTATGCGCATGATCAACAAAACTTCTTTTCAGTATCTTATGCAACCTTTTTGGATTTCTCACGGTTCGTCCATAGTAAATCAAGATTAACCATAGACGTGGAAAGTTCTATTTCAAATCTTAACTTGAAAGGCAGAAATACTAAGTTTCTTCTACTCGAAATTCAAAATATAAAATTCTCAAATTTAATACAATTTCAAAATGGCTTTACTCAGTTTGACGTTTTTAGAAAATTGGTTTCAAGGCGATGGAGCTAAGTATTATTTTCGACTGAAAGCCTACACGACGGCAATGCATTAAAATAACAATGTGTTTAAAATAATTTAAAATTCGAACTATTATACGCGTATTCCATAACGTCTTATGTACAATAACGACGTAAGGTAAAAGTTATCTTATTGTGTTCGCAATAAGGTAAGTTTTATTTAAGCAAAGAAATGAACCAACGTTAAACAAAATGGGACGCATATTTTCGAACAGCTGACGATCAGCTGTAGCGCAACTACCTGTCATTCTTTTAATTTTTTTTTGTTTTTTGAGCGCACGTGTATTTTGCGATAAAGGCACAGTACGAAATGGACGTTTCAAAGTCCATTGCATAATTAACCTAATTGTAAGGGTATAAAGTTGAGTCTGGTCCGCTCGAGTCATAGACAAATAAATACTTGCACAATGCACTTACTTTAAAAGAGGTTGGTTATGCAAAAAGGTTTTTGTTTTTTTTTCCGAATCAGCTGATGTAAAAGCGGGAGAAAGGTCTTTCAGGATCATATGGTAATTGTTTATGGGTTGCTATGGGCTTTAAGGTGTACTTTTGTTTGAATTTGCTATAAACATCATGTAGTTTACTAAATAGAAAAGTATCACGCACAAGGGAATATTTAGGAATAAATAATCGAAACGAATATATTATAAATTGTTAATAGGAATATCATGTCATCTTCCAAAGAAACCCCATGTTTCTGTGTCCTGTAT